TATAAATAAAATCATAAAAAGGGAGCACTCCTACTGCTTGCCATCTTGCTGCCACCTTGCACTTTCCCCATTCGTTACTGATTATCAAAACTATGACAAACTGTAGGTCTATGTTCTTGGCACCTGACCGACTACTTGAGAAGCTGCAACACTTTCCAGGGAACAAGACAGAGAAATAAGTAGCCCATCTATTTGCTAACAACAAAGTCTTCTGACAAAAAGAAATTCTGCTATTTGTAGAGACATGCAATTACTGGGTGAAAAACAAATTATTGAAAATTTATAGGGTGACCACACAACAAAATAAATCACCAAGTAACCTTTCTTTGATGCCACAGAAATCTGTCACACATGGATAGCAAACAAGGAGTAACCAGTAAGGTGCTTAGTCTTAAAAATAGCAATTTCATGATTATCAGTATCAAATCATCAGTAAGACTCAGTAGGTGATATCGTGCTCATAGGGATGTCCCGTTAAAAGTATGTTCTGTTCTTTTATCTGCAAACATACAATTCCTTCAGCACAAATAATTTCAAGTGAGAAGAGAAGACACTGAGCATTTTGAGTATTATAGTTGATTGTTATTTTACAAGACTGAAATTACTTCAGACGCGGTAGATAACCTGGAGGAAAGCAAGGTTACCCACAGCAAATATGTCATTGACTATCATTTCCAGGACTTTATGGCATAATAAGCTTTCGGTATAATCCCACTTGGGATAAAAATAAAGCATGCATTCAAGTAACTGCCCATGTAATAAAGAAATATTTTGCAATATGGACTCATACCGACAGAATTATTATTTCACACAAAATTGCCATTATTTCCACAGAACTAAAATGTAAATTTCTCCCCAAAATATGTGTTCTGCTCCATTTAGTGATAAAAACTGAAAAAAAGGACACATTAGGAGTAAAATTGAGGTGTGTTATACTATCACAGTTCTGTGAGCTTTCTGAAATGTAATACATGGCTTGTTTCCTTACTCTGGGTCAACGGCTTGATCTTATCCGGTGAGAGATAACTCCTGACTTACTGGAGATGACCTTTAAGGTCTCTTCCATCTCTAGCACTGTTAGATTCCACGTGGTTATGTAAATTTGAGTAATCTGTAAATTACTCTTGGGAATGTGTTAAACTTAAGTGATTAGGGCATCATTTTTGCATTAAAGTGATGTCACAAAACTAAATAGTACTCAAGAAGCCTGGGGGAGTTTGTTATTTAACGAAAACTCACAGTATTTACAACATGCCCAACATTGTTCTAAGTGCTTTGTAAATATTAATTCATTTCTACAGTATTTTCAGTCTACTTGGAAACTAAGTTTCTGTGAAGCTTAATGAGTATGTGAATTGGCATTTACCTATTAATTAAAGTAAATAAACCCATTCACTGACTCTTTGAAATTAAAACTATTCATTTCTAACAATTAAGATTATCCCATGATAACACAAATCTGGTCAATTAACTCTCCCTATGAAAATCTTAGATTGCCTTTAAGGCCAAGTCCAAATTCTTCAGCAAACCATGAAGGTGCCACAGCATCTCTCTGCTTTCCTGTTTTGTCTCATCTGTCCCTTAAATCTGAACTATCTGCGGTTAACAAAAATATGTCCTGCCCTGACCGGTTTGGCTCAGTGGATAGAGCGTCGGCCTATGGACTGAAGGGTCCCAGGTTCGATTCCAGTCAAGGGCATGTACCTTGGTTGCGCGCACATCCCCAGTAGGGGGTGTGCAGGAGGCAGCTGATCAATATTTCTCTCTAGTCGATGTTTCTAACTCTCTATCCCTCTCTCTTCCTCTCTGTAAAAAATCAATAAAATATATATTTTTTAAAAAAATGTGTCCTGACTCCATGTGCCTATGTACTTGCTGCCCCTTGGGTTTCATGTTCCTGACCCTTCCCTTTAATCTGGCCAATTCCTACTCTCAAAACAGCTCACACTGCATCTCCCCCGAAAAGTCCATCCTGACTGTTCCCTGGGTTAAATAATAGGTCTTCTCTGCTTCCAGTTTTCTGGGACCACCTCCAGAAAATCACACACAGAAGGGCAGAATGTAACTGCTATTTACTCATCCATTTTCCCATTTGTCTCTAAATCCCTTAAAGGTGAAAAATGTGTCTTTTCTCTTTAATATGTTTTTATTGACTTTTTTAGAGGAAGAAACATGGATGAGAGAAACATTGATATGCTGCCTCCTGCACGCCTCCTACTGGGGATGAAGCCCACAGCCCAGGCATGTGCCCTAACCAGGAATCGAACCAGTGACTTCTTGGTTCACGGGTCAATGCTCAACCACTGAACCACACTGGCTGGGCTCTTTTCTCTTTAAATTCCCAGGGCCTTGCACAGAAGTTGGTACACAGAAGAGGCTCAAGTAAATAAATGCCTTTAAATCAACAAATCAACAAATGAATATGTGTTTTGTAAGCTAACAGAAAATCATCCTAATTTTATTTCTAAAGCAGAAAGGAAGTTGCTAAAAAATATCTAAGCATAGCTAAGATGCCATAAATTATATCTATTTAATTACCAAAGAAATACCAAGGGCCACATACAATCACCTTATGTTTTCAGGTCAAATTACAGCTCTTAGGAAACTAGAAATGCCACAATGCAAGAAAACTCCTCAGTTCCCTAACTGCCGGAAAAGTTGGCATATGGCAAGTAGGTCTTCACAACTCTGCCCAATTCAGTCCTCGTATCAGTGATTTCTAACTCGAGTTTAAGGAGCACGGAAAGCTGCATGGGCTGCCCAGGTGATCCAGACATCCAGCCAGATGTGCTGTGTATACCTGACTACGTGCCAGGCACTGAGATGATTTCCTGTGATAATTACTTTGATGGCAAGACAGTATCTTCACTTTCATTGCTGGCTTGAATTAGTAATCTATTCGTGCGTTTAACCTAAATCCTACCAATTCATTCACCCCTCACGGAAGGCAGAGTCATTCTATTCAGTTGTGAGGTTTATTGCTGTCGAAAGCAGAAACTGCAGGGGCCCAAGGTGTCTTCTGCCCCAAGTGGAGAGGCCTAGGAACAAAAAAACCCTGCAGAAGTCGAGCTCTATAAACCGGGAGCAAAGGAGGAGGACTGGCCTGTTTTCCCAAGTGCTGGTCTTTCACCAACACAGAGAAGGGCAGAGGTTCTGTGGACAGGACCAGCCTGCGGCAGAGACAGCACTTCCAGGTTCAGTCCTGCACTTCCCTTTATCTGCTTCTCTGCTTCCTTCGGTCTCCCTTGCTCCCTGAGAAAGGCTTTGTGATCTGTATTAAAGCACTGGCTCTATCTATCAGCAAAAATTCACATTGTAGGAAACGCTACAGGATGAAAGACCCCAGGTCTTCAGGAAAAACAAACCAAAAATGTAGAGGAGAAACCATGTAGTAAAGAGACTTCAAAACAAAATACACTAATTGCAGTCGAAAGACATTATTTGGGTTCTGGATCAAACAAACATAAATATGTATGTATTATGTGTATATACAGCAAATTTACTTAATATATTTATATACATTTTAACATATTTACATATTTAATATATGTCTATGTTAGATATTATATGGTTACATTTTTTAAAGAATCCTTACCTTTTAGAAAGGCTGAGTGAAATTTTAATAAATGAAAGATATCATATGCTTCAAAATAATACAAGAAGGGGAAGAAAATAGGTAGGATATAGGTAAAAGAAGACTGATAATTGAATTAATTGGTAATTAAGTTGCTAATTGTCAAAGCGGGGTTCATTACAATATTTACTTTTGTGTGTGTTTAAAATTTATTCCTCCACAACAATAATTCTGACTTATTGAAAAATAAGACAGTGCCCTCTGCTTCTTCAGTTTTACTATGGAAACAAGTTAAAATGAAAAAGAAAAATGGGCATTTAACAAATATTAATTCAAATCATGGAATCTTTCATTAAAGACTTGGCATATTAGATTTTTTACTGCAATAATCTAACTTTGATAACTTATTGTAGCCCTTTAAATTAATTCCTCACTTATATTAAAATTTTAACATTTGGCTACAAATACCAATTTAAATAGTATTTTTCTATTTTTACATATTTTACACATACAAATTGTAATTTTGCTTCAGTTAAGTTTACAAAATTTCAACTACATAAACAAGTTCTGTCTTAATAAGCATTTACAGGTAGGTGAACTGGTTGCTAGAATGATGTATATGAATTCAAAAAATGTTTACAGAGCCCCAGATATTTACTGAAATTCACCAGAAAGTGCAAAATAATTTTCAGGTATATCTGTGGATGTGTAATATTAATCCAAATGCAGGTAACTGGTAAATTTCGATTTTTTAAAATCATAATTTACAAGTGCCCAATAAATACCATGGCCCTAAATACACCAAGAAGGCTTCTACCAACGAAGAAAGCGGGGAGGGGGACGTCTTTTCTAGAAAGTGGAGGTGATTGGACACAAATCTGGGGTCCACATATTGAGCGAGAGGAGAACCCTTCAGTTTAGGTTATTTTTATGGTTTGAGTTTACTTAGGGATGTCTAGGTTTGTTTCTCCTATTTTCTATAGCACCAGTTGTGGTTTAAATCACTTCTAAGTCTTCTCTTAGCATTAAAACAACCACCACAATAATAATGATGCAAATCCTGCCCAAATATCATATCCCTTCTTGCCCATGCATGGCCTTTTGCTTTTCCTTGAGAGGAGAGAAGGTCTCCGCCCTTTCGCTCAGTAGCCGCACTGCTGGAGGCAAACTGCACAAACTCCTCTTAAGCACAGGCCCTGGCCAGGGGTTGTTCGGGGCGCGGGGGGGCGGGGGGGTCCCCCATTTCCGATTTTTATTTTTATTTTTATTTTTTTAAGCAGGGAGCGTCCTGCTGGACTAGTAGGATTTCTACTTAGGCGCTCATTTCACCTAAGACACTGCATCTCCAGGGCAACCGAGAGCAAATGCGGAGTCGCGGGTGGGCTGGGCAGCGCAGAGGACACCCTCGCGGGACCGCGCCTCTCACCTGAGCGCCGCGGGGGTCGCCCCGCACCCGCGTGGTCAGCGTGTCGTGCCCTGTTTCGTCTTCGTCGCCAGAGCGATAGAGGAGCCGGAGCGGCACGATGCTCTGGCGCTCCAGGAAGCCGTTTTCGTTCCTCCTCTCCAGCTCAGTCAACGAGGCGTCTCCTCCAGGCAGGAAGGGGAGAAGGAGGGAATGGGAAGAAAACGCGAAAATAATGACCCTGACTCACAATCGTCGGTCCTGCGGCCCGACCCCTCCCCTCTGAACATTCCACCTCCCCGTCCCTCCCGGACCCCAGCTGGGAAGGACGCAGGCAGCAATCGGAGAGCCTGGGACCCGCTCCTCTGAGCGCATCCAGGATAGGGGCCCAGAAGCAGAGCACCCCTTCCCCATCCGCCGCATGCCTCTTCTTCAAAAGAAAAACAGACATTTGACCAAAGGCTTCTAATGCATCCGCGCGCCCCCACACGTATTTTTGCTCCACTTTTCCAAATAAAAAAAAAAAAATCTCCCCGCGCACTCGGGAAATGGGGATGCCCCTTTGCAATGCGCCGGAGGGCTGCAGAGATGCCCGGCAAACGGTACGTCCCTAAGCCACAGAGGGTGGCGAACTTACCTGCCCGGCCGCCGCGCACCAAGGGGCAGGTCCCCAGGGCGCAGAGCAGCAAGATGGGCACGGACGCCGCCGCCGCCTGCATGGTGCTGCCGTCAGCCACCTCGCTGGAGACGCTCAGCTCCTCATGCCGGGTCAGCTGGTCCGACTCCCTGGCCCAGCGCCCGCCCCCCCCCCGCTCGCCCGGGCCGCCCCCTCCCCGCCCCGGCCGGTGCTGCGGCGGCCGTGGCGCTGCAGCCTCCACCGCGGCGCTGCCTCAGTGCTGCATTGTGCTTCGCAGGAGCTTCCGCTGGCGGGGGGAGCGTGCGAGTGCTGCATTGGGCGGTTGGCTGTAGCTAAGTGGTTTCTAGCGCCTCCCACCCCATCGCCTGGCAAAGGCTCCGGCAGGCGATGAGCGCTCTGCAGGGAGCGAGCGCCTGGTGCACTCGCCCCGCCGCGCGCGGGCAGGGACGCGCGCATGTCACTGGGAAATGTAGTTCTCTCCCGCGTCCCGCTCATCGCCACCACGGAGCGGATGGCTGCGACCTCGTGACCGTGAGGTCTTCTACAGCATGAAGACAGGAGGCAGGAAAAGGGCAACAGAAAGAGAGGTCATGTTGGCAGGCCTCTTGGCACCGAGGATATCCAACCGCGCTGCCGCGGGAGCAGTATTCATCCACATCGTCCACAAAGAACCATATTAATGTTTCCCACAATTTTAATAGTTATCAGGGAATTATACCTTCAATAATTCATGGTAAGTTAGTTACCCAATAAGTATTGATTAAGGACCTACTACAGTATATGCCCGGCAGCTGACTAAGCTCAGGGAACACAACTGTGAACAACACTGGTATAGGAGGCACCTGTTCTCAGACACAGTCGAGTAAACACTGTCTTACACGCAACAGGTGAAAAGTATCCAGATGATGCTGGAGGGGAGTCATTGACTTAGCCAGGGGGAGGCAGGGAGAACCTCCTGAAGGTCTACACAGGCACTTGAAGGATATGCTGGATTTAGCCAAATTCTGGAGGATGTTTTTGTCCTTTCTCTGATATCTGTCTGCCTCAAACCTGTCTCTGAAAGCCAGGCTTGGAATACTCCCCTTTTTCGTCTGCTTATTCCATTTTTTTAAAAAAAATTTTCAAATGTTAATTCTTGAAGATAAGACAGCAATAACACAATTGTCCACACAATTACCACTCCTGCCTCGGGTGACATGGTTTCAGGTTCCTTCGCCATCATGATTTGAAAATACACTCCAGTGTGTCAATGTCCCAGCTAAAGTGTGGTATCCAGAATTAAGTACAAGTTAGGCATGGTTTCCCAAGCAAACAGTAGAGAGGGACTCCTTTCCCTTGACCTAAATTCTTGCCTATGAGAACATTCTATCATATTTTGGTAGCCACATCTCACTTATTGTCATTTCAAAGACATTTCCCCAAATCTCCAAATAATGAGACACTTAAGAATCCTATATATGACATGTAATTGTAGCCTGAATAAGGGGCTACAAGTTTTCAACAGTACACTTTATACCTTGGATGCAGACGATTCCATAATAGTCATTGTAAAACGGAATTAGAAGTAAGGCCTGGAATAGCCCTTTACCTTCATCTCCTACATCCTGGACCCAAGCTGTGAGCTTGTCATATATGGTCTTTATTATAGTGAGGGCACATTACATTGAGGTCCATGAGTCTCCTTTGAATCTCTTTGAAGTAGTGGTCTTCTGGCCGTTGTCTTGCCAGGTACACGTAGTTTTAATTGGCAAGGTTGAAGAGGCAGCCGAAGAAATCCTGATTCTCAGTGAGTTGTGGAATTGGTTAAGAGAACATAGTTCCTTTAGGAGCAAAATAGATAAGACAACCAACAAGGGAATCACTGAATATGTGCCATTAAAACAGATCATCCTCTGGAGGCTGAGAGCAGTTGCTCCAATAAGAAGTCATGATCTCTTGTTTGGTTTTCAGACATTAGTCAGGTTTGCAACCCAGAAATCACCAACTAAAGAAAAGGCCATGTCCCAGGAGGACCCTGCAATACATGTCAAGTACACGTGGTAATGATTCCCCCAATCCTTCCGCAAAGGGACTTACCTCCATTTACTTCAGTAATTGTGCGCCAGGGAAAGGGAAATACCCAAATATTTGTTGTATGCAGTGTTCGAATTGACACTGGTACCTGGGACCCAAAGCACCCATTATAGTGGGGGCATCTGGGAGCTAGGTGATAAATGAAGTCCTGACCAAGGTTTCGCTCACAGCCTCTGAATGTATTATTAGGAAAAAATGCTTAGTACTTCATAAAATCCCCCACATTATTTCCCTGGCCTACAGGGTAAGAATTATAGTTGGGGGGGGGGGGGGAGGAAGGAAAGAAAAAGACACCAAGTAGGAACCTCTAAAACTGCTCCTCCCTTAGCCAAACAATAAATAAATCAAAAACAATACCTTAACCTGGGGTCATGGTGGTGGTAGTGGTAGTGTTTTGTGGTGGTGATGGAGGAATTACTATCCCTGTTAAATATCCAGAAGATGGTTAATTCCCATCATAATCGCATATGGGTCATAAAGAATGACAGTAGATAACCACAAACTGCACTAAGTAGCAGCCTCAACTGCAGTTGCAATGCCAGATGTGGTCTTTTCTATTAAAAATGAACATGGGGGGGGGGGGGGGAACACACATATCCTCGGGTGAGGATTTCTTAAAAAGTTAGAAATGAACATGGCCTCGGGTACATGTATACAGCCATTTATTTGGCAGACGCATAATTTTTCATCCCTGTCAGAAAAAAAAAAGGATGAGAAACCATTTGTGTTCATTGGGAAAAGATTATCGTATACATTCTTTCTTTTCCTTTGTTATAATTTGAAGAGGATGCCATGGAGAATATCACTTTCATCCATTATACTGATGATATCATATTCATCAGACCATTTGAGAAGGAAGTTCCTAGCACATTGGAAACTTTGATAAGACATGTTCTCTAAAGTGTGAAAGACACCCCCTAAGATTCAGGTCCTGGCCGGTGTGGGTCAGATGGTTGGGCATCATCTGTGCAACGAAAGGTTGCTGGTTTGATTCCCACTCAGGGCACATGCCAGGATTTTGGGCTCGATCTTCAGTAGGGGGCGTGCAGGAGGCAGCTCACCTTGATGTTTCTCTCTTCTCTCTCTAAAAATCAATTTTAAAAAATCTTTAAAAAAAAGACTCAGGGCCCTGCCCCATCAGTATCAGTTTGAATCAGTGGTCAGGAGCATGCCAGGAAATCCCACTAAAGACAAATTACTGCATCCTGAGCTTCCCAAATATGAAGAAAGCATAATTCCTGATAGGCCTTTTCAGATTGTCACAGCAGTGTTTCAACTGGGGATACTGCTTTGCTGAATGCTGCCAGCTGTGAGCAGAAAAAGCTCTGCAGGCTCACCAGGCAGGTTCAAAGGTTCTGGGTATCAGAGGTAGGAAAACTGGAGCTTATGGCAAACCCCCATGGGGAAGTCACAGCTGAGGCTTTGGGGTTTTAGAGTAAAGCCATGACATCTTTAGTGGCGAATTATGTACTTAAAAAATATTATATATATATATGGTTTGTATTTTTGATGATGTATGGCAGATGGAGCACCTGACTATGGAGCAAAAACCATCATATGGTCACAACTGCCAATCATGAGCTGGGGTTCTGTCAGATCTTCTAATTCATAACATTGGGCAGGTGCAACAAGAAGCCACTGTAAGATAGGATTGGTATATCCAAGACTGGGCAAGAGCAGGACCAGAAGGTTCAAGGGAATTGCATGAGCACACAGCCCAGACCCCCATGTCATCCATCGCTGTTGTGTCACCAGACCTGTTCAGAGCGGGAGCTGGCCCTGTCCCAACACAATCCAGGACCTTTCTCGTATCAGACGACCTCCAGGCTCTTGACTCATACAGGAAAGATTTCAAGAATGATTTGGAGTGAGAACAAAAGCAAGTTTTATTCAAGTAGAGACAAAGCATGGGCTCCTATTCACCAAAGCCTATCTAGTGTTTCTGCCATTGCCTCTGTGAAAGAGGCAGAAGTACGCGTCTGAGTGGATGTGGGCCAACTTGCAAGTGAGTTGTGCACACGGTCAGTCAGTTCCTGGGATTTTTATGTGTTCCAGGTTTTTGAAACCTGTGGCACCAAATTTTGTCTCCACTTTCAGGTTGGGAGTTCCTAATATGGTCCATTCAGAAGTGTCATGGTGTTCACCACCCGCTTGGCCCCCACCTCTACTTGCGATGTCAGTTTTCATTAAAATGATGGTACAGTGAGCTTTGGGGTCAGGTCTTTGGTATTTCTTCCATTTGGGGATGATCTGGTTCTAGCCAGTCGTTGTTGTTGACATCTGCAACTAAGGCAGGGGTTTTCCTGCCATAAGGTGGAGGCTCTGGTGAGAGGACCTAGAATCTGTCTGTAATATCAGATCCTGCTTCCTCATTTCACTTGGTATTTTCCCTAGGTCCTCTCTCTTAGATCACACCTCTAGGTATATGGGCCATCCCTTAAGACCAGATGAAGAGTAAAAACCCAGACTTGGTTTATGAATTAGTTGCTTCCATGGGTGCAAGCTGAAAATAGATGGCAACTGCCTTATAGCTGCACTCAGGGGTGGGTGGCTTTGGTAAACAGTCACAAGGGGAAATCTTCCCAATGGGCAGAGCTTCAAGTGGTGTACCTAGTCATCCCCTTTGTAAGCAAAGAGAAGTGGCCTACGTGTAGAGTATTTGTGGACTCAGGGGCAGGGAGAAATTACTTGACTGGCTATTAAGGCATTTGGGAAGAGAATGATTGAAAGGTTGAATACAAGGGGTAGAGGGTTGAATATAAGGGGTAGAGGCATGTGGCATATGGGAATGGTCATGAAATGTATCTTCATATCACACATTATCACCACCCAAAAGTTGGCACAATGGGCACATGAGCAAAAGAATGATGTTGACAGGGATGAAAGTTATGTATGGGCTCAACAGCATGGGCTCCTATTGACTAAAGCTGATCTAGTGTTTCTGCCATTGCCAATTGTCCAACCTGTCAGAAACAGAGACCAACACTGAGTTCTTGAAATGACACAATTCCATGAGACCACCCACCAGGCAAGTTGATTACACTAGGTATAGTAACAGGCACATTCCAGACGTGTTTGTCTTTCTTCCTCGCATCACTTTTTGAGGGTTTACAGACAGACGGTTTGATTCACTGGCATGGCATCATTCATAATTTTGTGTTTCACTAGGGGATTAAAATCACAATAAAGGTGTGGGAATGGGTTCATGATCAGGTGACCCATAGGTCTACGACATACTGAGTCACCCAGAAGTTGCCTGAATGACAGAGTATTGTAATAGTTAATAGAGGCACAGTTATAGCATCACCTTGAAGGGTTGGAGGTGATATTTTTGAGGATGGAATATAATCTAGGATGTTCAAAACATTTATACGGTGCTGTGTCTCTGCTAAGAGAATACATAAGTCTGGGAACCAGTAGGTGGAAGCAGAAGTGGCCCTATTTGTCATTAGTCTTGTGACCTTCTAGAAATTTTTGCTTCCCATCTGAGCAACTCCTGATTTACAGCCATGTTATCATGGGACTCTATTTTTTGTTTTTAATATATTTTTATTGTTTCAGAGAGGGATAGAAACATCAATGATGAAAATCATTGATGGGCTGCCTCTTGCACGCCCCCTATTGGGGATCAAGCCCCCAACCTGGGCATGTGCCCTTGATCGGAATCGAACCTGGGACTCTTCAGTCTGCAGGATGACACTCTATCAACTGAGCCAAACCAGCTAGGGCCATTGGACTCTATTTTAATAAACAATAGATAAAACCAGAATATCTGCTAAATTTACAATGTTAAATATTTAAAATATTTTTTTTTTTTATTGATTTCAGAGAGGAAGGGAGGGAAACATCAATGATGAGAGAATACTTGGTTGGCTGCCTCTTGCACACCCCCTATTGGGGATCGAGCCATAACCTGGGCATGTTCCCCGACAGGGAATCAAACTGTGACCTCCTGGTTCATAGGCAGACACTCAACCACTGAGCCATTGCAACCAGGCAATAATGCTAAATTTTTATATTCTCGAGATTTCACTTGACACTAGTTTTCAGTGTCATAAAGCACTTATTCATATTCTTATGAAACAATTATGAACAGAGTATATAAAAATGAGTCACAAATTTACCCTACAATTTTTCTATAATAAGTATTCAATTCTGTATAAAAATGTAAATATTACCTTTATTGTTAACATTTACATTTGGTTCTGTAAACAAAGTTGGCAAAAAAAAAACACAACCACCTAAGAATTTCTATACATATTTATAAAAATTTCAGTATGATTTTTATCCCTTTTAAATTTATTTTTTTAAAATCTAAAAGCCAGTAAATGTAGAATTTGAAGGGAAAGAGGAAAACAGTGATGAAAGATTTGAATCATCCTCCCTCCAAATATCAAAACCATCACATATTCCACCATTTTCGGTGTAGCTTGTGAAACCGAAAAATTCTGATGTCTCTTCACTAGTCTGAAATAAGTCTAGTAGAGATTGTGAACTACAAATTCTGTTTTCCTCTTGTGTAATAAGACATTCAGTTCTTTTCTTATCTAAATCCACATTTGGTTCCAGATTTTCTTTTTTATTTCTTCGTAATAATATTTTCACTTTCCGACAGATTTTACCAGAAGGTAAGCTATCCATATTCTTGATGTCACATTCATTGGGTTCCCCAAGACAACTTCGGGATGGAGTGTTTGCCTGAATAGTTCGGTGCTCCTGTGAACTGTTCACTGCCGACAGACCATAATCATGACATATTAAATGAAGGTCCTTTTCCTTCAGATCCTTTGCTGGAAAAAGCACAACATCTGATTTTTGTTTTGGTTGAGATGCACTATTATCTATATTGAAATTAGAAACTTGTATAGATGTCTGTAGCCTACACAGACAATGATCTGTTCTTATTTCTTCCAAGTTGTTTTCATTTATAATTAATTTATGTTTAGAAATATCAAGAATGCATCCCTGTCCATTTTTACCTGGAAATAGATGTGTAAAATTTTGTTTTATGTCATTTTCAGCTGGATTTAACGTGGAATATTGATTTGTTTTCTCAACAAGTCCTCTCAATTCATCTGAAGGGCTAGAGATGTGCTCTGAAATAAACACAAGCTCCTCTTCAGGTTGCTGGGTTTCTTTATATAGAAAACTCCGCTTGATCACCTGTACGTTATTTTCCCTGAAGTCTTTCTGAGAAATAGGTTGCAATTCTAGCTTTTCTTTTGGTTCAAACTTTTTCAGGATATTTGCAGTAATAGGAGAAAGGGATCCAACGCTGTATTTTAATCTTTTTAGAAAAAAAGAAAAAGAATTGCCAAAAAAAAATATTTCTTAGTAGTTAAACATTAAATTAGTAAAAATCTTTTAAAACTATTTACGAAACTTATTTAACTTAGGCAATATTACAAAAATACAGAAATATTAGCATTCAGACAAATTTAGATGTTTTTAAAGTAATAAACTTCTACAGATATAACTGAAAACTCTAGAGTACCCTCTTCCAATCCACACTCTTCCCTTCCAGCATCTTGAATGTGGTGTTTAAAACTCTTTCAACCATATAAATCAAACAAGATGATAGTAGAGAGATTTGGGTCACTTTCATTATTCTGAAAAACTTCTTAACTTCTATGTTGTGATGTACATTAATTTTGTCTTTTCAATTTAGTTAGCAATGTGGAATGAGCAATTATTGGGAAACCTAAGGCAGAAACACATACAGTAAGTCCTCGGGTTACATCAGAGATCCCTTCCTACAGCACAACGTAACGCAATTTTCACCGTAAGTCGGAACCCACCTACATCAGCACCTACGTCACTCACATGGAGCACAGACACAGCAGTAATGAAGTGAAACAGTAAAAAAAATTTAAAAGAAAGATAACAATTCCTGACCTTTATTTGTGGTAAATAAATAATAAAAAACATAAAGCACATATGAACATATGTTGAAATGACAGAACTTTTTTTTTAATAAATAAATGGGATATGGCGACGTAACCACGAAACGACGTACATTGAGTCTGACGTAACCCGAGGACTGTCTGTATTAAACTGGGTATTCCTTAATCAATTAGGTTGTTATCTGTACAAGCTGAGTCTTATGGTTCACAAAGCCTAAAATATTTACTACTTTTAAAAAACCCTCCTCTAGACTATAATGTTAAAATGAGGACCTTAAAAGTAATCTAAAATAAACACTTTTGGAAGTAAAGAGGAGAGAGGAAAGAAGTAATCAATCCTTAACCATATTGACATTCTCAAAATATATATTCCATCTAAGAATAGGAAACTTTGGATTTATTTTTAGTTTAAGAAAATAGTTTAAAATTTAAAACTTAGGTGGATAAATTACCTTTTCTTTTCAGGCATGTCCCTTTCATGTTCCACAAATTCAAAAACTAACTTAGATACAATGTTATCAACAACTTGATAGTGATTACTCTGTGCAAAATTTCTGTGTTGCTCAGTTAAGAGATGCTGAAACAAAACAAAAAAGCATATAAATTATAAAATTATATTTTTAAATCAACAGATACCTTTTTTTTGTTCAGGTTTTCTAACATTTACATGTCCCTAAAATTAAGTTTCTAATAATTACTCCAAAGTAATACCTTTTACTAGAACTTCGTAGGATGACAGAAGTAAACGTTAACTTTTGAGAAACCACCAAAACTACAGTTGACTCTTGAACACAGAGGTTAAGGGGTGCCGACTCCCTCACAGTCAAAAATCCATGTATAACTACACCAGTTGTCTCTCTGCATCTCCCCCACCCCAGATACCAAAATCCGAGATGCTCAAGTTTCCTAACTATGTAAAACAGCATAGATCAATGCATACAGTCAACCCTCAGCATCCACAAACTCCCAATTTCGGATCAAAAACAGTACAGGTATTTCTTTAAAAAAATAAAATAAAATAATCCATATTTCAGTGGAACCATGCAGTTCAAACCCGTTTGCTCAAGGGTCAACCTTACTTTGCTTTTCAGTCTTCCATTTTTCAATAAAAAAAATCAAATACTAATTTGTGGTTTCAATGTAACTGAAAACAAATGAACTATATCAGAAATCCGAAGATAAAGATGGAGAGAAAAAAAATAACTTTTACAGTGCTCTAATACTTTGAGAACACTTTTCCCTTTACTACTTTATTTTAGCCTTATACAATTACCATTAAATAAGATAGGGCTTATAAAATATCCAGTGAATAAAATGTTATAATTAATACACAAGAATCCAAAACAAGAAGCTATAAGGTAGATTGAACACACAAATGAAATACAATGAATGCTGTCAGGTATAAAAATAATCTTTAAAAAGGAACACATTGAGAATAGGCAGATGATTCCATTATCCAGTGCTTATAATGGAGAATAGAGAGAAGTAACTATTAATTTTAAGAGTGGTCAAGAACAAACATAAATTAATTCAGTGTATTGGAATAAAACTCACAGGAAACAAAGTTCCTTTTCAATAGGTGGAATCACCAGGCTAATTCTATTTGTTTGATTGCTAATCAGGGAGTTCTATCCAAAAGCCTATACCAAGATGATCATAGAAGAACCTCTATCTCAGTGGTTCTCAACCTTCCTAATGCCACGACCCTTTAATGCAGTTCCTCTTGTTGTGGTGACCCCCAACCATAAAATTATTTTCGTTGCTACTTCATAACTGCAGTTTTGCTACTGTTATGAATCGTAATGTAAATATCTGATATGCAGGATGTATTTTCATTGTTACAAATTGAACATAATTAAAGCCATAGTGATTAATCACAAAAACAATATGTAATTATATATGTGTTTTCTGAATTACAAGTTGTAATAGTTCCCATCTTTAACTTTCTCTTTATCCCACATATCCTTCCAACTATTCCATTTCTTTCTGCTACTTCAAAGAATTGTCTTCATTTTATTCTCATCCTCCCATTAGTAAATCACCTGCCCATTTATTAATTGCTTAAGCCTGCGATATTATAGTCACCCATGACTCATCTCTCTTACTCCCAACATCCAATCCACTGACAAATCCCCTTGGCCTCACTTTTGAATTACATCCACAATCTGACCATGACTCCTGACTTCTACTTAGTCTAGGTCTCCATCATCTGTTCTTTGGTCCCAACAACCAGTTTAATTTAGCACTTTTGCATTGTTTATTTCAATATCTACAGGTCTTACTGTTCCCTCACTTCTCTCAGGCCTCTAACTCAAATATTACCTTATCAGTCAGGTATTCCTTATCTAATCTATGTAAATAGCAAAATCACCATTCCTGCTTTATATTTTCTCACAGTACTGACCTAAATATTCTCTCTATACATTCTTTATTCTTTTATTCTAGTTACCTATCTCCCCTCCCCCTCCAAAAAATGTAATCTTTATAAGGGCAGGGAATTGGTCTTTGTTCAATACTTGCTCAGAGTAGTGATTCTTACATAACAGATGCACAATAAATATTTGTTGAATAAATGAGTAAAAATGATTTTTCAATATATATTTCCCCACTTTGGGTTCTTAAAATTTCAGATAATTCTATCAAAAAGAAATATATACTATTTAATAATTTAATGTTATAACCACAATCAGATATCTATTCATAGCTTTAAAAATATCAAACCCCAAACATAAAATCATGCATACAGTTTCGAGATCTTCATATTTTTGCAAGCAACATTCACAATATCCTTTTTTTTTCTTTTCTTTCAATTGGAGTTGAGTTGGGATTCCATCACATTTATCGCCATCCATTTGGATTCTGATAGAAATATATGATAAAAGGATTAACTGCTGAACATAAGGAATAATACAAATCAAACAGAATCTGCCGTAATCTGCACAGAGTTTTCTATCAACAAATACTTGTAACGTTTTTCTTTTTAAACAATTGAGAAGCAAACTAAGAACATAATGATGATTCTTGAGCATATTTCAGATCACTTAAGAAAAACAACACATTTTAATTATTTGCAATTTCAATTCCTCTTCCCCCCATCTATCTAGTTTCTAAATGTGAGACACTTAAAAGAAATTCAGACTTAAAATCTATCCAAGTGGCAATAAAAATATATGGGGTGGGGGGACCATAAGAGCGAACGAACACACACACACACACACACACACACACACACACACACGGCATTAATTATTTTCATGTTTGTTTAAGTGGATAAAAAGTTACTTAAAGGTTAAACCAACCTTAGTTTAACCTGAGTTTGCTTTTGGATGTTAGATGGCTTATCTATATCAAATGGACTGGAAGGCTTCTGAATAGAGTAATTTATATAAGGCATATTGGTCAGTTGAAGATAAAATGGTCTATAAAGTCTAAAAGAATAAAAAGAAAAATACATGAACATTTTTATGGTTAAAGAAAACACATTTGATGTTTTATATTTTAAAATCATGTAATTCATCTGGAATCTGAAATAAACAACAGAAATCAGTTAGACTTCCCTTCCCAATTCTAGACCCATTTTTTTTAACACATTAAAAACAAGCTTAACTGTGGTAAAATACGCGTAACAAAATTTACTTACTACCTTAACCATTTTTAAGTGTACAGTTCCATCGCATTAAGTACATTCACAATGTTTTGTAACCATGAACACTATCCATCTCCAGACCCTTTGCATCTTGCAAAACGGATTTTATACCCATGAAACAATAACTCCCCATTCTTTTCCCCACCAGCCAGACAACTACTATTCTACTTCCTGTCAGTATGAATTTAATGACTCTAGGTACCTCATTAGATGGAATCATGCAGTGTTTTTTTTTCTTATTTCACTTTGCATAATGTTCTCACAGTTCTTCCACGTTGTAGCAGTGTCAGAGTTTCATTCCTTTTTAAGGTTGAATAATATTCCATTGTCTGCATATACATTATCCATTCATTTTGGCTATAGTGAATAATGCTATGAACATATATGTATGTGCATATATCTCTTCAAGACCCTGCTTTCTATTACTTTGGATATATACCCAGAAGTGGAATTGCTGGATATGGTATTTCTAATTATTTTGAAGAACTTCCATACTGGTTTTCCATAGCGGATGCAAAATTTTCCAATCCTGCCAACAATGCTCAACACTTATCTTCTGTTTTGTTTGTTTATAATAGCTAACCTAAAAGATATGAGGTATACTGTAGTGTAATGATTTGCATTTCTCTGATAAACAGCAATGCTGAACATCTTTTCATATGCCTATTGGTAACTTGTATATCTTTGGGGAAATGTCAAATCCTTTGTCCATTTTTAGGTCATTTGATTATCTGTTGTTGACTTTTTTATTTTAATCCTCACCTGAGGATATTTTTCCATTGATTTTTAGAGAGTGGGAGGGAGGAGGAGAGACAGAGAGAAACGATGTGAGAGAGACACATCCATTGGTTGCCTCCTGCACACATCCCAGGGAAATCGAGCCTGCAATGGAGATAGGTGCCCTTGAACGGAATTGAACCTTCAGTCCTCAGGCCTACACTAAATCCACTGAGCCAAACCGCCTAGGGCTTGACTTCTTTATATCAATGCCTTATTAAACATATGATTTGCAAATATCTTCTCCCATTCCATGGGTTCCCCTTTTCACTTTGTTGTAGCCTTTGGTGCACAGAAATTTATAATTTTGATGTAGTGCAATTTTATTTTTTTTAATCTTTTATTGCTTGTGTTTTTGGTCTTATATCCAAGAAATCACTGCCAAATCCAATGTCATAAAGCTTTCCCCTAGTGTTTTTTTCCAGGAGTTTTACAGTTTTGGGTTTTTAAGCCATTTTGAGTTTTGAAAACAAACAATGTCCTTTCCCCACTAAATGATCTTGACATCCTTGTCAACATGTGAAGATTTAGTTCTAGGCTCTTTATTCTATCCCACTGGTCTATATATCTGCCTTTTTTTCAGCACCAAACTATTTTGATGACTGTAGTTTTGTACTAAGTTTTGAAATCAGGAAGTACAGATCTCCAACTTTGTTCTTTTCAAGACTGCTTTGGGTGTTCAGGGTCCTGTGAAATTCCATATGAATTTTAGGATAGATTTTTCCCTTTCTGTTAAAAAAGTCATTGGGATTCTGACAGGGAATGCACTGGATCTGTAGATCACTTTGGGTACCACTGATATCTTAACAATATGAAGTGTTCACATTCATGAACATGGAATATCATTTATTGATGTCTTCTCCAGGCCTAATTTTGAATTGCAGCCCCGCCCCCCATAATACATTTCATAAACAGAAGCATTCAACACACATTAATCACCTCAGTGAGTACCCGAGAGAATTAATTACACATCTAAATGAGTAATTAACCACACATGTCTGAATAACTGGAAAGTCAAGGTAAAGAAATATGATTCCTCCATGCCAACTTAATTCGCTCACACCTTAATTTTCATTAATATTATCCTATAATATATGAGAGTGAGTTTAGAAAAACTACCACATAAAATGTTAAGACTCAGCCATGGCCAGGTAAGTTCAGCTGGTTAGAGCATCGTCCTGATACACCAAGGTTGTGGGTCTGATCACATATAAGAAATCAACCAATAAATTCCTAAGTGGAACAACAAATACATGTTTCTCTCACAAGCTCTCTCTAAAATAAAAAAGTTAGACTCAGATTTGTATTTCCAAATAGCAACTAATAATTTCTTTTTAACAAATGTAGAAGCAATTATTAAGTAGTTGTTATAAATCATATGGTACTGTATTTACCCAGATAATGGTTATTTGAAACTAGAGGCCCGGTGCATGAAAATTCATGCACTGGAGGGGGGGAGTCCCTCAGCCCAGCCTGCCCCTTCTTACAGTCTAGGAGCCCTCAGGGATGGGAGGCGACCGGCAGATTGAACTTAGATACTTACTGGCTCATATCTTCCACCTTTAGAAAAGGCTTTTTGAGTCTACCTGCTTGAAAACATATTAAAACATGGTATTAGATATTACAAATCCATGATTTAAAACAAACAAACAAAAAACTACTCTGGCTAAAAAACAAAACAAAACACACAACACACACAAAAAAATCACCAACTATGTACCCATTATCCATTTCATTTCAATTAGTTCTAATCTCAGGCGAGTTATTTTACAATGTCAATCCATTTCAAAATAACAGAAGCTCCGTCTATATTCTGAGATTCTGAAACTAAATGCCGCGCCCCGCCCCCCACCATAGACCTACGAGTAGAGTTCAGGAGGCTCAAGAGGTTCAACAGGAAAAAAAACAAATTCAACTTTTATTTTTACTAACTTCTAACTGAAATTTGACATTTCCTCAAATTATTCATATAAGTATTACCAGTGCTGGGAATTTTGATACAAATCAAAACAGGTATTTTCCTATCATATTAATTACTACAGATATCTCAAAGCATCATTTATGTTCATCACTTTAAAATTACAGTAATCAGAATCAGTTTTAGAGCTTGACTTTAATGTGTAATTAAAGCATGTATATTATTTTTCATTAAAAATTCTGTTAACTCAATCCAGTATTATTTTCTTAGTAAACTAATAATTAAAAAAATGTATTTTTTAAACAGATTGCTACATGGGTACAGGTTCTTAAAAAGACTAGGAACTACTGAGTAAGTCATCTGAAGTTATTTACATGATTTTTAAGAAAATTATGTTCTGTTTTCTATAGCAAACCAAACACATTTAAGTATATCAAAATACTTACTTCTTGTTTTCTGTATGCCAACACCTACTCTTTTCCCCTAAAAAAAAAAAAATTTGATAGTGAAAATACTGGGTTTGATAGTATAGTGAAAATTGCAATTACCCTTAAATTATTTTTTTAAAACCATATAGGAAAAGAACAATATAAAAGAAAAAAAAAATCATTATAGTCTATCAATTCCAGTCAAGCTGGAATACATCCAATCCCATTGATTATAACCAAAAACTGAACAAAATACAATAAGCAACTACCTGCAGACTGAAAAGTACACAGAAGCAAGAATATTGTTGAAGGAAGTAAAAACTTAGAGAGAGGCTACCTTTAGGGGGTAAGTTTCCCATCCCCCCCTCTTTCTCTTGCAATTTTGCCTTAAGGACGAACCAACCTATAGTCACGGAGTTGGTGGGAAGAGTGAAGCCAGTGATTACCTCTCCTATGCAAACCCCATCTTTCTAGCTAGAAAGAACCTGGAAAGAGGCTCCTGCAATCCAAAGATTACAAAGAGAATCACTGTATTATGTTCTTTTTGATTTCTCCCACCTTTTTGCCCTTTGGGTGGGCCCCAGTTATGAAATTGCAATTGTAAAAGTACCACAAGCAAATGAAATTGAGAAACCATGAGTTTCTGACTAGAGAAACTATAAAAAGGGTTACTTCATACTGGAGAGTGAAGGGGAAACCACAGATAATAGCAAGCTGGAGAAGGGGATCCCTAATTCCCTGTATAAATCCACATAAAAACCGGGGTTAACTCTAAGCTGCATATTCTAAGGACAGATACAAAGCAAGAGCTTTGAAAATTGGAACTATAAGATTCAAACTACACTGCCCAAGTCTTGGGCTAATCTATAAGTGATGCATATGCAGAACAAACAGAAAGCTCCATACAAGTCTTTGAAAACAGAAACCGAGATTAGACCTGCCATCTAATTTGAGACAGAACTGATAGTCTGAACCAAATTTGATGACTGCCTGCAGCAGCAACAAAAATCAACTTTCTTTAAAGTATTATCATAGATCTGGAGCTTATACAACATTTACAATGTCTAATACGCATTCAAAAACTATTTGATAACAGTTTATTCTTATACTGGAGGCCCGGTGCACGAAATTCATGCATGGGTGTGTGTGTCCTTCAACCCTCTCCAATCTGGAACCCCTCGAAGGATGTCCGAATGCCGTTTAGGCCCAATCCTACCGGAACAGGGCCTAAGTGGGCAGTCGGACATCCCTCTCACAACCCAGGACTGCTGGCTCCCAACCGCTCGCCTGCCTGCCAGCCTGATAATCCCCTAATCACTCCCCTGGCAGCCTGATCGAAGCCTAACTGCTCCCCTGCTGGTCCGATTGCCCCCAATTACCCTCCCCTGCAGGCCTGATACCTCCCAACTGCCCTCCCCTGCTGGCCTGATTGCCCACAACTGCCCTCCCCTGCCGGCCATCTTGTGTGTTGGAGTGATGGTCAATTTGCATATTACCTCTTTATCAGATAAGATTATTTATTAATTATTGTATTATTTTTCCATACAAACAATCATAAACCTACTTCTGAACACCCAGTATAATAAAAAGATCCATTCACCAAGAAGACATAAAAACATTAGATGTGTACACACTTAACAATGCTCAGGACAAAGAATAAGTCATTAAGGTAAAATTTAAAATATTTTCAATTAAACAAAGATGAAAACAGGACATGTCAGCAACAGAAACTCTCATTCATTACTGGTGGGAATGCAAAATGGGATAGCCATTTTGGAAGACAGTTTGACAGTTTCTTATAATACTAAACACACTCTTACCATATGATCCAGCAACCATGCACCTTAGTATTTATTCAAATGAGCCGAAAATACAAAAACCTTCACATGGATATTTATATCCTTAATCTATATCCATAACTGGCAAACCTGGAAGCAACCAAGATGTCTTTTGGAAGGTGAATGGATAAACCATGGCATATCCAGACAATGGAATTTTCAACTATAAAAACAAATGAGCTACCAAGTCATGAAGACAGGAACTTTTAAATGCCTAACACTAAGTGAAGAAGCCAATCTAAAAGGCTATATATATACTGTGATTCCAACTGTATGACATTCTGTAAAAGGTGAAATTATGGAAACAGTACAAAGATCAGTAGTTGCCAGAACTAAGTAGGAAGGGAGGGGTGAATAGATGGAGTGTGGAGGATTTTTAGGGCATTGAAATTATATTTTAGGGTACTGTATGGTAGACATGTCACTATACATTTGTCTAAACTGAAAGGCAAAAGTGAACCCTAACGTAAACTACGGACTCTGAGTGATGATGACTTAATATAGGTTCATCAATTAGTACTACTCTGTTGTAGATTATTGATAGTAGTAGATGTTGTGCGTACACTGAAAACAAGGGGTATAAGGGAATATCTGTATCTTCTACTCAATTTTACTGTGAACCTAAAGAAGCTCTAAAAAATAAAGTCTAGCTCTGGTTGATGTGGCTTCAGTTAGTTGGAGTATCATCCTATACACCAAAGGGTCACAGGTTTGATTCCCAGTTGGGGCATACACCTAGGTTTTGGGTTTGGTCTCAGTTGGGACATGTATGAGAGGCAGTTTCTCTCTTACATCAATGCTTTGCTCCCTCTCTCTCCCCTACCTTCCCCTTCCCCTCTCTCTAAAATCTGGAAACATATCCTCGGGTGAGGATAAAATAAATAAAGTCTATATATTTTTAAAAATCTAATATAAAATGTTTGGGATGAAGCTAAGGCAGAGCTTAAAGGGAATTTACAGTAAAGGTGGTTCTTTAAAAAGGAGAAATAAAATAAAACTAGCCAGGCTGACCAAGAAAAGAAAAAAAGGCATACGATAATGATATTAGGAATGAAAGAGGAGACATCATTACAGACCCTATAGACATTAAAGGCTTAATAAAGGAATATTACAAACACTTTTGCCATCAATTTGACAGTTTTAACAATATGTACAAGTCCTTTGAAAAACACAAACTACCAAAGTACACTCAAAAATAAATAAACAACCCAAGGTTCCTCTGTCTAATAAAGACATTGAATTCATATTTGAAAATGTCCAACATAGAAAATTTCACACCCCAATAATGTTACTGGTAAATTCTACCAAACATTTAAAAAGTAAAACCGATTCTACAAAAACTTGTCTAGAAAATAGAAGAGAAATACATTCTAGCACTTTATAAGCACAGCATTATCTTGACATTGAAATCAAAGACATTGAAAGAAAAAGATGACCAATATTTCTCAGGCAAATATATGCAAAAAATCCTCCAAAAAAAACACCCAAAACATGTTTCTGGTTAACTGGAAGGGGGGGGGGGGGGTACCTCAAAGCACTTTAAATAAATTAGTGGAGCAAATACATTTATCCAACTTTAAAAATTAACGAGAGTATTTGTGAGAATATAATTAATGTGTTAAAATTTGTGGTATGTCTAAGTTTATAGCTGTCCATTTAAGGCCCATAAATGCACCTTCATTGAAAAGTTTTACGTTTTAGTACTTGGCAAACCAAAATTATTCCAGAAACATTTTTTTTTCTCATTCAAAAAACAAACAAAAAAACCTGCCAGAAGTGGAATCAAGTTGACCAATTAATCACACATCCTGGATTATAGAGATATTTGGTATTTTTATCATTTTTGTTTGGAGAGAAAAGTAAGATATTTTTCACACCCATGTAAAACAGTGGACTGGGAGCATATGGGAAGGAAGCCAATTGACTGCCCATCTCTCCCTTCCTCTTTCTCTAAAATCAGTAAAAACATATCCTTGGATGAGAATTAAAAAAAACCAGCTTTTAACTTTTTTTCCTAGTACCTGGCACACAATAGACACTGAGTATTTGTTGAATACTAAATGAACAATGGAGGTTACATGTGTAATCAACACCTAGCATTTAAAGATAAGACAAATCTGAACCCTCATAAAGTTTATATTGGATTTAAGGCACTGAAACCTGTTAATAAGTATCTTTTAAATCTTCCGCTCTTCATCTATTACTACTTTTAAGCAGGCTTTCAACCTTTTGCCTGATTACAGACATATCATCCCAGAATACTCAATATGTGTGTGTATTCAGAATCCATAAATGTCCTTTTGAGTTTAAATTTCCATCTACTTTTATGTTCAATCCAAATAATTTGCAAAGTGCAGTAGCATATTTAGCATATTTCAATAAAGGAATATCCACCCATCATTTTGCAAAAATCTGGGAATAGTCATTTGGAAATTTTTTTTACTTGTAAATGAGACAACCAAACAAATAAAATATTAGCAATTTTATTTAAATACTAAGTAAATTATTTGTTCCTTTCTGAACTGTTTATATTTTATATAAATTAAAATTTATTAAAAATGTGAAGTCACAAAGACTTTATGAATCATTGTATATAGCATGCATATATGGGTACTCATGATGTAAAATATTTCTTAATGAAAATTGTGTTCAAAGAGTTCAAAGGCCAATGTCCAACTGCTAGTCTTGCCAGCAAATATTCTTTACTGGCAATCAGATCTTTCCAAAATGCCTATCCAATCAGTTCCTCTGTTAATAATTTCGCAATAAATTTCCAAACCCTTCAAGAAAAAATCTACTCCTTTATATAGTGTACAAACTCCTCTATACTTTTATGTGAACCCGCTAATTTTTCCAGCTTCATTTCTTGTCATTCTCTTGCTCTAAGAGTCAATATGTATTACAATACAGAAAATTTGCAAAAACATGCCATCCTAGTTATGACTTATGTCTTTACATACATTCTTCTATAAAATTTATCTTCCTTTTAGATCATATTCATTTAAGGATTGAGTGAAGAGAAGCAGACCACAAAAGAATGGTCTGACAGATAGACCCTATAACAGAACTATGAATACAGTATCCAAGTTTACCTTAGGATATTCTGGCAATAATATATTCTACTTGGCAAAAAAAATCCAGATATATAAACAAAAACCAAACTTGATCACTTTCTTTAATTAACTTAAAAAGAAAGGAAAATAACATACCAAATCTCTTATAGCAGTGCTTGATTTCTTGAGTAAACACAATTCCTTTTTCTTTTGTTCAATGTAGTATCTTATGTCTTTATTAGAAGAAAGAAGGGTTTAAGATTAGCATTTTACCTTTGGAGTTAACAGGTATTTCTTGCAATCAGAATTTTCACTATGTAAAGTTTGGAACCAAGGGAAAGAAATATATAAGAAAGAAAAGAAGGATAAAATCCTTACCATCAATATGAATAATTTTTACTCCCCACGATAAGGCATTTGACAATATACTATTTGAAGGAATAAAATCCTGTAAAAACAAACAAATAAAATCAAAACAAAACAGTCTGATAGTTTTTCTAAGAAATTGCTATTTTAAATGAGCTGAATTTAAAAATTATTTGAAACAATGTCGCTGAACACTCTATAGTTACAACAGCAATGATAACACCAGTTTTTTCAAACCTGCTTAATACATTCCCATATTCTTGACAATTACTACACAATACAGCCTTACAGTTATTAGTTTCAAGAAATTATTCCATTTAAAAATACCAGCAGCTTCAGAAATCTTTAGTAATACTTTAAAAGACCACACGATGGAGATGTTTCTTCATGAAAGTGGATTCTGTTCTTTGTAAAACAAGATACATGCTGATATTTAGGCTTTTCCCATGAAAACAAGGAAAGATTTGAAGAACATCTATCTCTATTTTCTACTTGAGTTTTTAATAACAGAATATACACTGTTTTTAAAGTTACTACTTATACTTACATGATCCTTGATAGCTTTTTCAGCTAATAATTTTCCTCTGCTCAAACACACCTATAAAAAGACCAGAGAACAATCAGAAATAAAAGGTTTGTGCCTCATTGAAAAAGGGAAAAAGCTAAACTGAATTGAATGTTGTCGAGACCCAAGGTCAGTTCTTTAGTAAATTCTATTTAACATGAAAAATAAAATAGCTAGGTTCCTCTGAAACCGTCTAAAATTCAGTAAGTTTACATTTTAGTTTTCCATTAAACTAAAGATGTAACTGTATATATTGTTTTATATGGTATTTCACTTTTTAAACAAAGCACCAGAAAAGCAGTTGAAATGCTGAGTTACAATTAATTTGGAACTAGTCACTGGTGTATAATCTCATTCCTCCAAAAAGCATGAACTAAAAAGATATATTAGGCTTCCTTGTTCTCCTCTGTCTTTGACTTTTTTCTATGTATTTGTCTTTTTTTATCAAGTGATATTTCTTATGTAACTCATTTCTTCTATTCCCTGCCCCAATTTTTCTTTCTTCGCAAGTGGCTACAGTCGATAAGTTGAGATTTTAAAATGATAATTACATTTCAATCTAAAAATAAGATGAACATTTTAGTTTTTAATCTCTTCCCTTTTCCACATCAAATTAAATCAGTTTAATTTATTCTTCACTGTATCTTCCAACTTATTGACAAAGGAGTATGATGTCAACAAATCTAGAATAGGGGTTGGCAAACTTCTACACATTTTAGGCTCTCCTGGCTTTGTAGTCTTTCCCAGCTATCCAGTTCTGACTTTATTCATTTACATATTAACTGGTTGCAGGAAAGCAGTAAACAATCAGTCAATAAGTAAACACATGGGTATTATTGCTATGTTCCAATAAAACTTTGTGAACAAAATTTAAATTTCATTTCAATTCCACTTGTCACAAAATATTTTGATTTTCTCCCTATTTGAAAATGTAAAACCATGCTTTGGCTTGAAAGCTATAAAAAACAGGTGATGGGCTGGATTTGGCCAGTGGCCATAGTTTGCTAAGCCCTGCTCTAAAACAAACAAAATATTTCCATTTCTTCTTTAAACAATGACCCACTGTTACTTCTAAGTTATAAATTACTCTAAAAAATAAAGTCATACCATCATATCTAAATGCAAAGGTCTATTTTAGGAAGCAGAGTATAACTATACAAGCACTACTGGGGAAAAAAAAATCATCTTTCTGTCAGACAGCAGCCCTATTAATGACTGGAAAGCTACACATAATGTAGACATTGTTCTACCTAAGCAAACTCTGAGGCCAGCCTGCTCTTAAAAATCATAAGATCCTCAGGCTGTAGCCTTTACGAGCGACTCAAAACACATTTAAGAGACTTACTGAATCTGGAGACTTAAATGAACTTCCATCATGGCTGGGATGAGGTGAAGTGGTTTCTGCAGTATATGCAGATTCTGGACTTGGTACAGGAGAAATCTGTCCAAAGGTTTGGGCAAATTTAGCTTCCTTTTTATTTGAAATAAGATAACTGATATCTTTGCTGAGAAATTCTTCAACTCGCTAAAGGAAAACAAAGTATTTTTAAGTGAGTCATATAAATCAGGCTTTTATATGTTAAGCCAGCTTTTTACACCCTTACCCTTAAGAGTGTAAGATGGTTTGTTTAAAGAGAATTTCCCTACTAAAATGCTTGAAAATCATTACTTAAATGTCTGAATTTAAAAACACATGTACCAAGCTCAGTATTATTGACAATCATTCCCATCCAAAGGCAGGAAAATTGAAATAAGTGAAAACAAATACTAAAGACTTCTAAAATATTTTAAACAGCTATACCTAAATTCTACAGGATCTCACAATATAAATAGGAAAATTTAAAAAATGAAGCAAAGTATGTATTAGATGAATTAATTTCATGTAAGCATTAAGCAGAATGTCCGGCTAAGGCCAGCAGTCCCCTTGGATAAATGCAAATCACTACTTCCTTCCCCCACAGAATGTCTCTCATTCTGTGGGTTTTCATTAACCAGTATATAAAATAAGTATTCACTTTTATTAATTCCAGGGATTATAAACTCAAATGCCTACAAGGGCCAGCAGAAATATAAAGGAATATTTTCATTTTCATTAATACGTGGCCCTCACACTGCCAGAGTTTCCAATTTTTCAAGAGCTCAATCTCCTACATGCTTCTAAAAATTGTGATAAAAATGACATAAAAGTTTAACCATTTTCAGGTGTATGATACAGTAGTACTAAGTACATTCATCATGTTGTGCAATCATCACCACGACCCATTTGCAGAACTTTTTCATCATTCCACCTGATGCTGTATACATTAAACCAAACTTCCCATTCTCCTTAGCCCTTTTTAATCGCTATTCTACTTTGTTTCTATGGATTTGACTATTCTATATACCACATATTAAGTGGACTCCTGTATTTGTCCTTTTGTTTGGCTTATTTCGCTTAGCACAATGTTTCCAAGGTTCATCCACATTGTAGCATGGGTAGGAATTTCATTCCTTTTCAAGGTTGAATGATATTCCATTGTATGTAAATACCACATTTTGTTTATCCATTTATCTGCTGATATTTGGGCTGTTTCCTCCTTTTGGCTATTGTGAATAATGCTGCTAGGAACAGGGTCTTCAAGACCCTGCTTTTAATCCTTTTAGAAATATACACAGAAATAGAATTGCTTGATCATATAGTAATTTTATTTTTAATTGAGGAGCCTTCATGCTATTTAGCATAGCAGTTGCATTAATTTATAATCCCACCAACAGTGCACAGGAATCCAGTTTCCCCACATCCTTATTAACATTTATTTTCTTATAGTGACCATCCTAATGGATGTGAGATGGTATCACATGTAGTTTTGATTTGTATTTCCCTAATGATTAGTGATGTTGAGTATCTTTTCATGTGTTTATTCACTATTTGAAGATCTTTGGAGAAAAGTCGAATTATCCAAATTCTTTGCTCATTTTAAAATCAGGTTGTTGATTTGTAATCTTTATACATTCTGGATACTAGTCTCTTATTAGATATGTGATTTGCAAATTTTTTTTCTCTCATTCTGTGGGTTGTCTTTTCACCTTCATAATGCTCTTTGATGAAAAAACCTTTTCATTTCTATAAAGTCCAATGTATCTGCTTTTTTTGTTTGCCTGTGCTTTCGGTGTCATATCCTAGGAACCAACACCAAACCCAATGCCATCAAGATTTTTCCTTATACATTCTTCTAAGAGTTTTAGAAGAATGTATTTTGATCTATTTTTAATTAATTTTAGCATATGATACACAGTAATGGTATAACTTCATTCTTTTGCATGTGGATATCTAGTTTTCCTAGCATCAGTTGTTGAAAAGATTTCCCTTTCCCTACTGAATGATCTTGGCAACCTATATATGATGATTGATTTCTGGTCTCTCTATTACAATGGTCTACATGTCTGCCCTTATGCTAATACTACACTTTCTCTTGGTTTTCCATTTCCTATAGCTTGAGTTACAACTCTTTAGTAGCGAATAAAGTATCATTTATAATTTGGCCCCTAGATAACAGTCTCTTGCCATTTTCCTTATCTAAATCCCAAATTCAAGTAATCTATAATAATAAAAGCATAATATGCTAATTAGATGTCATTCTGGACAAAGCTGCTGCGGCAGGGGCTGAGGCAGAGGCGGTTAGGGGTGATCAGGCAGGCAGGCAGGCAAACACTTAGGGACGCTCAGGCAAAGTGGTTGGGGGCAATCAGGCAGGCAAGCGGTTAGGAGCCAGGATTGTGAGAGGATGCAGGCCCGGCTGAGGGACCCTTCGCCCGCCCCCCCCTCCTCCCCTGTGCACAAATTTTGTGCACCGGGCCTCTAGAGGTATAATATTAGCTGCTGCTCGAAAAAACCACACTGAAATTTGTTTGAATGTATTCTTTCCTCTAATGAAGTTTGTTCATTCTGGTATATTACCAGGCTTTCAAAACTCAGCTCAAACTCTCTCTCGTGTAATTTCTAAAGGCAGAACCAATCATTTCCATCTCTATATTCTAATGGCAATTTCTACATAGTTTCTGTTAAAGTATTCATAATACTATGCTGTTAATTATTTATTTAGGTGACTGATATTCCCATAGAATAAAAATTCCTATAGAACTAGACTACCTCTTAACTTATTTTTGCATCCCCAGCATCTAAAATAGTGCTGGCATATGGGAGACACTGGTGGAATAATTTCTGAATGAATTTCCACATCCAAATCATAATCATTTTTTCAAAGCAGAGTTCAAATTGTGTCTGTAAAATGGCTTGCAAGATTCTTCAGTTGGCTGCAATCTTCCCCTCTTCTTGACCTTCTATATTGTATTAAAATAATTGCACCCATACCATCTCTACCTAGCTGAGGGAAGATGGGCATAAGATTCATTTTAGACTGTAACAAAACACTTAATATACTATGCCCTGTACTGCTGACTTAGTTTTATCATGGTCTTCAATTTATTAGCAACTGCTATTTTCTTATGACTCAATGTCACAATAAACATCAAACAAGTAACTGTCTTCAAGTTCATGATATGGCCAGGTATCTGCCCTTATATCTTTCTTCTTCTCCAACTGCCCTATTTTAGTCCACAATGTTTAGACATAGACTTAAATGTGGCTGGTTCCATATCCTTTTTAGATGGTTTTGTAACAGTTACTTTCTCTGTCACAATTAAAGATATTTCCCCATTATGTCAGACTTCATTGCTGTGCTCTTTATGGTTGAATTTGTCAGAAGTGCACTCTCCAGAAAAATGGGGTATTTAGAGGTTTTCACTAAGACTAGAGAAAACAAATGCATAAAGTGGACAATTAAAGGACAAAGATGGTACTAATCTGAAGCAAGATTAATTATAAAAAAAAAAAAAAAGGCCTAAGTAATCCTAAAACACTAAATAAGCAAAGAATTTTAAGTAATATCTAATTCAACTAACTGGTACTTAAAGTTGAATCCTAAAACTCTTAAATTAGTGTCTAGAGGTCAAAGTTCCTTAATAATTCACTAGAGATCTTAACAGTCTTTTTTCAGTGGTAGAAGTAGTAATGTGCTAGGGACAGAAATAAGGACATCACTAAATTATTGGAAAGATAGTCTATGGAGAGATCAGAATTTGATAAAAACATTTTTTTTTCCTGAAAAGGAATTAAGGAATCAAGTTAATAAGTCTATATTATCAAATGCATAAATTAATTCAAAATTTCTTCCAAGTGCCTTAGGAACTGATGGGGAGGGGTGAGAGGAGAGAAAAAGGGGGACAGGGCAGCAGTCCCAGCACTAGCTACTATACTGCTGTTTTAGCTAGAGCAGTTCCCTTATTACTGGCTTTACACTTTGGACATCTGAATATGATTTCATCTGAAGTGTTCCATTGCTAAAAACACAAATCTAAAGTCACAGATTTAGATCAGAGGGGCTAATGGTAATTCATCACATATGAGAAAGCTGCAAAACTGTGTAAGATAGTTTTTTTGTAACCATTAATTGCTAGAGAAACAGAATTGTGCAGCAGCATCGGAATCAGAGGTTAATTCAACACCAGGCCAGTCATTTACCTTCTCCTGATCCTTAAATATATAATTTCTAAAATAAAGGGGTCTTTACTCAATGTCTAAGGTCCTCAAAAAATTAAGACACTCTTGATAGGTGGTCCGGTCAACTTGGTAGCAGGCCTATATAAAACATGACTTTTAGGAATATAATCATATGGTTATTATGATATAGGATACTATGACAAAATGTGTTCGATGTTTTAAGAAAATGAATAGCAAAAAAATAAAATAGCTTTTCAAGGATAGGTAAGTAAAACATCACAATAATAAATAATTTCAGTAAACTTGTTACTTGTGCTTCTGTAAATATCTACTCCTGGAAAGACAGGATCTGTTCAAGATGTTAACCTTAACAAATTCTAAGTGCAGCAGAGATCTTTTAAACAGGAAGAATTAGGAAATAAATTAATAAAATTTTAGACTTACTCGCTAAAATTTACCTAATATTAATTAACCTTAAGCCCAAGAAAATCTTAGAATTTTACCAAGTTTTCTAATTTCCTAATCATTTACTCAATGTATAGCATAGAAAAGAAGCAGGTTTTCCAAGTTCTTAATCCAAAATTCTGTTCCCTTAATGACATTCATTGTGCTGAGACTCATCACTCAAGAGCAATTTTACTTCTTAGGTTTTCCTTGTTCTGTAAATAACATTCTTTGTTTGCTAATCCAGACAAATTTCTGTAGCTCTGCAATAATCATAAGCAAGGAGTTCCTGGTACGGGGAAGACATCCAGCATTACAATGGAAAGACAATTAGCAGTTCCACCAGGACAAGTTCACACTTTGTGAACATTACACTAATTATTTAAACTAATAATCATAGAAAACTGAAAGTTTTACTAGGCTACAAAGGTTAAAACAGATAGTTTTCCATTAATGATATAAAAAGTTTGCACTTGGTACTAATGATGTTCTCCCAAATGACATTTTAAACGATTATATATTAAAAAGTACTAGCTACAAATTTTTCCTTTTTTCCAGTGTATAATTCTGACTTACCCCTCCTAGATCCTTAATGTCCTTTTGCAGTTTTTCAGAAATGGTGACAGATGGTAAGTCGATGTAAAATATCTTTCCCCAAAGTGGCTTACATTTGGATTTTTCTGGTTTGTTAAGAGTTTTCAGAGATTTCAAAGATGGTCTGTTCTTTTCATTTTTGAGTTGGATTCCACCTATTGTTTAAACATTTAGAATTAGAACTGCAGACAAAAAGAATTACGATGTTTTAAAAACAGTTTTGTACACACTAATCATATCACAGAGGGGAAAATCTTTATCCCACCCATTCAAGCCCTATTTCTTTGTGGTCCCACTTAAGACGATGGGAAAATACCCAGTACAGTTTAACCGAACCTGTATTGCAAAGCAAGGATTGTTTACAGCCCATATCTGAGTCTGAAGGAAATAAATATTCACGCGTTTATGTTTTATGTATGAAAGTAGGGAACCAGTACATAAAACCTTATTGAAAGATTTTCCTCCTCCTAAAATGCAAACTTCATGGGGTATTTACTCAACAAACTATTTCTGGAGCATTGCCTTTCTGCTGAACACTCAAAACAGGTACTTAAATGCTAAATGTTTGGCCCCATCAGTGCAGCTATGGGGCTCCAGTGCAGTGCGGCTATGGGGCTCCAGTGCGGTGCAGCTCTGGTGCTCCAGTGTGGCTAGGAGGCTCCAGTGCGGCTCTGGGCTCCAGTGCAGCTCTGGGCTCCAGTGTGGCTAGGAGGCTCCAGTGCGGCTCTGGTGCTCCAGTGTGGCTCTGGGCTCCAGTGCGGCTAGGAGGCTCCAGTGCAGCTCTGGTGCTCCAGTGCGGCTAGGAGGCTCCAGTGTGGCTATGGGCTCCAGTGTGGCTCTGGGCTCCAGTGCGGCTAGGAGGCTCCAGTGCAGCTCTGGTGCTCCAGTGCGGCTAGGAGGCTCCAGTGCGGCTCTGGGGCTCCAGTGCGGCTCTGGGGCTCCAGTGCGGCTCTGGGGCTCCAGTGCGGCTATGGGCTCCAGTGCGGCTATGGGCTCCAGTGCGGCTCTGGGCTCCAGTGCGGCTCTGGGGCTCCAGTGCGGCTCTGGGGCTCCAGTGCGGCTATGGGCTCCAGTGCGGCTATGGGGCTCCAGTGCGGCTATGGGCTCCAGTGCGGCTCTGGGCTCCAGTGCGGCTCTGGGGCTCCAGTGCGGCTATGGGCTCCAGTGCGGCTGGGGGCTCCAATGCGGTGCAGCTATGGTGCTCCAGTGCGGCTGGGGGACTCCAGTGCAGCTATGGGCTCCAGTGCGGCTATGGGCTCCAGTGCGGCTGGGGGCTCCAATGCGGTGCAGCTATGGTGCTCCAGTGCGGCTGGGGGACTCCAGTGCAGCTATGGGCTCCAGTGCGGCTATGGGCTCCAGTGCGGCTGGGGGCTCCAATGCGGTGCAGCTATGGTGCTCCAGTGCGGCTGGGGGGCTCCAGTGCAGCTATGGGCTCCAGTGCGGCTATGGGGCTCCAGTGCAGCTATGGGCTCCAGTGCGGCTATGGGGCTCCAGTGCGGCTATGGGCTCCAGTGCGGCTATGGGGCTCCAGTGCGGCTATGGGCTCCAGTGTGGCTATGGGCTCCAGTGCAGCTATGGGCTCCAGTGCGGCTATGGGGCTCCAGTGCAGCTATGGGCTCCAGTGCAGCTATGGGCTCCAGTGCGGCTATGGGGCTCCAGTGCAGCTATGGGCTCCAGTGCGGCTATGGGGCTCCAGTGCAGCTATGGGCTCCAGTGCGGCTATGGGGCTCCAGTGCAGCTATGGGCTCCAGTGCGGCTATGGGCTCCAGTGCGGCTATGGGGCTCCAGTGCGGCTATGGGCTCCAGTGCGGCTATGGGGCTCCAGTGCGGCTATGGGCTCCAGTGCGGCTATGGGCTCCAGTGCGGCTGGGGGCTCCAATGCGGTGCAGCTATGGTGCTCCAGTGCGGCTGGGGGGCTCCAGTGCAGCTATGGGCTCCAGTGCGGCTATGGGCTCCAGTGCGGCTGGGGGGCTCCAGTGCGGCTGGGGGGCTCCAGTGCGGCTATGGGCTCCAGTGCGGCTATGGGCTCCGGGCTGAGCGCGCCCAGGGGTCGCCAGGGGGGCTCCCGGCGGCCCGTGTGGGCTTCAAACAGGGTGGGGGCCCTGCATGGGGCAGGGATCCATGTTCCCATCTCTCACCCCCTCCCCTTTCGGCTGTCTCCGCTCCTCCCTATCCAAAGTCAATAAAAACACACTTTTATTAAAAAAAAAAAAAAAAAAAGTTAAACACATAGCAATGCAAGAACCCTGGCTCCACGAAGGACCTGGTCCTCAGAGATCCCGCACCGCGCGAGGTTTAGCTCATCGAGAGTCACCTCTCCGTGGAGAACTACATGAGGCCCCGAGTCACCATTCATCTCACTATTTCCAGGCCGCTTTCAAATTAACTTTCAGAACACAATCTGTTCGTAAGTTGGAGGTCACTAGCGAGTATAATATACACAGAGCAAGAAAGACTGAAAACGGAAGTTTGTTTATCTGTATGAAAACAGCGATGGTGGGTTTAAAGCACACATACTTATAGCTTCGTGAGGGAAGAACATAGAAGAATGGGACCAAGATCCCCCTCCCACTCCCTTCAATCAGGAAGCCCGCTTCTCCACCGAGGGTCGCGCCGCAGCCTCCGTCGGCGCCCCGGCGAGGCCCCGGGTGCGCGCACTGTTCTCGGGTTTTAAACACGGGCACCCCGGCATTTGGGGGCCGCGGTTAGGGGCGTGGAGAGCGCCAGGGCTGCGCCGAGATCCGTTCCCTTTTTGAGGCAAAACCCTGAACCAAGAAAACCTTCCGTTTAGGCCACAGAGAAGGACGCACACGCCAGGAAAGCAGCAGGGCCCCGAAGGGAGGACGCCACAAAGCATCCATGGTGGAAGCGGAGGGAGGAAACCATTAAAGGGACGCAGGCGGAGGGGGGGCTTCCTACCCTGGACATAGCCTTTGCTGTGGATCCTCATGGCTCCGGGGTTCATGGCAGCCGCCCGGCACCTACATGCTGGGTCCGGAGAGGGCGTCGCGCCGGGAGGCCGAGAAAACACGGTTCCCCGAGGCCCGGGGACCCGCCGGTCGCCTCCCCTTCCGCAGACCCGCACACCCGCGCTGGGGAGACACCAGGCCCGCTAGCCGGACTTCCGGGCCAGGGCCAGGCTCCAGGTTCAGAGGAAGACGGGCACAGGCACACAGCAGCGGCTGCGGCGGTTGAAGATTTGAAAACACGTCACGAAGCCGCGGCGCCCAGACGCGCGCCCCGCCTCCTCACGCCGCACGTCCCGACCCTCAAGCCCCGCCTCCTCGCGCCGCACGTCCCGCCCAAGCCCCGCCTCGTCATGCCGCAGGTCCCGCCCCAAGCCACGCCCCCTCGCCCCGCAAGCCACGCCTCCCAGAACCGCGGGCCCCGCCCCGCCCCTCCCCACCGCGATGCCCTCTGCCTCAGATCCGAGCTCGCCGACCCGCCGCCGGGCGTCCCTGCACCGTCCGGAGGAGGCTTGGTGGCTCCGTGTCTACCAGACGTAGGTGGATGCAGTTAGCGCCGGAGGCCGGCCCAGCCCTCCTCCAGCGGCCTTCTCGCCTCCTAGGGTTGCCGGGGTCGCCCGCCGTGCTGCCGCCTTCTCCCCCAGGTTTGCTTGTTTCTGACGGGTCGGCCGTCCTGTCGTCTGGAGGCGCGGCGGCTGCGGCTGAGCTGGGGCGGGGAGGCGGCGGCGGCCCCTGCTCAGCGCGCCTGGAGTCGCAGAGCGTGGGTTTCCCGCGATCGATCGCCGCAGACCCTGCGGGCCGGACGCAGGCCGCAGAGGGACTTGCTAGGTGCTGGCGGCGGCGGGCGTTGGAGGGAGGGTCGGGCCAGGAGGCCCCCGCCTGCAGCGCCCCACTTTCACTTGACCCCGTGTGCTGCTCTGGTTTGCACAGACCTGTCTCATGGTGGGGAAGTGTATGTCCCAGAGCGGAATTGGACATCTCAAATCTTGGGTTTTGGGTCTGGACTGGACACTTACCAGCTTGTGTAAGACTTTGGTTAAATCACCTAATCCCTTTGAGCCTCAGTTTTTTCACCTATAAAATGGGGATAATAATGGGATTATAATACGGGTTAAATTAAAATGTTTTGTAAAGTATTTCAGTTTTGTTTTGTAGATGGGAAAACGCTTCACAAAAAAAAAAAAATACTGGCTTGGGTATGTTTCCGCTTGTACACTCAAGGACGAAGAGTACCACTTTGCATTTCTTACCCCCTGGCCATGAGAGGCACTCATTGTTTAATGTTGATTTTTGACCTAATAGTTCAGAGAAGTTAGTGCTAATAAAACCGTTTCGAAAATAGGTACCTGAAAGCATAGACAAGGGTGGATTGGGATACCTCTAGGCCAAAATGGAGAATAAAAAGAGATGGTTCAGGTTTGATTAGAGAGGTTTGTTGTTGTTGTTTTTCGGATGGCTTTAAATCGAAGGGGCTGGGGAGACAGCCATGGAACTGTGTTTTTAGACAGTTGGTAATACTTGTCTGTAACTCAGGAAAGATGTCTGAGGGTGGGTGCGATAAAGAAAGGGAAGATTGATCGGTTTGAGGGACATCACACAGACCAGTCACTAGTTCTCAGTCATGGCAGAACGAGACCAATCAACAATTCTCAGCTGTGGGGGTTAGCAGATCTTGAGAGGCAGGAGGAGGTGTAGTTTGGACAAATATCCAACATTACTAGTAGCATTTCTATTTGGGAAAAACCTATTTTCAAAATGCAAACTACAGAGAGAGCAAGATTTTAATGTTTATAAAAAAACGTTGAAAGGTTGAGAAACACTAATATAGTGTGTAGTTACAGTCCTGGGAGGAAATGGAATTGCCTCGGGGGAGCTTGTGAAGTAAGAGAAGTAGTGATGAGCAGAGGGTGAGGAAACAGTGAGAGAGACGGAGAAAAGGCCACAGAGTTAGGAAGAGAACTGGGAACAAAACCGCTGTCAAAAGTCACAGAAGCCCAGCCGGTGTGGTTCAGTGGTTGGGTGTCAACCTATGGTTCCCTTCTGGGTCAGGGCACATGCCTAGGTTGCAGGCTTGATCCCCTGTGGAGGGTATGCGGGAGGCAGCCAATCAATGATTCTCTCTCATCATTGATGTTTCTATTTCTCCCTCTCCCTTTCTCTCTGAGGTCAATAAAATAGATAGATAGATAGATAGATAGATAGATAGATAGATAGATAGATAGATAGATATAGGTATTACATATATATTTAAAAGTCACAGAATTGAAAACATTGGGATTATGTAGGCTTCACTAACCATATGCCATATGGATTTGGGTAATTTTGAGTCTCAATTTTAATTTATGAAAAGGGATGATAAATACTTCTCAGATGCGATGATTAAATGAAACATTCTTATTAATGCAGTGCCTGGCACAGAGTGAGAGCACAGTAAGTGCTGTAATTGTGGTAAACTCCGCACCAGCCCCTCTATCCTCAAGAATTCAAAAACTCTTAGACTTGATTCATTCTGGTTGTTTAAGATGTCATTGGTTTCCTTAGTGAGAAATTCATTATATTGATAAGGTAAGTACTGTACTAGGTAATGGTAGGCTTGATGTGGAAACATATTGAGTGTACGTACTTTTGCAAAAAATCTGCCAGTGTAGGGAATTACAATGATAGGAAGGGAAGATTGGGTGTTTGGAAGGTTTGGGGGATATGGGAAGGATTTAAACATGTTTCTTTTGAAGAAAATTAAAAAATGAAGCCCATGTTTTGTTCTAGTGAAAGATGAATTACCTTCCTTATTTACTATAATGAGGAAGGACAGTAATCTCATTTTCCCTGTGCTTTTAGGCACACCCTTGCCTGCACTGCATGTGATAACGCCAAGCTATGAAAAGCAGAGTCTGTTTTACTAGATAGTGTTAGTAACTTTCTAATCTGTAACCCAAGATTAATTTTTAAAAAATTGTTATTGGAACTCAAATCTTTTAGTAGCCATAGGATGAAGGACTTGGTCCTCTATCTGTGTCCTGTTAAGTATAGAAACCTGCTCATATGTTGGTAAGAGAATAAGGCAGCGGTTCTCAACCTGTGGGTCGCGACCCCTTTGGGGGTCTAACGACCCTTTCACAGGGGTCGCCTAAGACCATTGGAAAACATACATATAATTACATATTGTTTTGTGATTTATCACTATGCTTTAATTATGTTCAATTTGTAACAGTGAAATTGGGGGTCACCACAACATGAGGAACTGTATTAAAGCGTCGAGCAGCATTAGGAAGGTTGAGAACCACTGGAATAAGGTTTATGTTTAAGTATGTGTTGAAATGTGCTTCAGGTAAAAAGTATACATTCAAGAAGAATATTTGTGGTGAGAAGTTTGGTTAAAGAGTTCTATTTAGCAAAGTAGGAGAACACTGAGTAGAATGAACTAATTAGCCCTAGCTGGTTTGGCTCAGTGGATAGAGCGTCAGCCTGCGGACTCAAGGGTCCCAGGTTCAATTCCGGTCAAGGGCATGTACCTTGGTTGCGGGCACATCCCCAGTAGGGAATGTGCAGGAGGCAGCTGATCGATGTTTCTGACTCTCTATCCCTCTCCCTTCCTCTCTGTAAAAAATCAATAAAATATATTTTTAAAAAAAGAATGAACTAATTAAATGAACATTTAGCTGTGAATCCGAAATAATTCATTCAGCATGGGCTCTACTTCTAAATATTTTAAGGACCTTGGGCAAGTATTACCCTTTCTATGCTATAATTTCTTCATGTATAAATGCAGACAATATCTGCTCACTGTACCTAGCAATTTTTTGTGATTGTCAAATGAGAACTAATTGACTTTTTCAGATTACCTCATACAAACACAAATATAATTTTCTTATTCTAGAATCTAGACAAACGGATATATTTGTTCTTCTGTAATATCATCACTTTCCTATTTTGCTTAAGTCTCTCCACCTGGCTGGCAATTGTTCCTCTTTCCTATTTGTAGCAAGCCTGGCTTAGATGCAGCCTTTATTTCCTGCTCCTTTGGAGCCTGTAATAATTCCTGTTTGGATTAATTTGCCAACTATTGATATACTATCTTCTGTTGCTACTTTTAATATTTAATTTTCACATTTTAGAGTCTCGTTACTCTGGTGAATTGGAAGGCCCAAGGATTTTCAGTGGTTAAGTTCTTAGTTTTGCAGGCCAACCATATGAAAGGATAGAGTTGGTTAGTGGCTGTGGCACTGAGGTCCATTGTCTCAGGTGAGCATGGCTGGGAAAGCAGGAAAAACTCAGCATGTCAAGTCATTGAACACAACCTAGGGGAAGAGTAAAAATGGAGAATAAGCAACACAGGAAGATTCAAAAATTGAGAGTGGAGCCCTCTGAGGCAGCATAGTGCAAAAGCTGCTGTGGCACCCAAAGTAGCTATTAAAGATAATGAACTGGGCCCGGCCAGCGGTGGCTCAGTGGTTGCTCATCGACCTATGAACCAGGAGGTCAAGGTTCAATTCTCAGTCGGGACAAATGCCCAGGTTGCAAGCTCTATCCCCAGTATGGGGTGTGACTGGTTCAAAGGTTATATATCATATTCTGACCTAGATCGTAAATTCTTTTAGGGTAGGTAGTACAGAATACGTATTTGGCCATGACTGTAAAACAGTTTACTTACCCATCCTACTTCCTTCTTTCCTTCTGTATTGATTGAGTACCTACAGTATGCTAATCCAGTGAGAACTCATCATGTAAATTTAAAAAGTTTTCAATATTCTTAATAATTTACATACAATAAAGTGCACCCATTTTAAACATACAGATTGATGAGCTCTAACAAATACGTATATCCATGTAATTACCACCCCATAGAACATTTATGCCCTCTTAGAAGGTTATCAGCCCTTGTTCCAAGCTCCCTTTTCCCACCAGAGATAACCACTCTTCTGATTTCTATTATCATAAGTAGTTTTGCCTGGATTTCAACTTCGTATAAATGTAAACATATAATTTATCTGCTATAGATCTGAGTTATTTTGCATAACAAATTACTTTATGACCCATCCATCTTACTACATGTATCAGTAGTTTGTTCCATTTTATTGCTGAGTAGTATTTCCATTGTGTGAATATACCACAAGTTATCCATTCAGCTGGTGGTAGATATTTGGGTTGTTTCTAGTGTTGGGCTGTTAGGAATAATGTTGCTATAAACATTGGTCTTTTGCTCTTTTGTGGAAATATGTTTTTATTTTTCTTGGAATTCCTGGATCATGTGGTTACTGAATGTTTAACATTATGAGAAACGAGTGACGTTTTTAACCTTTCTCTCCAGCAATATATGAGAGTCTCACATCCTAGGCACTCACTGGGTGTGAACTGGCGTCTCATGTAGGGTTTTTTTGTTTGTTTTATTTTAGAACACCACATCTTTGTTTTTTATAATATATTGCTAAATTTCTCTCTAATGGCGTTATACCATGAAGTGATCGTGTTAGTTTTATTATAAATCATACATATTAAGTATAAATGTTGCCTTTTTAAAAGCTTAATGCCATAGGATTTTGGGAAAAGTTATTGGGGAAAGATGAAACATCTTGCTCAGCTCCCAGCAGATAGATTAAATAAAGGTTAAATTCTTATTTTTACTGTTGGATTAGTCATCATTACATCGCTGTAAAATGTTTATTCTGCTGTCCATTACAATTCATGTGACTTCTTCCACGATCCACTTAAGGGTAGCTTCTTTCAGTCTTTGAAATTTCTTTCTTTACTACAGTTCTATTTTGCCCCACTTCACAGAGTCTTTGCATATATTTTGATCCTGATTTTTGATCAATCAGCGTTATTTTATACTGAGATAATTTGGGAAATTTATATAATTAATTAATAGACTTATACATTTGTGACATTCTTATTAAAGATTTGGTCCTAAGCAAAATTTTGAAGTAGAATCAAAATTTGTTTTATTGGTCCTATTGAATTTTATGAACATAGCGTGTGCTTTAAAAACAAGTTTTTAGTAGCTAATACCAAGATATTTACTTTTTCTATTAGATGTAAGAACAGTCAGTGTTGATAGAATGATCAAAGCGAGAACTTAATCTAGATTCTTAAATTTGACACTACTAGTGAGGTAGGTCAGCATTTGTATCAAATAAATCTAATTAGTTTATTTCTCAGGTAAATCCCACTTGGTCATGGTGTAAATTGTTTTGCTATATGGTTGGGTTTGGTTTACTAGTATTTTGTTGAGAATTTCAGCATTTATGTACATACAGGATATTAGTTTGTAGTTTTCTTGTGATGTCTTTTTCTGGCTTTGGTATCAGTAGTATTGGCTTCATAGAATGAGTTAGGAAGTGTTCCCTCTTCTATCTATTAGAAGACTTTGAAAAGAATTGGTGTTAATTACTTTTTAAATGTTTGATAGAATTTACCAGTGAAGCCAACTAGTCCTGGATTTTCTTTGTTGGGAGACTTTTTTATTACTAATTAAATCTGTTATAAGTCTATTTTGATTTTCTGTCTCTTCTCAAGTAAGTTTTGGTGGTTTATGTGATTCTTGGCATTTGTCAGTTTCATCTAGATCATATGATGTGTTAATTAACTAGATAGGAGGAATCTTTTCACAGTGTATATGTATATCAAATAACCATGATGTATGCTTTAAATATTTCATATGTCAGTTTTACCTCAAAGCTGAAATTAAAAAAATTCATAGTATATTAAGATTAGAAATAAAATTTTTTAATGTGATAAAAAGTCTCTGTTTAAAAACAAAAAGTCTACAGCAAACAACATCCTAATAGGAAATCTTAGAATTTTTTTTAATTGAGGTATGGAGAAAGTATACTTATTTTCACTACTCTTTTTCTAAAATATGTTTTTATTTATTTCAGAGAGGAAGGGGGAGAGAGAGAGAGAGAGAGAGAGAAACATCTATGATGAGAGAAAATCATTGATTGATCAGTTGCTTCCTGTACGCCCCCTATGCAACCTGGGGAATCGAACCTTGATCTCCTGGTTCAGAGGTCAACAATCAATCACTTGGCCCTATCGGCTGGGCTATTTTCACCACTCTTTATCTAATATTGTGTTGGAAATCCTAGCCTCTGCAATAAGAGGATTAAATTAGCCTCATGATGTTTGAGAATGGCAGAAATCAAATATTTGCAGACAATATAAAAAAAAAACCTCAAGAGACTATTACTCAATAATTAGAAATAATACAAGATTATTTTAGCAAGTTTGGCTGCTAGAACTAAATGGAAGTTAGATCTAAAGGATTGCTTAGATTCAGATCAAATTTCCCCTCTCCCAAATATGCCATAGATGATGCTGGATACTTAATTTCACATCACAAAATCAATTATTTTGACTCTTAAAATCTAAGATTGATCAGTGTGATCAGGTTATAGAGCTGTTTGTCTTTAAAGTGAAATATATTTACTGGGATAATAGAACGTTTTTTGCAAATACTTCCGTAACTCTAAGGCTAGCATTTCTGGAGTGTTCTTCATATTTCTCAAAGCACTTACCAGAAAGCAGTCAGTAAATGTTAATTTGTATTTTAAAGTTTTGTACATGCTCCTTTCCTTTAGGCTTGTTATCCTTTTCCTGTGTGAAAAGATAAAAAGTTTTGTTTGGTTTTCACTACAGATTTTCAGCTACTGATGTTACAAACAAAATATTGGAGCATAGAGTTGAGGAAAAGACTTAAACCAGGTAGGTACCACAGCAATCTTGAGAAAGAAGAACAAAGTTGGAAGAATCATGCTATCTGATATCAGACTATACTACAAGGCCATAGTAATCAAAACAGCATGGTACTAGGCATAAAAGCAGACATACAGGTCAATGGAACAAAACAGAGAGCCCAGAAATAAACTATGCCTTTATTGTCAGTTAATATCAGCAAAGGAAGCAAGAACATACAATGTGGTAAAGACAGTCTATTCAATAAATGGTGTTGGAAAAATTGGACAGATATGTGCAAAAACATGAATTTAGATCACCTTCTTACACCATACACAAGAGTAAACTCAAAATGGATGAAAGAATTAAATGTAAGACTTGAAATATAAAAATTCCAGAAAGAAATATAGGGAGTAAGATCTCAGACATTTCTCACAACAATATTTTTTCTGATATGCCTCCTGGAGCAAGGGAAATAAAAGGAAAAATAAGCAAATAGGACTACATCACACTTAAAAGTTTCTGTACAGCAAAGAAAAACAACAAAATGAAAAGCAGCCCACTGAATGGGAGAACATATTCACCACTGAAAAATTGGTAGTAACCTTAATATCTAACAATATGAGACTGATTAAATTAATGAAATTAAAAACTTCAAGCATTTAAAATGATAATGTAGATCTATATTTATTGACACTGTCTATATTTTTTGAAGTGTCAAAGTGGTCTACTAAACAACATGAATAGTAGTAACTTACCTTGTTTATTTTATTTTTCAATTACAATTTACATACAATAGTAGTAACCTATTTTTGTTTTAAAAAAGTATGTACACAGATATACAAATATTTAATCATGTTTAATTAATTAAATGTAATCTGCATCTGCAGATAATATCTACATATACATAGGGTGGGGCAAAAGTGGGTTTACAGTTGTTTGTTTGGAAAATAATAAAACAATAATAATACAAGAATAAACTCTGCTTCATGTAAAAACAATAGTAAATCTACTTTCGCCCCACCCTGTATATAATATATTCACACAACATTTGTATATTTACATATATGTTTGTGTGTACATGACATTTGGAGAGATGACACCTATATTTTGCCAGTTGTTATTTTTGAGTAGCAAGTTTATAAGTGATTTTTATGCTTTTTTTAATGCCGTTTTTTTGTTAACTTTGTTTTTAGAAAGTATATTTTGCTTTTCTCATCAAATTTTTCTAAAATGCTTCTTATGGAGGTTATGTGTTTTTGTTTTATACCTTTGTAACAACTTTTGGTATGCAGTAAAAATCGGGTTATATTTGCTGATAACTCTGCCATATTAGAGTATCTGAGTAGTTAAGAGGCTACATTCACAGATTCCGAGTCTTGTTGATTGGGTGCTTTCATTCTGTTACATAGAGTCTGTTTTCTTAATGCTTTATTAATTGTCTTGCAAGTGCGATGCTGCTCACTGGGCTTAGCTGAAGTACTTACCCTTTTTGAAAAATCAGAGACCATATTCTATTAATGACAGTTGTGTAATGCCTTTGTGTATAGAACTTACACATTTACTTTTGATAGTTGTCACAATGTGCTTTGACATTAATGCTGATTATTGTTTTTATAGTTTTTTCAATTTATAGCAGTGAATTTTGAGGGCATTTTCCATTAAACTTTTATCTTACATCTTGCTTTTCTTTAACAGATTTTTCTTCAATTAGTTAAAAATATGGATCCTGAAGGAGAGAGACCACAGATTTGCAATGTGACACCTTTTCAACAGATTGTTGCCTCTTGTACTGGGGCCATACTGACATCACTAATGGGTAAAATAATGTTACTAATGTAGATTATGTAACTGGATGAATCAGTTCATTTGAGTTTTACGATCTGTGAAATAATGCTAATATTATTATTCATCCTTCATAAATAACAGTATCCCTCCATCAGCATAACATGAAAAGAACCCAGGACAGAATATCAAGAGACTTGAATTTTAGTCCTTGCTTTGTCATTTTCAGGGTGAATGTACTTTGGGATTGTCTACTTCTCTTGTGCTTTATTTTTCATCTGTAAATTAGGAGTTTATCTTAGGAGTTTTCTATGGTCCCTATTAGTATTAAAATTTTCTGACTTTTATCCTTTTTTAAAATAGAAAGCAAGAAGATGAAATAAAACATCAGCATAATGAATAATACAGAATTTGGACAATTTACAATAGCAATAAACACAAATTGTTTAACTTTTCTTATATTAATGGTGAATTTCTTAAATTTCTCTAGACCACATTTTTCTGTGGGGTTTTATTGTTTGTTTTTTAATTTATAGTTAATTTCTTATAGACACAGCCAAATGACATAGTTAGGTGACAGTTTAACATAATGATTTTAACTTGGCTGGTTTATTTAAATAACATAGCAGATAACTAGAACAAACATAAACTAATTGCTTTAGTATGGTAATATGTTACTTCAGGTCAGAATGTTAGAGTTGTAAAGGCCTTAGAGATCATTGTCAGATGAGGGAAAGTTTTCTTTGGTACCATTATTTGGCATTTTTTCTGCTTGGGCCAAATAGAGCATGCAAGTTAAAACCATTCTTCTTTACTGTGCTGTTCCGAAATGGAATAACACAACCTGTTGGTAAAGATGCTGTATGACTAGTTTACTCAAATTTACATTAACTATAGTTTTCATTTGATACAAGTAAATTTAATAGATTAGGAAGACTAGTATTGTTTGATTATTGATTACTTATAATACAGTTATTCTCCATATTTAAATAGACTTTTGGACTAGTCTTTTAGTTTTAATGTTAATGGAATTATAGTTGTAGAAAAATTTTAAGTGACATTTTAATATTTGTAGCAGAAGTAATTACATCATCTTCTCATTGATCCTCTTCAAACAAAATTCAAGGGTAAAAATTAGAATGTTACATTCAAAATCACTTTAAGATAAATAATCTTACCCATTATATAGTCATGAGGAAAAGTATGGTTCAATACACAAGTTGGGGCAAAACTAGGCTTATAGTTGTTTATATAGAAAAAATACAATAATTAATAAAAAATAATATATATTCACAACTTTAAACCTACTTTTGCCCCACCTTGTATTTTGTGTTCTTTGGACAAACATTTCTAAATTTACATGTCTCTTGTTAATTGAAACCTGCATATCTTCATAGTGACACCCCTGGATGTTGTTAAAATTCGACTACAAGCCCAAAGCAACCAATTTTACAAAGGTATGTACTAGTTCTGTACTGGAAGTTTATGTTAGATTTTTAAGTGTTACTGCATTCATTTTTGTTTGAATGTTAATCTTTTTTTGTCAATTAAAAAATTGTACCATAATGCAGAAGCAGGTTTTCATCACCTAATTGTACATGATGAGATCTAGGCAGAAAACAAATGTATATATAACACTTTTATAAACCTATACTAATTAGGTAAGAGGATGATTTTTATTTGAGATATATTTGACAAATAACACTGTATTAGCTTTAGGTATGCAACCTAATGATTTAACATATATGTATACATGGCAAAATGATCACCACAGTAAGTTTAGTTAACATCCATTACTTCACAAATTTGCTTTTCTTGTCAGGAGAACTTTAAAGATCTACTCTCTTAGCAGCATTCAGATATACATTAGATTTCATAATATATTTTTGTCTGCATTTCCCTTTCATACCACAGAGTTTTCTTGTCAAATAGAGAAGATGTACACTCATATTCTCATATCAAAACAGGTTTTCCTCCTTTATCTTTTCTCTCCATCCCCCCACATAACCAAAAAAAATATTTATTTCTGTTTGCATTTGCTTACTGCAGTTCTGAAAACATAAAATTTGCTCACTTTTAACCACTGTGAATTTAGATCTCAAAGCTGTGTCATTAAGCAAATCAAATTATATATATTTCATCCCAAAAGGTAAGGACAAGATTATATATTTTCTTACAATTTTCTAGTCCCCTCATTGTAATTTCAATTTTTTCATCAATAAAAATAATATAGTTGTATGACATAATTATTGACTGTTGTAATCTTCTTTGTTAGGAAAATGTTTTGTATATAATAATGGACTTATGGATCATCTCTGTATCTGTGAAGAGGAAGGCAACAAAGCATGGTATAAGAAGCCAGGATATTTCCGGGGAACATTAGTAAGGAGATTATATTATGTATAATCACAGTATATTTTCTATTTTTATATTTAATCTTGTGAGTGAAAGATCTTTCAAATTACAAGACAGTAAAATTTTATCATATACTTAGTAAATTTATCCACAGATAAAAAATGGATATTGAAGCAGGAAAGGGAAAGTACTTCTTTGCTTTTAACACTTTAACTTTCTTTTCATGCTTTTACAAAAACACACACACAAAAGAAAACGTTTTGTTAATCCTCACCAGAGGATATTTTTCCCATTGATTCTTTTCAGAGAGTGTGGAAGGAGGGGGAGAGACAGAGAGAGAGAGACACATCAGTTGGTTGCCTTCCGCAGAGGAGAGACTGGGAATCAAGCCTGCAGCCTGAGGTATGTGCCCTTGACTGGAATTGAACCCATGACCCTTCAGTCCACATGCCGTTGCTCTAACACTGAGCCTACCCAGCCAGGGCTGTTCATGCTTTTTTTATGTAGAACAAAAGGGGGGTGTATATTTTTTAAAATTAAAAAATATTTTTATTATTTGAGATCATTATAGATCATACGCAATTTTAGAAAAATATATAGATGGATTCCAAATATCCTTTTTCCAGTTTCCTCTAATAGTAACATCTTACAAAACAAGTATAATACCACAACCAGGATATTGGCATTGATACAGTTAAGATACAGAACAATTCCATCCCCACCTGGATCCTTCTTTTGCCCTTTTATAGTCATACCCATTTGTGCTTTTACCTGCTCTGAACTCCTGGCAACCACTAGTCTGTTCTCCATTTATATAATTTTGTAATTTCAACAATATTATTTAAATAGGCTCATAACATATATAATATTTTGGGATTGGCACTTTTCACTTAGCATAATTATGTAGAGATTCATTCACATTGTTGCATGTTTCAATAGTTTGTTCCTTTTTATACTATTCCTTGATATAGATATTGAGTTGTTTCCAATTTTTAGCTATTTTGAATAAAGCTGCTACATACATTCATTCACAGATTTTGTTGTGAAAATAAATATAAAAAACTACTCATTGTTTTTCTCTGTGAACACTTCATTCTGAAGAACTTCTTTTAGCATTCTTTATTAAAGGTATTTTGTCAGAGTATTTCAGTTTTTGTTCATCTAAAATGTACTTATTGAGCATTTTTTCAAGCGTATTTTTGCTGCATATAGAATTCTGGCTTAACTTTTTTCCTGTACCCATTCTCTCTTCTTTCATCTATGACTTGAAATAAGGTTGTTATACTACTTTATAGGTTTACAGTTGTTCATGTGGAAAATAATACAATAATGAATAAATAGCAATATAAGAATAAACTCTGTGTTTTGCATACTCACCACTGTAAATATACTTTGCCTATCCTGTATTTCCCTTCAGGGTTAAATCCATTGACTTGCTCTTTGCTGTTTCTTTCTGCTGTAAAGCCCACTTAGTAGATTTTTCACTTTAGATGTAGAGTTTTCATTTGGCTGTTTTTTTATAGTAACTTTTTTGAAATTCCAAATTTGTTCATTCATTATGCATACATCATGTTTAAATTCTTTTTTTTTTTATTGCTTAAAGTATTACAAAGGGTATTACATATGTGTCCATTTTATCCCCCCGCCCTAGACAGTCCCCTAGCCTCCCCTATCCCCCAATGTCTTATGTCCACTGGTTATGCTTATATGCATGCATACAAGTCCTTTAGTTGATCTCTTACCCCCCTACCTCCTGCCCCCCAACCCTCCCCGGCCTTCCTGCTGCAGTTTGACAATCTGTTTGAGGCAGCTCTGCCTCTGTATCTATTATTGTTCAAAAGTTTATAATGGTCTCTATTATCCATGAATGAGTGAGATCATGTGGTATTTTTCCTTCATTGACTGGCTTATTTCACTTAGCATAATGCTCTCCAGTTCCATCCATGACGTTGCAAATGGTAAGAGTTCCTTCCTTTTTAGAGCAGCATAGTATTCCATCGTGTAGATGTACCACAGTTTTCTAATCCATTCATCTACTGATGGGCACTTAGGCTGTTTCCAGCTCTTAGCTATGGTGAATTGTGCTGCTATGAACATAGGGGTGCATATATCCTTTCTGATTGGTGTTTCTGGTTTCTTGGGATATATTCCTAGAAGTGGGATCACAGGGTCAAATGGGAGTTCCATTTTCAGTTTTTTAAGGAAACTCCATACTGTCTTCCATAGTGGCTGCACCAGTCTGCATTCCCACCAGCAGTGCACAAGTGTTCCTTTTTCTCCACATCCTCTCCAGCACTTGTCGTTTGTTGATTTGTTGATGATAGCCAGTCTGACAGGTGTGAGATGATACCTCATTGTTGTTTTGATTTGCATCTCTCGGATGATTAGTGACTTTGAGCATGTTTTCATATGTCTCTTGGCTTTCTGAATGTCCTCTTTTGAAAGGTGTCTATTTAGGTCCTTTGCCCATTTTTTGATTGGATTGTTTATCTTCCTTTTGTTAAGTTGTATGAGTTCCCTATAAATTTTGGAGATTAGGCCCTTATCAGATATGACATTGGCAAATATGTTTTCCCACACAGTGGGTTTTCTCGTTGTTTTGTTGATGGTTTCTTTTGCTGTGCAGAAGCTTTTTATTTTGATGTAGTCCCATTTGTTCATTTTCTCTTTCGTTTCAAGTGCCCTAGGAGCTGTATCAGTGAAGAAATTGCTTCGGCATATGTCTGAGATTTTGTTACCTTTGGATTCTTCTAGAATTTTTATGGTTTCCTGTCGTACATTTAAGTCCTTTATCCATTTTGAGTTTATTTTTGTGTATGGTGTAAGTTGGTGGTCTAGTTTCATTTTCTTGCATATATCTGTCCAATTTTCCCAACACCATTTATTGAAGAGACTATCTTGGCTCCATTGTATGTTCTTGCCTCCTTTGTCAAATATTAATTGAGCATATTGGTTCGGGCTGATTTCTGGGCTCTCTATTCTATTCCATTGATCTATATGCCTATTCTTGTGCCAGTACCAGGCAGTTTTGAGAACAGTGGCTTTGTAATACAACTTGATATCTGGTATTGAGATCCCACCTACTTTGGTCTTTTTCAGGATTGCTGCAGCTATTCGGGGTCTTTTTTTATTCCAGATGAATTTTTGGAGAGTTCGTTCTAGATCTCTGAAGTATGCCGTTGGTATTTTAATGGGAAGTGCGTTGAATTTATAGATTGCTTTGGGTAGTATGGACATTTTAATGATGTTGATTCTACCAATCCATGAACACGGTATGTTCTTCCATCTGTTTATGTCTTCCTCTATATCTTTTTTCAACGTCCTGTAGTTTTCTGCGTAGAGGTCTTTTACCTCTTTAGTTAAGTTTATTCCTAGGTAGCTTAATTTTTTTGGTGCAATGGTAAACGGGATTGTTTTTATAATCTCTCTTTCTGAAAGTTCACTATTGGTGTATAGAAATGCCTCGGATTTCTTGGGGTTAATTTTGTATCCTGCTACATTGCCAAATTCATGTATTAAGTCCAGTAGCTTTTTGATGGAGTCTCTAGGGTTTTGTATGTATAATATCATGTCGTCTGCAAATAAGGACAGTTTTACTTCCTCTTTTCCAATTTGGATGCCTTTTATTTCTTCTTCTTGCCGAATTGCAATGGCTAACACTTCCAGTACTATGTTGAACAGGAGTGGTGAGAGGGGGCATCCCTGTCTTGTTCCTGTTCTTAGGGGAAATGGTGTTAGTTTTTGTCCATTGAGTATGATGTTGGCTGTGGGCCTGTCATATATGGTTTTTATTATGCTGAGGTATGATCCTTCTACTCCCACCTTGCTGAGAGCTTTTATCAAAAATGGGTGTTGAATTTTGTCAAATGCTTTTTCTGCATCAATTGATATGACCATGTGGTTTTTTTCTTTCAATTTGTTTATGTGATGTATCACGTTTATTGATTTGCGGATACTGTACCACCCTTGCATCCCTGGGATGAATCCTACTTGGTCATGGTGTATGATCTTTCTGATGTACTGCTGGATCCGATTTGCTAAGATTTTGTTGAGGATTTTGGCATCTATGTTCATGAGGGATATTGGCCTGTAATTCTCTTTCATTGTGTTGTTTTTACCTGGTTTTGGTATTAGGGTGATGCTGGCTTCATAGAATGAGCTTGGAAGTGTTCCTTCCTCTTGAATTTTTTGTAGTAGTCTGAGGAGAATAGGTTTTAGTTCTTCCTTGAATGTTTGGTAAAACTCCCCTGTGAAGCCATCTGGTCCTGGGCTTTTGTTTGATGGAAGCTTTTAGATGACTGCTTCAATTTCTTCCATAGTTATTGGCCTGTTGAGATTTTTAGATTCTTCCTGATTGAGTTTTGGAATGTTGTATTTTTCTAGGAATTTGTCCATTTCCTCCAGGTTGTCTAGTTTGTTGGAGTAGAGCTGTCCATAGTATTTTTTAACAATCATTTGTATTTCTGTGGGGTCTGTTGTTATTTCACCTCTATCGTTTCTGATTTTGTTTATTTGGGTCCTCTCTCTTTGCTTCTTGGTGAGTCTGGCTAGAGGTTTGTCAATCTTGTTTATCCTTTCAAAGAACCAGCTCTTAGTTTCATTGATTTTCTGTATTGTTTTTTTGGTCTCTATGTCATTTATTTCAGCTCTAATCTTTATTATCTCCTTCCTTCTGCTCACTCTGGGGTTTTCTTGTTGCTCTCTTTCTAATTCTTTGAGTTGTAGAGTTAGATGATTTACTACCATTTTTTCTTGTTTTTTGAGATAGGCCTGTAGAGCTATAAACTTCCCTCTCAGGACTGCTTTCATTGTGTCCCATAGGTTTTGGACTGTTGTGTTTTCATTGTCATTAGTTTCCAGGATGTTTTTAATCTCTTCTTTGATTTCATTGGTAACCCAATCAATATTTAATAGCATGCTATTCAGCTTCCAGGTGTTTGAGTATTTTGGGTTGTTTTTATTGTAGTTTATTTCTAATATTATGCCATCGTGGTCTGCGAAGATGCTTTTTATGATTTCAATTTTCTTGAATTTGGGGATACTTTGCTTGTGACCCAATATATGGTCTATTTTTGAATATGTCCTATGAGCATTTGAGTAGAATGTATATTCCCTGGCTTTCGGGTGAAGTGTTCTGAAGATGTCTATTAAGTCCATCTGATCTAGTGAGTCATTTAGGATTGCTGTATCTTTGCTGATTGTTTGTCTAGAGGACTTATCCAGTGCTGTCAGTGGTGTATTAAAGTCCCCTACTATGATTGTATTGTTGTCGACCTCTCCTTTGATATCTTCCAGGAGTTTTTTTATGAATTTGGGTGCTCCTGCATTGGGTGCATATATGTTTACCAGGGTTATATCTTCTTGTTGTATTGATCCCTTTAGTATTATGAAGTGGCCTTCCTTATCTCTTGTTATGGCCTTCACTTTGAGGTCTATTTTGTCCGATATAAGTATTGCTACCCCAGCTTTCTTTTCCTTTCCATTTGCCTGAAAGATATTTTTCCATCCTTTCACTTTCAGACTGCGTGAGTCCCTTCTAATGAGGTGGGTTTCTTGTAGACAGCAGATGTATGGGTCATGTTTTTTTATCCATTCAGCCACTCGATGTCTTTTGTTTGGAGCATTTAGTCCATTTACGTTTAAAGTTATTATTGAAAGGTAGTTGTTTGTAGGCATTTCTGTTTTTGTGTGGCTGTTTTCTTTCTGAGCTTTTTATTTCTTATTTTTATACCAGTCCCTTTAGCATTCCTTGCATTGCTGGCTTGGTGGTGATAAACTCCCTTAGCCTTTTTTTGTCTGTGAAGCTTCTTATTTCCCCTTCAAGTTTGAATGATAGCCTTGCTGGATAGAGTATTCTTGGATTCAGTCCTTTGCTTTGCATCACTTTGTAAATTTCCGTCCATTCTTTTCTGGCCTGATGTGTTTCTGTTGAGAAATCATTTGACAATCTAATGGGAGATCCCTTGTATGTAACTTTCCGTCTCTCTCTTGCAGCCTGTAAGATTCTCTCTTTGTCCTGAACATTTGCCATGGTAATTATGATGTGTCTTGGTGTGGGTCTTTTCGGGTTCACCTTGTTTGGGACTCTCTGGGCTTGTGTGACTTTTTTCTTCCCCACCTCAGGGAAGTTTTCTGATATTATTTCTTCTAATAGGTTTTCTAATCCTTGTTCATCCTTCTGTTGTTCTGGTACCCCTATTATTCGTATGTTGTTTCGTTTCATGTTGTCCCAAAGCTCCCTTAGGCTCTCCTCCTGTCTTTTCATTTTTTTCTCCAATTGCAGTACATTTTGGGTGTGTTTTGCTTCCTTGTCTTCTAATTCACTAATTCGGTCCTCCGCTTCACCTAGTCTACTGTTGATACTTTCAATGGAGTTTTTCATTGCAGCTATATCACTCTTCATTTCTTCTTGGGTCTTACTTAAGTTGTTGATTTTTTCATCTGTTTCTTCTAGCTTCTTCCATATGTTATCGATTTTTTCATCTGTTTCATCTTGCTTCTTGCAGAGGTTGTCGATTTTTTCCTCCATCCGGTTTATGCACTCTAGGACCCTTATTCTGAATTCTTTATCTGTCATGTTGCATGCCTCTGTATTACTTAGCTGCTTTTCTGGAGAGTCCTCCTTCTCTTTCCTTTGGGGGTTTCTTTGTCTACCCATGTTTGATCTCACTGACATATCTAGACGTTGAGTTGTTCAGTGGCTGCTTCCTTGGTGGCAGTGACTCCTTGGTCTGTGGTTGCTCTTCGGGCGGTTGCGGTAGCAGCTGCTCTTCAGTTGACAGCAGCTCCTCTGGTGGGTGCTGTTCACAGCTGTGGTGGCTCTTCTGGCTGGTGGGGCGAGGTTTCACGTACAGCTGCTGTTCCTCAGCAGAGGGTGTGGTGCTCAGGAGGTTGCTGTTGCTTGGATCTGCTGCGTTGATTTAAAGGCACAAAATACAACACAACAAGGCACCACGTACCAGGCACTAAACACAAATATATTCACGATATTAATAACCCCAAATAAAGGTGACCACCTGAATTAAGAGAATTAGGGGATAAGGAAGAAGGAAGAGAAAAAGATAAAAGAGAAAAAAGAAAAGAAAAGTAGGGACCAAAAAACGGAGTGCAAAAATGAAATTGGGAAAAAGGAGGGGGGAAAATAAAAGCTAGAAAAGAAAAGAAAAGAAAAAAAAAAGAGCGAAAAGAGAGAATGAAGTGGAAGAGGGGAAGAGACTTTTTTATATGAGGAGAATACTCCTATAGAACAGCCATTAATCCCAACAAATTCCAGCAACAGCTCCTTGGAGATGAATGCAAACTAGAAACAACCAATAATATAACGATGAAAATAGAATGGAGAACACTAATCCCAAAATAATATAAAGAGAAAATAAAATGGCACTTTAAAAAAAAAATGGTAAAATGGTAGCAGTAATAATACTGGTTAAAAATAAGAAGGTAGTAATTAAAAGGGTAAAATCAGGTGATGGAAAAAAGAAGAAAGAAAAAAAGAAGAAGAAAAGAAAAAAAAAGAAAAAAAAAATTGGTTTCTCAGTTAAAAGGTGAGAAAAGAAAAAAAAAATATTGCAGTAGTGAAGGTCCTTCGGTTCTTCTATTCTTCAGTGTGGCTCGCCTTAGACCTGCCAGGTATTCAGGAGAGTGTTGAGTTTCCCTGCGATACACTGTTCCTCCGTGTTGTAAACCACTGTCCCTACTTTAAAGCAAGCCGCATTTGTTTCCCAGACTGCCCTATTTTGTGTTTAGCAAAGAGTCAGTTTGTGGGTCAGCCTCTGGGTGGCAGTGCTCTGGGGTTGGCCTCTGAGGCTATAGGGACTCTCTGTCCAGTGGAAGTTCACTGCCCAGAGCTGGCTGCGTAATAGTTACCAGTGCTGTGTTGTTGCTGGGATTGAAAATCCCTCTATAGGCCAGACCCTGTTAACTCCCAGGGGCTGATCAGGTTATTTTAATCCTTGATCTCCTACAGGGTGGAATCTGGGTGTGGCTGTGCTCCTTGCCTGGGGGCTAGGGGGAGGAGTCTCACTCTCCGGAGAGAATGGCTGCCCCAGTCCTGGGCTCAGGGATGTCTCAGCACTCAATTCGCTGCCACCTCTCCTGGCCCCCCTTCTCTCCTCAGTCTCTCCCCAGATTCCACTCCTCCGCACCCTCTTCCTCTCTTCAGCACAGGTGAGTGTCTGTATCCGAAATGTCCCATGAACAGGATTCAGTGAAAACAAACAAACAAATGCCGGCCGCGGAAACGGGGAAGGCTTGGTTTCTGTAAGCTTCTTCTCTTACCGGGACTGCATGGTCTGGTCAGCTCTTCAGGCTGCCCCCTTTAGGCTCAGTCCTCCGTGATCACAGAACCCAGCTCGCAATTCCCCCGGCAGCGCCAGGAATCCCGCGGTTCTCCTTTCCCCTGTTAGGGGCTGTGCCTGTCCCAAGGGACGCGGCTGTCTGCCACACGGTCTCCCTCCGACTCTCTGGGCTCAGAGGTCTGGCAAACTTTCCTGCCCAAATCCCTGGTTTTTTTACCTTTCCAGGGGAGTTCTGCTCTTCCCGGCTGCAAACCGTCTCACCAGCTGAGCAATTTCGCCAATTCGGGGTGGATGTTACTAGTTTTAGCTGCTCACTCCATTTGCTCCGGGACACGACCTGGGACGCGTCTGCCTATACCGCCGCCATCTTCCGTCTCTCATGTTTAAATTCTTGAACATGTTTATAATAGCTGCCAGTTGTTTCATCTGAATCATGCTTGTTGGTTTCTACTCAGGACTTTTTTTTTTTTTTAGTATGAGCACATTTTCTTGTTTCTTTTTGTTTACTGAATTTTGATTGGATAATGGATATTGCGAATGATTATTATAAAAACCCTGGATTCTTTTATATATTTCTGAAGAGTTAGTATTGTTCTAGAAGGCAGTTAAACTTTGGCTGGATTCAAACTTAAACTCGTGCTTCCCTCTGGTGGACTGTAGGACCCTGTGGTCTTCCTCTGGGATTGCATAAAATTTAGTAGAGAGCCAAGTTTTGTGGCTGCTACTGCATGCACATTGGGGGCTTATGCCTTTGGTAGTGGCTTTCTTTCCAGGATTTCCCCCTAGCTGTCTGATTATTCTTCCAGCCTGGACTCTGTACTTGCCATCTCAACCAGCTAACTGTGCTGTGGATTTTTTGCCACTTCCATAGGCAAAAAAAGCTGCAGATTTGCAAATCTCACTCATTGCACTTTGTCCTTTAACAGCAGATTTCCCTTTAGTTTCTGCCTGGTTTTGGTTCCTCTCCAGAGATTTGAAATACTGGATTTAAATGACATTTTCTCAGATTTCATAATTGGCAAGCAGAATTAATCTGACAAATTCTCTGCCATTATTCCACTTTCTTTTTATAATAATTTTTGAAAAACTTGGTTTCTTAGAGCTAATTAGAACAATCCAAAGCTGAGTAATACAGACTTTATTCTGTAAGCTGAAAGTATCATCCAGAATCTTTTACTTGTGTTTGAAAGTTAAGGGCAATTCCTTAGGGGGGAAAAAAAAAAGATTGGCCATACATACATCTGAGAAACTTGTATTTTAGAAATAAACACTTGGGAGAATCAAATTACCAATTATTATTATAAACTTTTTGTATATCAGGTTCAGGAATATATTTTGACTACTTTTCTCTATTATGATTTTAGGATGCATTTTTGAAAATCATTCGAAATGAGGGAATTAAATCTCTGTGGAGTGGCCTTCCCCCCACCTTGTAAGTTGAAATTTAATATTTTCTTTTACTAAATGATAGTGTTGTTTTGCATTACAGCATGATTTAAAAAACTGTGCGTTTTTAATACTAGAACTTTTTCATATTTTAAAACATTGTGTTATGAGTCCCACAACCACCAACACATTTATGATTTGCTGGAAGGACTCACAGGACCTAATGAAGGTTATACTCCCGACTATGGTTTAGTAAAGGAAAAAGACACAAAAGAAGTTGACCAGGCAACAGGCTCCAAAGTCCTCCCTCACGACATTGCACAGGATGTGCTGCTGCTTTTTATTCTTTTCTGTTTTTGTTTTGTTTTGAGAGGGGGGGGTGTGATTTGTGTGCTTATTCTTTCAGCATTGAACTACAGCAGTCTGTGTAAGGCGTTTCATAGGGCTTTTACTGGTTGATCACACAGGCATATTCTGTGTTTTTGAACAACTCTGATTACCAAACCTTCAGACCCCTAAAAGGAAAGCAGATGTTTACCAAAAATCATATCATTTATATAAATCAGTCCAGACAAGTTGAAATAATGCTCCAGGTATACAGAAAAACCTTATAATGGGGAATATTCCAAGGGCTACATTTCTTGAAGTTGGCCAAAGGTCAAGCATACAAATAATGCCTTCCTGAACGTATAGAAGATTTGAGCAACCAGGCTTGTGGTGTTGTCTGTGGTGCACAGGCATAACTTTTTTTCATGTTCAGAAATTAAGAATTTGGTGTTTGACTGTGTTTTTTTTACTAAAATAAAGAGATACTGTGATAAGTATACTTTTCCTTTTCCAGATAATTTTAAATTTCTAACAAGCTATTATATGAATTAATGTGATAAACTAGTAAGGCCAAATTAAAAATCCCAACTAATAACTTGCCTTTATATACCTCATTTCTTTCTAATTTATTTTTTGGTAGTCAACTTAGAGGCATATATTTTAACTGCCTAAGGTTATAAAGTTAGTGGTTAGATCCAATAGTTAATTGTATCTAAATTCTCATTATCAAACTTCATTTTAGAACATTAGGCATTCCAAAATATGGTCTGTGAATGTACTTTAGCTAGTCTATTAACATAGAAAGGTTTCTTGTTGCATTAACATTTATGACATGACAGTGTCTGCAACTGTATTTAATTTAATTAATAATTCCCTTTTGATATTTTCATTTAAAAGAATGTTGTCAGAAATTCCTCAGTAGTAGTATATATTAGCATGGCATCATTAGTGGTAATTTATTTCCAGTTTTGTAAGGCGGTATGGAATATGGTCCATATTTCAAAAATAGTTTACAATTGCTCTTGTACTTTTTACTTCAGTGATTTTTATGTTATGGTAAATATAATTGGGAGGGAAGATTTGGGAGACCAGAAGCAGATAGAACAAGACTAGAAGACAGAGAAGTGTCCTCATTTATCTTTTACTATTTATGATCTGACTGGTACTTAACTTATTTTCACAACTAGAATGTAAACTTCTGGAGGGCAGATACCTATTTTAAAAACCTAATAAGTTAATAATATTTAAAATAAAAGAAAAATTGATCTCATGGTCTGATTCATTATAATTTTTAGCTTGTACAAAATATAAGGTATTTATATTTTAAAATTTGATAATTTTATGTAAATTTTTTTGTTTGTGTGTTTCTAACAGAGTAATGGCAGTTCCTGCTACAGTTATCTATTTTACCTGCTATGATCAATTAACTGCTCTCCTGAAATCTAAATTAGGAGAAAATGAAAGCCATATACCAATTGTTGCTGGAATTGTGGCCAGATGTAAGTAATACCTTTATTATATTTTCATTTTGATTTCTGCTTAAAGAATCTTTTACAATTTTGACATTCACAGAGAATTTGTACGAAATCCAGAGTATTGGTAATATATATTTTGCATTTGTAGTTTACTGATTTGTTAATATTTATACTCTAGAAGGCATATGGCATGGTAATTGCTATCAGAATGAAATGGGATCAACCCATTCATGTTGAATCTCGATCAGAGATATTAGAATGAATTTAGGTTTTAGACTAGATTCTAGATTTTAGGTTTAGTCGCATGCCTCTGACCAGAATCAAACCTGAGACCCTTCAGTCCAAGGGCCGACGCTGTAACCAGTGAGCAAACTAGCTAGGGCTGAAAACAGACTTTTAAGAAAGACCTTTATCAAGGAAAATAAATCTGCGCCAGTATGTTGGCATTAGATATTTGATGTTAAGGTTTGCAAACTTTTCAAAATAGAATTTTAAAATATAAAATGCATGAAGTATTAATTTTGCATGTGTATTTGCATAGTACATGGCTCTGGTTTTGTTTTTTAATGTTTGCTTGTTTGTATTAGTTGGTGCAGTAACTGTAATAAGTCCCTTAGAATTGATAAGAACCAAGATGCAATCTAAGAGGTTTTCTTACAAGGAGCTGCATCAATTTGTCAGCAAGAAAGTGTCCAAAGATGGTTGGATTTCCCTTTGGACTGGCTGGACTCCTACTCTTCTTAGAGATGTACCATTCTCAGGTAGGATTTATCTTATTAATATCTGCTAAATTTTAATTAGCTTTGTCTTTTTATATATTACTTTAAAATCAACTATATTTTAAATCCCTTAAGGCTAAGTGTGAGCTCTCTTCTTTAGTAACCAAAACTCCTATATCAGCGTTGGGCTCTCAAAGCTTTATGAGTCTTCCTTGAATAAACTAGAGGCCCGGTGCATGAAAATTCTGGAGGGGGGGGTCCCTCAGCCCGGCCTGCCCCCTCTCACAGTCCGGGAGCCCTCAGAGGCGGGAGGCGACCCGGCGATCAGGGAAAGGAGATGCCCCCATCACATCTCTGCTGCTGCCACTGCCGACAGCGCAAGCCTTGGCCGGCCCTGATTACCTGTGCCTCGAGCGGCCCTGGGCGGCTGGACAGCCACCATCCGAGGCTTGCCTGTGCCTCGGGCCAGCACTGGGCAGCTGGGGGGCTGAGGGGACTGGGGGACTCTGGAGGCAGGAGGGCCGGCCTTGCCGCGCACCTGCCACCCCAGCGGGGCTGAGGGGACTGAGCACTGCTATCTTGTGGCTGTGAGCGCCACCATCTTTGAGGGCATGGCAGTCAATTAGCATATTCCCTCCTTATTGGCTGTGGGCGCTGCCATTTTGAGGGCGGGGCGGTAAATTAGCATATTCTCTCCTTATTGGCTGTGGGTGCCACCATCTTTGCAATGGCATGAGGGTCAATTAGCATATTCCCTCTTTATTACATAGGAATAGTTTCTAATTTAAGCCTGGTTTTATTTTCTTGTGTTTAATTTCTTTTCCAACATTAATTGGTATTTATTTATATTTAGATAATACAAACTATCTTTAACTTATTCTAAGTAAGTTATAATTAGCAAGGTAAGTAAACTACTATGAATAAAAATATCACAAAATACATTTAAGATTGCCTATGAATAATATTGACTCCTACTTTTTTCAGTTATCAAAGATAAAAACCTTCCCCATTAAATGAGTGTCCTGTAAATAAGACTGTTATAAATCTGATAGAAGATTGTGCTAATTATTGAATTATGAAAAGGGTGAAAATCATGAAAAAGACGTTTAAAGTTAACTTGTAGAATGTGCATAGTTCAGTACCATTTCTCTTGTGTATCACTGGAGTTTTCCTTTAAGACCTGAAAGAAATAATTATTTTATTTTATTTTATTTTATTTTATTTTATTTTATTTTATTTTTTTTGCTGTTAGAATCTTTATTTTATTTTTTTAATTAAATCTTTATTGTTCAGATTATTACATTTGTTCCTCTTTTTTCCCCCCATAACTCCCCTCCTCCCAGTTCCCACCGCACTCTCCGCCCTCACTCCCCACTCCCTGTCTCTTCCCGCATCTCCCACACCCCTTTCCCCCCCAAGAATAGTCAGTCCATTCCCTTTCTATGTCCCTGATTCTATTATGATCACCAGATTATTTATTCACTTGATTCTTAGATTCACTTGTTGATAGATGCATATTTGTTGTTCATAATTTGTATCTTTACCTTTTTCTTCTTCTTCCTCTTCTTAAAGGATACCTTTCAGCATTTCATATAATACTGGTTTGGTGGTGATGAACTCCTTTAGCTTTTCCTTATCTGTGAAGCTCTTTATCTGACCTTCAGTTCTGAATGATAGCTTTGCTGGATAAAGTAATCTTGGTTGTAGGTTCTTGGTATTCATCACTTTGAATATTTCTTGCCACTCCCTTTTGGCCTGCAAAGTTTCTGTTGAGAAATCAGCTGACAGTCGTATGGATATTCCCTTGTAGGTAACTGGGTTTCTTTCTGTTGCTGCTTTTAGGATTCTCTCTTTGTCTTTTGCTCTTGGCATTTTAATGATGATGTGTCTTGGTGTGGTCCTCTTTGGATTCCTTTTGTTTGGGGTTCTCTGCGCTTCCTGGACCTGTAAGTCTATTTCTTTCACCAGGTGGGGGAAGTTTTCTGTCATTATTTCTTCAAATAGGTTTTCAATATCTTGCTCACTCTCATCTTCTGGCACCCCTATAATTCTGATGTTGGTACGTTAGAAGCTGTCCCAGAGGCTCCTTACACTATCTTCATATTTTCAGATTCTTTTTTCATTTTGCTTTTCCAGTTGGGTGTTTTTTGCTTCTTCGCGTTTTGAATCTTTGACTTGATTCTTGCGCTCCTCTGGTCTGCTGTTGGGTGTCTGTATAATATTCTTTATTTCAGTCAGTGTATGCTTAATTTCTAGTTGGTTCTTTATCACAACATCGAGGGTCTCATTAGATTTCTTGAGGATCTCACTACATTTATCGGCGGTCTCACCAGTCTTTTCGAGGGCCTTACTAAGTTTATCGGCAGCTTCTAGACAGTTCTTGAGAGACCTTAAAAGTGTGGTTTTGAGCTCTATATCTTCCATTTCTGACATTTGCGTCCTGTTTCTTTGTCTCCGCATTTTTTTAATCTTTTCTTGGTGCGCCCCCTAGTGGTCTTTGTGCACAGTCTTGTTGTAGTTAAGCCTTGATTGTTGTCGGCAATACCAGGGGTGATTTGACCTCCAGGCTAACTGGCTATGAGAGTCAGCTGTGTCTGCAGTGGGAGAGCTTCTGTGCTGGATCTCTAGGGCAGTGCTAATCTAGCGTTTGCCTGAGGCTATCCGGCAAATGGCTCTGCCCAGGGCTTGGGCAGGGCGGGTCCCTGGGGATCTACAAGGCGGGCGGAGCAAGCAGTTATAGCTGCTCTCAGTTCCATCCCTAGGGGCTCTGCCTCTCAGAGTCCCAGCAACCGCTGAAAACCTCGGAGAGAAAGCTGCCTTCGACTTCCGACCGAAGCCAGGCAGTCCTGCTTCTCCCGTTTGAGTCTGGGTCCCTAGAGACTCGCCCGGATCTGGAGCTCAGAGTCTGAAACTCCCTCCCGATTGAAAACAACAACCGCGCCCTCGCCGCCAGCCCGCTCTGCGTGCGCACTCCGCACCTGAGTATTTCACTTCAGCACTGCACCTCCTCTGAGTCTGGGTATGATATTCTCTTTCCTTCTAGTTGTAGAATTTCCACTCAGCCAGCCTTCCTGTGGTTCTGGATGATGTCCGTTCTGTCCTTTAGTTATATCTCTGAAGAGGTTGTTCGAGGCAGCAATCTCCGGCGTTAACCTATGCCACCATCTTGGTTTCTCCCAAGAAATAATTATTAAGAACCTTTATATTAATGTTCTGTTTTCTTTTTTTCCTCTTGAGTTAATCCTTTTCTTTGTTTCTTTTATTCATATCTCTATACATCTTTCCCTTTTCATTAGTATTTTTCTCCAACATTTTGTGATCAGTTGTTATGCTGTTTAGAAACATACAGTGTGTAATTAATCATAGATTCCTAGGCCAATTCCTATTTTTAATTTTGTATTATATAATTGACACAAGAAAGGTAACATAGATATCATCCTATCTAATAATAGACAAACATAGTAATTAGCCATACCTCCGCTACCCTTCCCATTGGCTAATCAGGGCGATATGCAAATTAACTGTCAACCAAGATGGCAGCCGGCAGCCAGGCAGCTTGAAGCGAACATGAGGCTTGCTTGCTTCAGTGACGGAGGAAGCCAACGTTCCCCGCCTGGCCTGCCACTGCCGACCTCTGAGCTTGCAATTTAAGAAACATTGTTACAAATATAGAAACTAAACAAAACCCCTTCAGCCAGCAGGACCGCAACATTGTTTCAATTATAGAACAAACGCAGATCCCTGCTTTCAGCCAGCCGGGATCTCAGAGCTGGAGTGAGCAGGACCACAACAGTTTTACAATTATAGAACCCAAACAAACCCAGTACCTGCTTTCAGCAGCGGAGGCCTCAGAGCTGGAGCCAAGCCTCAGAGCTAAAGCTGGCCCAGAATAAAAAAAAAAAAAGGGGAGATTGGGAGCCTCAGTCACCTGCCAGCCTGAAAACGGCCCTCAGCCAGAATGGCCAGGCACCCCAGTGGGGACCCCCACCCTGAAGGGGGTGTGACCAGGTGCAAACAGCCATCATCCCCTCATCCACGCTGGCCAGGCACCCAGGCGGGACCCCCACCCTGATCCAGGACACCCTTCAGGTCAAACCAGCCTGTGCCCACCCATGCACCAGGCCTCTATCCTATGTAGTAAAAGGGTAATATGCCTCCCAGCACCGGAATCAGCAGAGCCGCGAGGCCTCCCGGCACCGGGATCAGCGTGATAGGGGGCAGTGACCAAACCCCCTGATCGCCCTGTGGCTCTGTGTGTGACGGGCGGGGCCACAACCTCCCTATCCACCCTGCTCTGTTCATGACAGGGGAAGGCGCCCCAAACCCCTGATCAGCCCTGCTCTGTGCCTGATAGGGGGGAGCTCCCCAACCCCCTGATCGCCCTGTGGCTCTGTGTGTGACAGGTGCAGTGCCCCAACCCCCTGATCAGCCCTGCCCTGAGTCTGACAGTGGTGGTGCCCCAACCCCCTGATGGGCCCTGCTCTGTGGGTGATAGAGGGTGGCACCCCAACCCCCTGATCTGCCCTGCTCTGTGTGTGACAGGGGGCGGTGCCCCAACTCCCCTATCGGCCCTACTCTGTGCGTGACAGGGGGGAGCTCCCCAACCCCCTGATGGGCCTTGCTCTGTGCATGACGGGGGGGGGGAGCTCCCCAACCCCCTGATCGGCCCTGCTCTGTGTGTGACAGAGTACGGAGCCCCAACCCCCTGATGGGCCCTGCTCTGTGCTTGACAGGGGGCAGCGCCCCAACCCCCTGATTGGCCCTGCTCTGTGTGTGACAGGGGGTGGCGCCGCAACCTCCCCATCAACCCTGCCTCAGTGTGACAGGGGGCGGTGCTCCAACCCCCCAATCGGCCCTACCCTGAGCGTGACTAGGGGTGGCATCGCAACCTCCCGATCCGCCCTGCTCTGTGCATGACGGGGCAGCGCCCCAATTCCCCAATCGGCCCTGCTCTGTGCTCGACCAGGGGCTTCACCTAGGGATTGGGCCTGCCCTCTGCCACCCAGTAGCAGGCCTAAGCCAGCAGGTCGTTATCTCCCGAGGGGTCCCAGACTGCAAGAGGGCACAGGCCGGGCTGAGGGACCTCCCCCCCTGCCGAGTGCACAAATTTTTGTGCACCGGGCCTCTAGTATATAATAAAAGGCTAATATGCAAATTGACTGAATGGCAAAACGACTGGTTGCTATGATGTGCACTGACCACCCAGGGGCAGACACTCAATGCCTGAGCTGCTCCCAGCTGGCAGGTCCCAAGCCAGCCAAGGTGGGTGCCAGTGGGGGCCCCCTGGTCACCCTGCCAGTTGCCCAACAGATTGGCCCTGATTGCTTGCCAGGCCTAGGGACCCTACCTGTGCACAAATTTGTGCACCAGGCCTCTAGTAAAATATAAAGTCTATTAATAAAATGAAGTCTACTTATGCAATCACCACTTCAATATATGAATTAGAACATTGTAATTTTTAAAAGAATTGGATATTACCAAATGAAATTTTAAATATATATATTTATGTGAACCAGCACATTTAATACTGGAGAAATTCTTGTACACCAAGAGCCTGTTCAGAGAAGCACTGTTTACTTGCTTACTCACACATAAACAAGAGTAAAATTAAGAGGACAAATTACCCTCCCCAGCACTTTTATTGTTGCAGTTCTTAATTTTTGTTTATCTACTAATTTAAAGTGGTGATCTCACTTTAACTTGCATTTTTCTGATTATTGCTGAGGTTGGACACTATTTCATTGGCCATTCATGTATCCATAATTGATTTGGGTTATGGAGTGAATAAGTATTTGTTTCCCCTGCAAGTGGGTAGATAGTTACCCCAGCAACATTTACTGAATGTTGAATTATACTTTCTGCAGTGATCTGCAGTATCACCTCTGACATGCCAAGCTTTCACTGGCCAGTTTTCGTAACCCTGTGCGCTAATACTATAGTACTGTCTAAATTACTTGTGCATTATAAAAGAAAACTTGATATTACCTTATTTTTCCCCCTAGGAGTGTCATATCTCTTTATTATATAACTCTTTTTAAAAGTGTTTTAGCAGAGATTTAAAATTTTCTTCATAAAGGTTATATGCCACTTAAAAAATGATTTATTTATAGATACATCCACCCATCCCCAATTTCTGGCAGCTATTTTAAAATCTATTATTTTTCCCTAGCCGGTTTGGCTCAGTGGACAGAGCATCAGCCTGCGGACTAAAGGGTCCTGGGTTTGATTCCGGTCAAGGGCACATGACTGGGTTGCAGGCTCAGTCCCCAGTAGGCGACTGCAGGAGGCAGCGAATCAATGATTCTCTCTCATCATTGTTGTTTTTTTCTCTCTCTCTTGCCTCCCTTCCTCTCTGAAATCAATAAAAATATTTTTTTTAAAAAATCTATCATTTTTAAAAAAGTTCCTAAATCCCTTTGTGCCTGAGGCAGTGTAACAGTAGATTTTCTCTACTAGCTTATGGTCAGCTACTTTTAAAACTGTTATAACTCTAATTTATCTTCATATCTTCTGGGTTTTCTATGTAGACAATAATATGTAAATTATAGCTACTTTGTTTCTTCACTTTAATCATTATAGCTTTTTTTTTTTCTTCTATCTTATGGACTGCCTAGTAAAGTTTTGAATAGTAGCAATGATAATGTTGCATCCTTATCATTTTCCTTGTTCTAAAGGAAATAGTTCTGTTGTTTCACCATTAATAATTATTTTTGGTATAAGTTCTTGATGCATACCCTTTATCAAGTTAAAGAGCTCTTTTAACCCTAGTTTTCCAAGAAATTTCTTTGTTTGCTTTAAATAGAAGTGGTCCCATGGTTCTGTCAAATGGTATGTGGCATCTAAAGGGTTTATTTTATTTGCTACCTTTGCATTCCTCAGATAACCCAATTTAGACATAGCATATGATCTTTTATGAAATACCTCTGGCTTCAGTTGCTTTTTATTATTTAATTTCTGTAAGGTTGTATACCTATGTTCATGAATAAGATTGGCTTATACTTTACCTTTCTGCTACTGTCTTTGTTGGATTTTGGAATTAAAGTCCTATTTCACTGATGCATAGAGTTTTTGTTTATAAGGCTGCTATAATATTATTGAGAATTTGGTTTCTTTTTAAAAAATCTTATCTAGTATGTGTTTAAACCGAAAACAAGATCTGCCAAGGTTATAATGTCTTTTCCTTTAATAGATAACCTCACAAATATTTTCTCTAAGGTCCGCATTTCATTTCTAAATATGCATTCATTTCATTCTGTTTTTATAGCAATGTACTGGTATAACTATGAACTTTTAAAGAAGTGGTTGTGTGAGAAATCTGGTTTATATGAACCCACATTTATGATCAACTTTACTTCAGGAGCATTGTCTGGTTCTGTAAGTTTACTCTTTGTTGTTAATATGTCAGAATGATAATTATCTTATTAAAACAGAACAAAATATTACATAGCATTTCATGTCTATTGAGATAGCACTTTTGAGCTGCACTGCTTTAAAATTTTTCTGAGTATTTATTATCCTATTTTGAGGGAATAAGTTACTCGCCATTCAAATATTTTAAAATGCACTTTGTATCTATGTTTTTATTATATATACATTATTATATTCTGAACAACTTTTGGACTTGTTTGATAACTACAGTTATGATAATTATAGTAGTTTAAATAGTGTTTTGTTATTACAAGGTATTTTGCAATTTTCTCATTAAATGCCTAGTTAGGTAATATTTAATGGAGTGTCATCTCATTTGTATAATAGAATTGAATAAATATAATGTCATTCTCTTCTGCTAACTTATTTCTTTGGGAACATATTAACTAAGTACTTTAGAACAACTTTTTAAATTGATTTGAGATAGAAACATTGATTTGTTCCCTTACTTATGCATTCATTGGTTGATTCTTGTATGTGCCCTAATTGGGAATTGAACCTGCAACCTTGGCGTATCAGGACAGCGCTCCAACCAACAGAGCTCCCTGGCCCAGGCTGGCTAAGTACTTTTTAAAAGAATTTTAACAAATTTAACAAAAGAATTATACAATTGGAAGGGAGGAATCTCAAATGACCATTTTTGGGGTAGTAGAGAGTTCACCTTTTCCCACCCATCTCCATAATGAAAAGTCATATAGTAGACTTTATGCAGATTCGTATCACTATGATCTTGGCCACAAAGACTTTTCTTGTATCCACATACTTACAAAATGAATTTGTGATGACTTAGAGTGAGGTGCTAACATATTGGAACCAAATGAAAACAAAAGTGAAGAAGCTCACTGATGGAGACCTGCAAGAAAATATTGGAATAATTGTATCAAAAACCTAGGCTAAGAAAGCTACTATGACTGAGTTCAAAATTCAGCTCTGAATATACCCAGGTCTGAGATTTATCAAACTAAGCCTAGTGGGTTATAAGCCTATAAAAGTACTTTTTTTTAGCAATTAAATAGTTCCGAGGCCAGCAAACTCTTCTCATTATCCCTCTTATTTGTGAGGTGATTGAATGTCACTTAATTGTATTTAATTTATATCTTAAACCATTCTGAAGAAAAACAAGTACTGTTTATTTTTAGAATTTCTAACAGTTGGAATGACATCAATTAACTTAAAAATAAATGCTTACTATCTAAAAAAAAAGAGTGTAATAATGGCTTTAGCATGTTTTTCCAGTTTTCCAGTAATATGGAGGAAAGTTGTTTTATTTTACTAATTCTGTTTAACATAAAAAATGTATTAAAAAATTTTAATGATCTAGAAAATATTGCTGCCTTTTGACTGTTTTCAAATAAAAATTTGTCTTTGCAACAGAAAAATTATGTCAGTGGCCCTGGGTAGCTCAGTTGGTTGGAGCTTTGTTTGGTACACCAAAAGGTTGTGGGTTCGGTTTCTGGTCAGGGCACTTACCTAGGTGTGGTTTTGATCCCCAGTTGGGGCATATGTGGGAGGCAACTGATCAATGTGTCTCTCTCACATCAATGTGTCTCTCTCCCTTGCTCTCTCTCTACAATCAGTAAAAACTTATCTTCATGTGAGGATTAAAAAAAAAAAAAAAAAAAAGTAGCCCTAACCGGTTTGGCTCAGTGGATAGAGCATCAGCCTGCGGACTCAAGGGTCCCGGGTTCGATTCCGGTCAAGGGCATGTACCTTGGTTGCGGGCACATCCCCAGTAGGGAGTGTGCAGAAGGCAGCTGATCGATGTTTCTCTCTCATCGATGTTTCTAATTCTCTATCCCTCTCCCTTCCTCTCTGTAAAAAATCAATAAAATATATTAAAAAAAAAAAAAAAAGTATGTCAGTGGACAATGTCAGGGCTTCCTGTCAGAAAACAGAAAACCACATCATTTTAGAAAATGTCAAAAAGCAATTTAACAAATATAACATCATTGCTATTTTTTTCCTACTACATGCTAGATTGTGTAAGTGGAGACACAATAATTGAGAGATCTTTGAACCTGGTTTCATTTCAAGAATTTAAGTCAACATTTTTCAGGTGAAATATAAATGATTTTAAGGGTCATTTTATGAGTATATTGATCAAATGTGAGTCCAGAAGCCAAATAAAATAAAAGATCAGGTTTATTTACTGTACATGCCTTTTATATCAAACTTGAGGCCCGGTGCACAAAAATTTGTGCACTCAGGGGCGTCCCTCAGCCCAGCCTGTGCCCTCTCGCAGACTGAGACCCCTCGGGGGATGTCCACCTGCTGGCATAGGCCTGCTCCCCGGGGGATTGGGACTAAGCTGGCAGTCAGACATCCCTCTGGCAGCCCAGGACCCCTCGGGGGATGTCCACTTGCCAGCGGGGAGCAGGCCTAAGCTGCAGTCGGACATCCTTAACGCTGCTGAGGAGGCGGGAGAGGCTCCTACCACCGTCAGCCTGGCTTGTGGCTGAGCAGAGCTCCCCCTGTGGGAGCACACTTACCACCAGGGGGCAGTTCCTACATTGAGCATCTGCCCCCTGGTGGTCAGTGTGTGTCATAGTGACCAGTCATTCCCAGTCGTTCTGCTGTTAGGATCAATTTGCATATTCCCCTTTTATTATATAGGATAGAGGCCTGGTGCATGGGTGGGGCCAGCTGGTGAGCCCTGAAGGGTGTCCCGGATCAGGGTGGGGGTCCCGCTGGGGTGCCTGGACAGCCTGGGTGAGGGGCTGAGGGCCGTTTTCAGACTGGCCACAACCCCTTTAGGGAGGAGGGGGTCCTGCTGGGGTGCCTGGCCAGCCTGGGTGAGGAGCTGATGGCTGTTTGCAGGCTGGCCAAGCCCCCCAGTGGGGACCCTCACCCCATGAGGGTGTGGCCAGCCTGGGTGAGGAGCTGATGGCTGTTTGCAGGCCAACCACAGCCTCTTCAGAGTGGGGGTCCCCGCCTGGGTGCCTGGCCAGTCTGGGTGAAGGACTGATGGCTGTTTGCAGGCTGGCCACAGCCCCTTCAGGGTGGGGGTCCCCCTTGGAGTGCCTGGCCAGCCTGGGTGAGGGGCTGATGGCTGTTTGAAGGCTGGCCACAGCCCCCAGCCACCCAAGCTCCCAGTGGAGGCTGGCTGGAAGCAGGTATCTTGGATTTATTTATCTTCTATAATTGAAACTTTGTTGCCTTTAGCAGAGGCCACAGCCGGCCAGGGCAGGCGGGAAGCTTGGCTTCCTCCATCACCGGGGCAACCAAGCCTCCTGCTTGCTCCAGCTCTGTGGCTGCCGGCCGCCATCTTGGTTGAGTTAATTTGCATATAGTCGCTCTGATTGGCTGGTGGGCATGGCTGGGGCGTAGCAGAGGTGCGGTCAATTTGCATGTTTCTCTTTTATTAGATTAGACTAGGGGCCTGGTGCATGAAGATTCATGCACTTGGGGTGGTCCCTCAGCCTGACCTGCACCCTCTCCAATCTGGGAGCCCTCTCCAATCCAGGAGTTTCTGTGTGTCTTTGCAATCATATGAGCGAACTGTCTGAGACCCCCCAACCCAGTTTGGTTTGTTGCTCACAGAATAATAGAGGCATTTTTTTTTCCCTTTGCTTCATTGGTGGAGATTTCCTGGAAGTTTTAGGATATCTTCCCTTTAATTTCCTAGACACTCTGATTTTACTTATGTCTCTCACCTTTGCTTTCCCTCCATCCCCCACCACAACAGTAACTTGCTCCAGGCTCACTTTGCTCTAATGTCTAGGACAGTGATGGCGAACCTTTTGAGCTTGGCGTGTCAGCATTTTGAAAAACCCTAACTTAACTCTGGTGCCATGTCACATATAGAAATTTTTTGATCTTTGCAACCATAGTAAAACAAAGACTTATATTTTTGATATTTATTTTATATATTTAAATGCCATTTAACAAAGAAAAATCAACCAAAAAAATGAGTTCACGTGTCACCTCTGACACAGGTGTCATAAGTTTGCCATCACTGGTCTAGGAGATCCGTCTGCCACCAGAACTACAATTCCCAGCATTCCCTGCGCTCTGGGCTTCCGCTTCTGGTCCTGGGGCTGCCACCAGAACTATGATTCCCAGCATTCCTGGTGCTCCCTTTGCTCTAGGTTTTCCCTTCCTGCTCTGTTTCTGTCCCACAGCCTTTCACTCTGCCACATCCCCCCAAGCCTCCGGCTCTCCTGCTCTGCTCTCCACCTGGCACCTTGGGGGAACGACCGAGGGGGCCACATCCCCCCAGGCTGCTGGCTCTCCCACTCTGCTCTCCGCCCGGTGCCTGTGTATGCAAATTAACCTGCCATCTTTGTTGGGTTAATTTGTATACTCACTCCTGATTGGCTGGTGAGCATAGCGAAGGGATGGTCAATTTACATGTTTCTCTTTTATTATATAGGACTAGAGGCCCAGTGCACAAAATTTGTGCACTTGATGGGGGGTCCCTCAGCCCGGTCTGTGCCCTAGGCAGTGAGTGGGCCTAAGCCAGCAGGTGGACATCCCCCGAAGGGTCCTTAGTGCTGCCACAGAGGTGGGACCAGGGGGCAGCTCCTGTGTTGAGTGTCTGCCCCCCGGTGGTCAGTGCGCGTCATAGCAACCTGTCATTCTGCTGTTCAGTCAATATGCATATTAGGTTTTTATTATATAGGACTAGAGGCCTGATGCACGAAATTCATGCAAGAGTAGGCCTTCCTTCCCCTGGCTGCTGGCACTGACTTCCCTCTGGCACCTGGGACCTGGGCTTGCCTCGCAGCCCCTGCTTCATCTGGAAGGACAACCAATCTAAATAGCATATTACGCTTTTATTATTATAGATATTATAAGACATTCTTAAGAGCATTTATTCTTTTAAAAGAACTTTCCTTAATTAGGTCATTGTGAAAATAATTGTTAAGTTGGTTCATTTTGAGATGAACTAGATATATAGGCATATAGAACTAAAAGTTCAAAGTCCATTTTCTTTAATTTTTTATTATGTTTTTTAAACATTTGTTAGAAAATTTTAAATGCTTGCTAGATGTTTGAGAATTTCTGCTTTAAAATAGGTATTATACCTTCATGTATAGTAAAGGAATAATGCAACACAGGAATGTAGGTGATTGCAAACACTGGTTTTCAAGTCAGAGATGTCTGGTTAGAATTATGTCTCTGCCACTAGGAGTTGTGTGACCTCAGGGGAGTAGGGGAACTTTTCTGAGACATTTTACTTATTCCTAAATTTTCAGAGAAATACCTAAGACATATTTTCTTTAACAAAAGCTTTTCTTTAAATATATCTGGTTTTATTTTATGTGTTAATTTAGTTATAATTTTCAGTATTATCCTTATTAAATGAAGTGCTAATTAAGAGAATGTAATTTTAGGAAAAATTTAAAGGCAGATTTAAATCAATCAATTTTACTTTTTGATAGTTCGCAGCTGTTGTAACTTTGCCATTTGATGTGGTAAAAACACAAAAGCAGACACAACTTTGGATGTATGAAAGTCATAAAAGTAAGTTCAATTCATTTAAAACATTTTTAAGATACCATGAAAATTTTTGTTTTTCTTTCCAGATACTAAGTTAGGAATATCTAGAATAGGGATAAGATTTTTTTCCCCTCTGCTTTACTCTTTAGCTGAAACTAATATACTCTTAGGTTGGAATATCCAGGAAAAAATACTCTCAACCCAAACGAAAAAAAATTAAGAAATCTAAGTTTGTGTATTTTGCCTGCTATTAGTTAAGTCTTATACCTGTTCTATGTAGAAGATTAAATTATATGTTTGTTTTTGTTTTTTTTTTTTTGTTGTTGTTGTTCAAATAAATCTGGGCAAGTCAAGGTGAAGGATAGTAAATTACTGGGAAACCTTTTTTCTCGTGATATGTTTTGTTTTATTAGTATGCATGTACATTTTATTATTTTCCTGTTTAGTTTAGCTTTCCTTTTTAAATGTTTTTTCTACCTATTATTCCATCTATTTTTACTTTATAACCTGTAATTTTTTCTAGAACAAAAGTGTACTCTTGGTTGCATACATTAGATCTATTCTGTCAATATCATCTGTAGAAAGTGTCGCAAACCCAATGGAAATTATCCATTACAAAATTGTGTCATAGAAGCCTTGTGATAAGCCTATTATAATTTAAATAAATTGTTCCCCACCAGAATAATATTTTGCATACAAAGTAAAATAGGTATTCTAATGTTAAAAGAAACATTAATTATAGACCTCTGAAAATAAATCTGATGAATATTAGTGACAACTTTGTCCTTAACTTATCAAAGTGTAATCCCTTCTCCACTTCCTTGTTTTAGGTGCAAGCCTTCTAGCTGCCTAAGCCCTATCATCATTCATTCATTCATTCATTCTGAGAGAGGAAGACAGAGACAGAGAGACAACTGTCTGTTGTTGCACTTATTTATTCGTTAGCTGCTGCTTATATGTGCCCTGACCAGGGATCGAACCTGCAAGCTTAGCATATCAAGATGACATTCTAACCAACTGACCTACCTGGCCAGGGCCTCATTCATAAGCTTTATGTTTGAACCTCAGTGACATCTATTTTTGCTGATTTTTTTAAAATATACAAATTAATTTTTTCTATTTTTCAGTTATTTGAGTAGTTGCAAATTAGTGAAGTGTTACTGTTAGTTACAGGACAGTTCTGCCCTTTGGAGAGGATAGGACTGACCTAATTGATTTCATATGGCACATCTATTCAGAAGGGTTTTAATAAAGCAGAACCTTACTAGGGAGAATGAGCTATTATCCTCAGAAACTCTTTTTAGAAAAAAAAATATTTTTTAATGTGTGCAATAAAAATTTAATGAAAATGATTATCAGGACTTCTCTTTGGCTTTGGGAACCACATGAATATTTCTATATATCTTTAAAATTTTTCACTATGAAACTTTTTAATATGTGGAAGAAAGTATAAAGGATACTTACTACAAAGCTTAAGAAACAAATACTATCAGTTCCAGAGAAGTCTTCTATATATTCCCCCTTGATTGCATTTAATTCTATACCTTTAAACTTATAGCCTTTTTCTAATTTTTCTTTTTAATGAATCCAACTATTACAAATAATATTTAAAATAACTTTTTAGACAAACTTGTTATTATATTGAAATGATATATCCCCAAAGGCCATACACTATTTTATGTGTTTACCTGTATTAGAAATTAAGGGGTAATTCATAATGCTATCTTTTTTTTTTAACATTTAGTTTCTATGCCTATGTCAACCTGGGCTATAATGAAGAACATTGTTGCTAAGAATGGGTTTTCTGGATTATTTACAGGTAAAAATATTTGCTTTACCAAATCGTTGAGTAAAATTATTACTTTTACTTTTAAATCTATCCTTCCTAAATTAACTATTCAGCAGGAACTTGTTGAAAGTAATTCACATTTATTATTTCTTCCTAAACATCTTTTCTGTAGATTTAAAACTTAAATGACAATAGATTTAATAAGATAAAATTTCTGTGTAAAGTAACGGAGTTAAATTGAGGAGGTTGGGAGTAAGTTTGTCTTGTCCTTGAATACCAGTTTATGGCACAGTATTTGATGTATCACTTCATTTAATTTGATCATCATCAGAATGAAACCAAACCAATAAGTATTTTAAAATAAGGTAAAATTTGTTCTGATATTTTTCTGTTCTCTTTGCAGGCCTAACTCCCCGTTTAATTAAAATTGCTCCTGCTTGTGCCATCATGATCAGTACATATGAATTTGGAAAGGCTTTTTTCCAGAAAAAAAATACTCAAAAACAGCAGTAGTGATGCTGCTTCAACTTGAAATAGCCATGGCCAAATAAGATGGAGACTCTTAGGCAAGAGCCTTTCTTTTTTCTTACGATTATTTTGTATCTTTCTTGCTGATAATTTAAATGAACAGAAATTTCTACCTTGGCTCTAAATCATAATCCTTATTTTAAAATAAATTGTGTATTCCTAATTTTTGAGATAGTGAAAAAGATATTTCAGAAATCACAACCACTGAGCATTTTATAAAGAGAAAAACAATTATTCCTTAACACTTGTAACTTGAGAGTTTGATATTAAAGATCCTGTATTGTATACTGATACTGCAACAGAGAGTGGTTTACTGATTGTATTAAATGTTCCCTAAAGTCAAGCGTGGGTGTAGAGTGGAAAACAACATTGTACTTAGACAAGTAAAAATAATGTTTTGGCACAGAAAGGTCATCTGGTTTCAGCCATGTGGTAATTCATGTGTCACTGAGGAGTCCTCTAGGTCGCTCTATTGGCTTGTTCTATTATATTTGATATTATTAATACAATGTCAGTTATAAAATATTTCCAGAATTTCCCTTGATGATATGCATCTCACATTAGTATGCTAGACAAGAGACTACACATACAATTTCCTTGAAGAAATAGCTTTTGGTCACTATAGGCTAATGCCTGAGAAATTTAGCCTATGACTATAGGAATGAAATAAAAAGATTATGGCAGGACAAGAAATGATATTTTTTAAAGTATTTGTTGAATTTTTTTAGGATATACATAAGAAAAGCACTTTATTGCAAACTATGTGTATTTTATGAAAATGTGAAACATTTCCCCCCTAAAATAGGTAATATATTTAGGTGTTAAAGCTCTGATGTTCACAGAGGAATTAATGTATTTGTATTATAGTAGAAAAAAAGCTCATGTTTTACCAAAAATAAATTATATGGGATTTGTATGTAACCTTTTGTTTTTATCCTGTGTTGATTTACCTTAAATTTGCAACATAAATATCCATAAAAATATAATTATTTTAACTTATACTTTCATTAAAATATTTTGCTTAAGTTAAAATTATCACTGTACCTTTAGCTAATATTTTCATAAAATGTGTGTAAGAATGTTTATCTGGAACACTGCTGTTTAACAGTATTAAATTTACCTTGGTTTTGCTATGCTTCTTTTTGATAACTTATTGGTAGAAAAGGCAGAAAATTGAGATTTAGAACTATGCTTCAAAAAGCAATCACATATTTCAACTTACTATCACTTATAAATAAATACTGATTGCACTTGTGGGAAATTCTTATGATTTATGACTAAAATAACTTATATATAATTCCCTAGTAGTTTTTCTAATACGTATTACATGCAGTGTATCCGGATGAAAAACGAAAGCTTCAGCTTTCTCTGTACTTAAGTAGTAAATAAGCATAAATACTTTTGTTTTAAAAAAAGAAAAAGTAGCAACCAAAAAGAGTTTGGCTAGAAATTGTGTTCTTGGTAATGTTGCTGAAAGGAAACTTTCATTTTATTAATGATAAATTTTCCAACATACATATTTAATTTATGTGTACATTTTTAAGAAGAAATGTCTTCTTCAAGTATTATGTTTGCTACTTTTCATATAATACACATTTGACTTTTTAAAAGTACAGAATTCTAATTTTCCTTTTATTTCTAGGAAAATTATTCTCTATACTTAATCACATATGACTCCTTTAAATTCTTCCCTCCTTTTTTACAGGGCACAAATCCAGGGATGTGGGAAAACATAGTCTATCACTTTTGAACTTTTTTCCACAATGTAATCTGTCATTCAACACTTATTGAGACCTTTAATGTGATAGGCAGTATGAAAAACACTGGAGAGAAGATGTTTCAGATGTGGGAGTAGGTGAGGAGGGTGCAGGGGGATAAATGGTGATGGAAAAAAGGTAACAAAACTGTCAGAAACTGTCACTGGCCTCAAGTGGATTTGAAAACTATGATTCATGGATTCTCCACTCAGCCTGGGGGAAAAGAAGGAGTGGGCAGGAAACGCTTCTAGGATTAGGGCAGATGATGCAGATTAAGTATACCTGGAAGCAGGCAACGGGATATGTCCCAGTTTGAGCAACAGGTATACATGGCGATGTGGTAGGAGATCAGATTGGGAATGTAGTCAGAGGGCTTGTGTGCCAAAGGAGAAACAAGAAGACAACAGGAGACAAAGGCAGTATTTTTGGTACAGCTCTAATACTTACAGAGTTGGGGTATTGGTTTTTTCCCCCCAAGACCATTTATTTTTAATGAAAGAACATAGAACAGAAAACACCAGAATGTGTCATGTAGTAAGGCCAAGTGTTGTGAAATTTTGATTTTAGTTGTGTTTTAGAAAAATAACTGACAGTATGGGAAATGTGACTAATAATAAGGTAACATATTTTACAACAATCTAAAGTTTAGTTTAGATTAAAATATGATTTTAAAAGGTACTATTAATGATACATATAATTTTATCTCCCCCTTCCTATCCATTAAAAAGAACAAATGCTGAACCTACATAGAAGCTGCTTTGCTTAGAGGAAGAACAAAGTGAACTAACTTAAAAAAAAATTAAGAGCCCTGATTTTCAAAAGCAGTCATGTGACATTTCAGAGGTGGAGATTTCACCTAATGATAGGAACTTTGCAAAGAATGTCCATAAGTTGTAACTGTGAGACATTTTTAACCACTTGAAAACTTGTATGTAAATCTAATAAAGATGACTTACAAACTGACTTAAAGTTTTGTCAATCATAATTAGTAGCTTGACTTTGGCACTTACCCATTACAAACATGCACGTATGATTTCATTTAGTGCTGACATCATCCTGATGCCTTCAGACAGGTACTGAGAAGATGGTGATGTTTCCATTTGGCAGCTGAGAAAGCAAACGTTGGCAATTATGTGATCCTATCAGTAACACTGCCAGGACCACTGCTGTACTGTGCCACTTCATAGCTGTGTGTACTCAAAAGGGTGTCATGTTCTTTAAAAAATAAAATGTATTCAATCTACACTAATAAAAGAGAAAGATGCAAACTGACCATACCTTCATGACACCCACCAGCCAATCAGGAGTGGGTATGCAAATTAACCCAACAAAGATGTTGGGTTAATTTGCATACACAGGCCCCAAGGGGGCAGGGCACAGGCGTTCCGCACAGCCCCAGCCACTCCAGGCCTCTAGGCAGCATGGGAAGGCGGAAAGGCGGCTCCGGCCAGAGTGAAGGCGGTACCAGCAGCCAGGGGAAGGACGGCCCATTCTTGCATGAATCTTCATGCATTGAGCCTCTAGTTTTATATATACTAATATTTTAGATATCTGTGTATATAAAAGCCTAAGCGACCGTCCCTATGATGCACACCGACCACCAGGGGGCAGATGCTCAACGTAGGAGCTGCCCTCTGGTGGTCAGTGTGCTCCCACAGCCAACTTCCCACTGCCGGCCAACCTTCTACAGTCCCTTCCTGGGTGAGAAGGCCCTGATCGGCCCTGATCACTAGCTAGGCTGAGGAACCCCACCTGTGCATGAATTCGTGCACCGGGCCTCCCTCTAGTTAGGTAATATACTTTTACCCTATTTGTCAACTCAGTGTGTAACCTGAATCAAGTAACTTTTTGTCAAGGATAAATTAAGACCACTAATGCATGGTACAAAATGTTTAATATACATGCAACAAGTGTAATACATCAAGGCAACAAAATACACATGGAAATATTAGCATGTAATTCAGCATTCTATTTTGGGGAGGGTGTATGAACAATAAACACTACCAAATGAAACTAAAGATTGAGACATAAGTTGTTTCCTCATGCACACATTAACTATCTCTCTAATTAGTATGAGATGAACTGAGTAGAAACCTGAATTCACATTAGCAGATGAATTTTATACCAAGAGCTCCAAGAAAGGAGGAAGTCATGGTCCTCAGGTGTCATGTTTAAATCTGCACTTAAGATGCACTGTGTTAAGATGCACAAGTTACAGTACACATTAGACAAATCTGAAAAATTGTATTAATTATGGAATCTTGAGTTAACTTTCTGTATTATAAAAATGTATGGAAAAAATGTAACAATGATTTTTTAAAGTTATTGAAGGAAAATGTCAAGTTGAGAGTGGACCGTGAATGATAAAGCATTAAAACATTCTGAAAGTTTTAGAAAGCAGCAATAGTGCTTAAGGCCAGCCTAAAAGTTTTGACGTTCCCCTCCATAACCATTTCTCACTTCCTCCTCCCAAGATTTCCACTGCCCTCCTTTTATAACTTCCATCCCCCATACTGAGTAAAAATTGCTTTGGATACCTCACTCACAATCAGGTATTCAGAATTCAGAGATTAAAGGTACCATTTCTCAAGAATGTTTGCATTTTTACAAGTACTAAAAAGCCTTAAGCTAAAAGAATAAAGCTCTGAGTAGTCCTGGTACATCTAAGATAACTTATTTTAAGGGCTTTCCAGGCGTCCTTTGTCCCTGAAATGATATTGTTTGAACTATCTTACATAGAAGACTAGCCTCGTTCCTATTTATTATCTTAAATTCCAAATTATGAGAGTAAAGCTCTAAAGATTGCAGAGAACCACCACACTCCTACATTCCTAACACGAAGAATGACTGTGATAAGTTCAGCACTTCTTGCCTCCTCTCAACAAAAATAAATTGCTTTAGGAGGAACATTCTTCCTCTATGGCAAAGCTACTAAGTTTGAATGTAACGTTTTATTAGTAAACAAAAATATCACATAAGTCCCCAGTAAGTATTGTAGCTTCTTCATGTAAACAATGTATAAAACTTCTTTGGCACAACTGATCATGTTTTCCTCATATTACTGTAGAAAATACATTTAATACATTTTCTTTTCCAATATGGTGAAGTTTTTAGGGACAAAAATGTATAGTTCCAAAAATTGCAAAAAAAATTAAAATACAGTTCAGAGATGTTTTTAAAAAGAAAACTTTTTTTTTAACCTGTAGAAGTGCAGGGATTTTTAATATTGACTTTAAAATGAGATTGTGGCGTGATTAATAATAGAAACTATAAAACATACATGAGACTTCACTGCAGCCCATAAGGGATAGAAAACAGCACTGTATGCCGGACATTAAGTATGGTGATCACTTACTGATACTAATTTAAAAGCCTCTCAGATACTTGATTGAACTTGAAATCTTCCCTGATCAAATATTTTTTTCAACATCTGCTCTACACTTTTTTAATGTTTAATTTTGGATGCATATTTGGTCAGGTTTTTTTAATTGATGACCTTTTAAGAAAATTTTGGAGAAACAAAGATAAGAAATTTTATTCATTTTACCTAAATGGTCTAAAATACTGTAAAATACTTTCCCTATGACCCTAACTAATTTAGTAACTGCCTAAAGGCACATTCCTACAAAATATATAAAATGTTAAGTGGAATGCTAAGTTGATATCGAATGATGACTGTTAAAGAAAAACTGAATAAGCCACTGTCAAACTGCAGCTGAAAACATTCTCCTCATATTAAAAACAAGGCTTTTAACATGAGAACATAGGAAGAAATTAATGAAAAGTGAAATTAAGTCATTTTTAGAAATTTGAATCATTGCATTAAAAAGGAAAGAAAATACTTGCCTAAGTCTCTGGAATAAAACCTTGAACTCGGTCTCTGGCAATTATGATACATTTAAATATATGAAAATCGACTGAATAAGTATGTACAATTTGCAAATGATTATTAATTTCGAGGATCTTTGAAAAAAATGTTAGGCCTATTCATTTTAAACTTTCTCAGTGACAAATATAAGAATTTTTTAATGAAAACAATGGCAAGATCTTTTTTTTTCCATTCAGTTTACATGGAGTAGATTGAACTCGAAGCAACAGGACTCCACATATGTACCAGAACAATATAAAATTCCAAAGGTTTTCCCAGCAGTCAAACTTATGTACTAGAACTTCTGCAACATAAAATCTTGTGGCTTTTACATTAAATTTTTCAGGATGGAGTTAGGCCTGGACTTGTCATCTCTGCTGTAGGACTTGCAAGACAGTCATTGGATTTGAGGCTAGTTAGAGATTTGTAACTTGCCACTGATGTTAGAGACCCACAGAGACCAAGTAAGGAGGGAGTGTCTTCTTTACCTGGAAATTAGGATAAAATAACAAATAGTTAATTGTCCTTGAAGAATTGTCCTTTAGGTCCAATAAGGACCTAAAAATATTAAAAACTTCATACTTTATACAATATTGATATGGCAACAGTTGAAGGTTAACAAAACTTTTTGCCTCAGATGACAGAGGTTGGTAGGTCCTAGCAGAAACAAATTAGTCATTAAAAGCAGAAAACTGATGTTTTGTTTTATAGCATTGCAAAAAGACCAGTTCTGTTTTAAATGTACTGATAGTGGAGTCTGGATTCTACAAGTCTTCAAATGGTACTGCTACAAATGTTAAGTTAGAAGTCACTGGATGTACTCTATGTGCCACGCATTATGATAACAAACAATACATTTAAGAATCACTGCTTGCCTGGTGGTGTGGCTCAGTGGTTGAGTGTCAACCCATGAACCAAGAGGCCACAGGTTCAATTCCCAATCAGGGTATATGCCCCGGTTGCTGGCTCGATCCCAGTAGGAAGCATGCAGGAGGCAGCTGATCAATGATGTTTCTCTCATCAATGTTTCTATCTCTCTATCCCTCTCCCTATCTCTCTAAAAAAATAAAATCAATAAAAAATATTTTTTTTAAATGCTAAGATGTTGAAATGTTATAGTGAATTGTTAGCATTTTTCTTCCATGGTTATACAAAAAATTATGATTTATCATAATCCTTACCCAAGGATGGATTATTTATTACAAATATATATATATTTGTATTTTTATTTGTAATTGATTTTAAAGAGAGAGGGAGGGAGGGAGAGAGAAGAAACATCAATGTGTGAGAGAAACATAGATCAGTTGCCTCCCATATGTAACTCGACCGCAACCTAGGTATATGCCCAGACCTAAATCAAACCTGCAACCTTTTGGTGTATGGGACGACAACCAACTCCACCCAACTGGGCAATAATGGTATATCTTAAAACTCAAAGCATCTTAGATTTGATGAAATGTGGTAGCTACTAATAAGTTACTAGCATAATATCTGTCCATATGAGGCGCTTAATAAATATTTCTTGAAAAAAATGACAACTTCTCATCCTATCAACAATAACGATGCCATGATGTGCAGTTTGAATTTTACTCTGATTGTCTTTGAGAGCCACAGGATGACTTTAAGTGGGGATATGTTTTCGAAGATCACTGATTACTGTATGGAGAATGGATTATGAGGAGGCAAGAATGGGAGACCAAACACATTGAAAAAGCTGTGGCAGCAGTCCATCCAAGAGGCTTGCTCCAAGCAGCACAGGCTAGGATTGCAGTAAGGGAGGAGATGATGGGTCAGTCTATATAGCATGTGCTATATGGGGAGCTACCAGGACTTGCTAATAAACTGACCTACTGATGTCATCAGGAAGAGTAGAATCTAGAATAATGCTTATGGGGGTGCCATTTATTGCAATGGAGAAAGAAAACTAAAGAAACTGGAGGTCTAAAGGAATGCAGGTTCCCCTTCAGTAAAAAACTCCCTAGCTCTCACACACACCAGCACATGTAGAACTGGGAAGGAGAGATAAAAGATGTGAGCACTCTCATACTAGTACCACTTGTCCAATCCAAAGAATTGTATTCACAACTGTAGCCTGTGCTGAGGGGAGGAAAAAAGAGCTTTGAACCAACTAAGCTATTGAACTTTTAAAAGGAATAGCTTAAGTCTTAGAAACAAATGCGATCATTGAAAGTGACCTGAAAAGTTGTGGAATTTGACCAAGATATAGTTGAGGAAGATGCAATCCAATGGGAAGAGTGGTTGGTTGAGCACAGCTGAAAGGGGTAATGGGAAAAAACAAAACTCCTTTATGTCTATTCCCCACGTTTTTTCAGAATACTTATAAACAAGGTACCAAAAGTGACTAAAAAATGAAGAAATGGTTGGGTATAGCAAAAGCTGCTGAGTTTAATAGGATAAAGGCAGAGAACTGACTTTAGCAATATGGCAGTGGTTAATTACCTTGATAAAATCATTTCAGTAAGTAGTAGAGACAAAAAAGCCAAATTGGAGTGGGTAGAAAAGACACAGGAAATGAGGAAATAAAGGTAAAAACTAAAGAGAATCTAAGATTGAAGGTTAGCCACAAACACATGAGGAACAAACAAGAGCAGACCATTTTTAATCATAATGGCAGTTTAATTCTTAGCATACTTTGCAGAATTATCACAATTATTCTTTAGCAGTCCTCTGCAACCACAGTATCAATAGTGCAGGAAAAGTACTTTTCAAACAGACTTTTTCCTTACCTTCGCTGATTGAATTTAACGTGTCTTGTTTTCCATCGTCTTGTGACTGACCTGGGTCCAGGGAAGTCTGAGAAAGGCTAACTTCAGCTGAAAACTGGTCAAGATTTTGATAACTTTTTCTGTAAAATAACAGTGAAATATACTTAAATTTGTTCTCACAAAAATAATTTCTAGAGATATTCTTTACTGGTTTTCTTCAATTTATTGGTTAATTTCTGGTTAAATTATCCCCAATTTTCTCCATTTAAATGTGGTCTTTATCATGGCTGCAGTATGATCTCCATTATACTTTTCCCTCCACCCTTTTTGTAGGTCTATCTGGTTAATCCACTAAAAATGGAAAAGAAAGCAATTTTTCAAACAAACGAATCCTTGCACCAGTTTTTTATTATTATTATTATTGAGCTTGTTAAGAAATGGGGACATCTGGTTATTATCAGGTGACAAAGGAGCAGAAAAATCTACAGATGCAGAACAAAATTGGAATAACTTAATAATGATCTAGTGTCTTCTAAGCACTTTAGAATTCTTCAATACCTTGATATTTTTATGTAATTATTATAGTAACAAATTATTAAAAATTCCTATAATTTAGAAGCTTAAAAAATGTTGGGTAATAAAATATCTGTTAAAACACCATCAAGATAATTTAACTTCCTTCCCTCATGTATTTGCAATTGTGAGCCCATTTTCTATTAAATGAATTAATTAGAAATATAATAAAACCTCAGTTATAAACAGAAAGTTAATGAAGGTTTATTATTAAACTGTCCTCATATTTGTTTTGTCAGGATAAAACTAACTCAAGGGATATATGCAGGTTTTATGTTATTGCCATTTCAAGTAAGAGAACAATTCATTACTATTTCCAAATATAAATGATCCAGGAAAATGAATGTGTTTTTTAGGTTCAACATCTATTTCCTAAGGTACTCAAACCCTATCTAATTTCCTAGACATGTCATGTGTTATATGATAAGGTTATAGAAATGCATATATAATTTAAATAATCTATTAGTCATTATTCATATTCATAAGAGTAGACTTAAAAATTTATCAAATGCATGTATATTAAGTATGGGAGGATATATACAATAAATATTTCCTCTAAGAAATGAGGTGAAGAATGTGGTGATGGAGTAACTACTAGCTTACAATGCAAGTAGTATTCTCACTTGATTACCTGGTGATTTTTCAAATTTTGGAAATATAAAAGTTCTTAATTATATTTTTAAGTAATGGGAAGTTCTATTATAGAAAATTTCTGATAATTATAATAGACTAGAGGCCCAGTGCACAGAATTCGTGCACTGGGGGGTGGGAGGGTCCCTCAGCCTGGCCTGCACCCTCGCGCCATCTGGGGCCCTTCGGAGGATGTCCAACTGCTGGCTTAGGCCTGATTACCTGGGCCTAAGTCAGCAGTCAGACATCCCTCTCACAGTCTGGGATCCCTCGCTCCTTACCGCCCGCCTACTCACTCCTTACCATTCAGTTCACTGCTCCTTAGTGGCAAGCTCCTTACCACTTGGCTCGCTGCTCTTTAGCGCTGCCACAGAGGCAGGTGATGCTCCGGCCACTGCTGCTGTGCTCACCAGCCATGAGCCTGGCTTCTGACTGAGCAGAGCTCCCCTTGTGGGAGCACACTGACCACCAGGGGGCAGTTCCTGCATTGAGCGTCTGTCCCTGGTGGTCAGTGCACAGCATAGCAACCAGTCATTCTGGTCATTCCACCATAACAGTCACTTAGGCTTTTATTATATAGATTATATAGATAACAAATATATGAGCTATACAACATGTAATTTTTTAAAATGATACCCAATATCAAATTTACATCAAACTTAACAAATGCTGGGCACTGTTCTAAATATTTTTTTGTGTATAATTTTATCCTCATAAGTACATTAAAAGGTTGGAATTATTAATACCATTACTTCCTAACAGAGAAAACTAGGTCACAAAAAGGTTAGGTTTGAACCTGGTGACCTGGCTCTAATTCTGTTTCCTGAACTACTATGCTGTGCTATCGCCATTCTGGTAAAGGAAGAAAAGATTTGGCTTCCTATTTTATTAGAAGCTATTCTTTAAAAAACAGCTTTGTTTGCTGAGGTAGATCATGTAAATGATACTGTATTTAATCAAATACAGTATAAAATCTTATTTACTTAGCTATGCAGCAGTTCTCAACCTGTGGGTCGCGACCATCAGAAAACACACATAGCATATCAGATCTTTACATTACGATTCATAACAGTAGCAAAATTACAGTTATGAAGTAGCAACGAAAATAATTTTATGGTTGGGGGTCACCACAACATGAGGAACTGTATTAAAGGGTCGTGGCATTAGGAAGGTTGAGAACCACTGCAGGGGGGAAAAGCAGGAACACAGGAATTTAATAAAGGAAGCTATGAATAAGTTTCTTTTCCAAATTATTTTCTGGGCCTAATAAGTAGGAGCTTTCTTTTAAAACAATGGTTTAAGATGAGTTTCTGATACTAACTTTTCATCATAAGAAACTTGTTAATGTTATTAAAATGCAAAAATTACATAGAGATACATTTACAAACAAAAAATACTCAAGCAAAACGATTTGGAATTCATTGGAATATTGTAAAAACTGAGAGCTTGACAGCACACATTTACAGTCATCTCAAGAACGGCCCGCCATGTGAGGGAGGAAACCTGTACAGGCAGCTCTGTGAATGCAACATAATTAGCCTTCTGCGCGACCTATTGACGTTCCCGTAGAATATCAGCTTCCAAATCCAAAGTGATCAGGGGAGCTTCCTACCTCTAATCTGTCACGTTCAGTGAACAATCCCTGAGTTACAGACTTTACTTAATCAAATGCCAATGAATACAGGGACAGGATTTATAGACAATCCTGTTCTGCACAAATAATAAAAATCCCAAGCTAAAATTAAGCCCCTTATTCATAAGATATTAAGAACAGTCCCATATAATAACTGTCTTGCATGAAACTGACTATAGACTCACCATCTAGGAAAAATCTAGTTCAGGTGCTTGCACGAATGACAAAGAATGGGTTGGGTTTTCACATTCTTACCTGATTTCCAATGTGATTGGCAACTACATCTGACAAACTGTTTTTGATATGAAGTAAAACTATGTCTATGGGACATTAAAAGGTCACCACTACATCCTATCTTAGAATTTTAGACTGACTAGCACCACACTGTAAGATTTAAATGTAACCCACCAGACACGTCAAACCAATTAACAGTCTATCGCTATTTCTCAGAGTAGAATTTTAAAAGTAGTAATAGCTTACTTAATCAAAATAAGAAGCCAGGCGAGTAAGAGTCATGTATTATGACTACATAAAAGTTTATAGTTTAAAAGTTTATGCCATTGTTACATTGCTAAATATAATTTAAGTTAAACTTGTCAGATTTATATGTCATGAGCACTTGGGACATAATAAAATTCACTGCCTTTATTATATGACTAAACAATTTAAAAATCACTCAAATACAAAATTCAATATCCAGAACTGGGTAACAAATGATGGCAAATTAAAAAGAAAATTGCGCTGTAAGCCTGAATTCCCTTATAGGTAAATTTCTTTACAATCATACACTTTATGTCAGTGATCAGAAGTAATGATATAGGTAATCTACATCACTTATTTGCCCAACAGATGTACTGATGTCAATAATAATTTACATTATCTGGTAGCCATTGGACAACAGAGAATGTGATGTACAGGAGACATTATTCACAAAATAAAAACAAATATATAAACACTGTATGCGCAGAGACATATGAATGTGCATGAAAACAGAAATATACTATTCGTTTCATTCTTGGTTTGATTTTTCATAGAAATATGTTTAAGGAAAAATATAAGCATCTGCTCTAGCAAAATATCTACCTACTCTTAATCTACTAAAATCAATGGAGGGATGCAAGGGAGCCTTTAGAGTGGGATGTATGTGAGTCAGGTTAATGCAAAATTTACAAACTGCAAAATAATTCTGCAGCCTCAGTGCTTTAGGGAGTCCAACTCCAAAAATATACAAAAGACACACGTGGGAAGGAGAACCTCTAATACATCTAGGGTGAGTATATCTATTCATAAGAGGTCATTAAGAAAAATTACCCTAATATAAAAGCTCATAATTCTCAGTAATTTTGTGAATGATAGCAAAATTGAGAAGCAATGATAAATTTAGAAGACTGAAGAAGTTTAAGTAGAAAATATAAATGTGATGACAATGAATTTGATCATTTGGAATGAAAATAGTGATTTAGAAAGTAACCTTACAAGATTATACATAACCAGAATCTAACAAGCTCATGTGGCCTAGACTTTACATATAAAGAAAAATATTAAAACAAAACTTATTAGGAACAAAACACAATAATCAGTTGCTCTATGTGTGTGTTAAGGGAATAAACTTTATATACTTAGTTATTGTTGGCTTTGTACAGTAAGCCTAAAATGTTTTAATGTGATATTCCTATGTTTGAAATAAAAAAGAAGATATAAAATCCAGCATAACTAATCTTACCAGATCTAAATAATCAAGAAATAAATTATAAATTATATTTTTAAACTTTTATAAACATTACAGTGAATAGAAATAAATTTAACATTTTCTATTGTGACAGGGGTCCTTCTACGAGTAGCTGATCACATAGCCAAGTTATCCAATGACTCATTTTAAGAAAAAAAATAGACAAAGGATAAAAAAGTTGTAGTACTTACAGGGGTTGGCAAAGTAGGTTTACAGTTGTGAGTACACTAAACACAGAGTTTATTGTTGTATTATTTATTAATTACTGTATTATTTTCCATATGAACAACTGTAGACCTACTTTTATCTACCCTGTGTATACAATGGAATATTACTCAGTCATAAAAAAATGAAATCTTGCCATTTGCAACAGCATGGATGGACATAGAGGGCATTATGCTTAGTGAATTAAGTCAGACAAATAGCATATGATTTCAATTACACGTGGATTCTAAAAAATAAAATAAATGAACAAGCAAAACAGAAACAAACTCAAAGATACAGAGAACAAACTGATGGTTGCCAGATGGGAGGGGATTGAGGGAATGGGTGAAAAAGGTAAAGAGATTAAGAAGTACAAATTGTCTATTATAAAAACAGTCATGGGGATGTCAAGTACAGCATAAGGAATATAGTCAATAATATTAAAATAATTGTGTGTAGTTTCTGGAAGGTACTATACTTGTCAGGGGATCACTCTGTAAGTTATATAAATGTTTCATATATAAATGCAATACACTTGCAACTAGTATAATATTGTATGCCAGCTTTAATCTAAATTTTAAAAAAGTATTTAGTTATTTTTAAAAAGAAATGCCAACAAGTCCACAAAATTCATTATATCATATAGCATGCTTTCTTTCTTCTCAAAGCTAACTGGACAAATGAGGCACAGAGCTCCTAAAGAAATAATGGTAGACATCCCATATTTTCAGCAGGAAATTATATTTATCATGTAATTTAATGACTCATTTTAGGGTGAGTTTCTATCTCCAAATTATCAAGAGAGCTAATGTTCTTTATTGAAGTTGATTTGGCTACCTCCTCCATAACTGGCAGGTTCTCAATAAATGTTTGTTGAACTTATTTAAGACTAGAGGCGTGGTCCACGAAATTTGTGCACTGAGGTGGGGGGTTGTCCCTCAGCCTGGCCTGTGCCCTCTCACAGTCCGGGAGCCCCATAATTGATCTCCCCAAAGAGGTAGGCCCCGCCCACCTGCCGCAGCCCACTGGTCGGTTGCCTGGGCCTCCCTCAATCATGGGGTGATGGCCGGGCCCCCATCCAGTTGCATCGCATCTGCTTTGGCTGGCCTGGCGCCAGCGGGTGTCATAGCGTGGTCGTCCTGACAGTCATTCTGCTGTTAGGTCGTTTGGTCAATTTGCATATTATGCTTTATTATTATAGATATTGGTCAGATTAAGAGGAATTTGTGATCAGGTCAGTTTAAGACTTTGGCTTATTTTACACATCTGAGGGGTGCAAAAACTGGATTCTGATGAAAACCTATGATTTGTCTCAAATATGGTTTATAGAGCACTAGTTTGTTCTAAAAATTAAAAGTCTCCATTTTTACATGAAAAGTTCGAAATTATTTATTCAGAAAAATTGAGGATTTGCTGGTCATTTTAATTTTGCATAAAGTTTTAGAATCACTCTAAGAAAGTAGAGCTTGGGATTTGGGTAAGTGTATATTCTCCAAACATGAAAGATACAAGATCTGAGAGTATAAACAAAAAAAAATTATATAGAGTTTAAATAAAGGTTTTCCAGGAAGCTCTTAAGTGCCAGGCAATTTATTACCCACATGACCCTTATAATTCTATGTAAATAGGCATTACTCCAAGTACTGGGTGTGCAGAAACAAGAGATAAGAAGAGGAATTGCTGCTTCGTTACACAGCAATTAAGCAGCAGAGATTACTTTTAAGTCCTGACTTAAACTCTAGGTCCAGCGATGTCACAGCTGTCCCCTAGCTGCACACTTTTTGTTCAGGGATATCAGTTTGGCAGTAGGGCAATCTTAAAGCAATACCATCACTGGAGGTCAGGTCATATTAAGGGATGATGCTGGGAAGGAAGGGGTATCCTTTCTTCTTAAACTAATGGAGTAACTTGTTAAGAACTATAAAGTCTGGATTCATACTAAATAGATGAGCAGGCAGTTTCACTGCTCTCTTTTCTGAGACTGACATTACTTTTCAGTCACTAACATTGCATGTAATGGTAAAGTACAGCCACTTAGACTCATTTGTTCCTCAATAGGTAGCTCTGCAGGCAGGCAGGGGTACATGCATGTATTTTGACTAAAATATACCTCTATCTAAAGTGACAATGTGGATATTGCAATAAAAGGGCATCGTTTTTAGTCCTTTAACTTGTCAGGATTTAATGTTATTAATATTTTTGCAGTTAAAAAAGCAGAAGCATCTTATATGTTATATATAGACAAGATAAATGTACCAAGTATTGCTGTAAACTCAATTTTTTAATCATAAATTAGAAATATAAATAAACTAATATTATTTCGTTATGGTCTTCCACTAATTAAATATGCTACTGAAAGATAAAGTTATGTACCAGCAGAATGAGATATACTCTAGTTATTCATAACTTTTGTAAGGGTATAAAAGAACTTTTTTTCATGGATTTGTCTCAAGGCACATACCTAGGTTGTGGTTCAGTGTATGCGAGGCATCCAGCTGATGTTTCTCTCTTCCTCTCTCTCTCCCTCTCTTTCTCCTCCTCTCTCTTTCTGCTTCCCTCTCCCTCCCCCTTCTTTCCCTCTCTCTTCTGTCACTCTCTCTCTCCCTCTCCTTCTCTCCCTCTCTCATCAATAAACATATCCTCCAGTGAGGACTTTAAAAAAGAAAAAAGTCAAATTTATTTTGAGTTCTACTTTTGATAAATGAAAAAAAAGCGGGTGGAAATTGTGTCTGGGCTAAAACACTCTTTATAGAAATGAGTGGCTGCTAATTACCTAGTGAACGGCACTCTAAGAAGCACAGAAAGAAGTGTGTATGTAGCTTTATCAGTTAAATTTTAAAAAACAAGAGCTCTAAAAGAAGAACAGAGAAAGAAAAAGAGAGAGGGAAGGAGGTTAGAATAGAGCATCAATTTTCAACCGATTGTGCTGCAAGAATTTTTTGAAAATGACTATTCAGGGACACTGACCTGTTTTCCCTTATTTATCAAATAAAAAAATGACAACAGCCAACACAACAATATCTTTCCAGTGTGAATGAATCAAAATTATACCTATTTTTTGTCAGATTTTTGGTGTGCCACAGAATTTTAGTAATTCGTTTATATGTGCATGAGATTTAAAAAAGTTAAAAATTACTGGAATAGGGGAAAGAAGGTAAAAAGAAGAAGGAAAAGGGAGAAAGGGAAGGGAATAGAGAAAACAGAAGGGATGTAGGGAGAACAGGGAAAACAATCAGAAAATTAGCTAAACACAGATAGCAAAATAAAGATACTGAAAAAAATGATCAAGATGGGAATGTGGGCCCTGGCCAGTGTGGCTCAGTTGGATAGAGCATCGTCCCCTGCACCAAAGGGTCGCAGGTTTGATTCCCATTCAGGGCGCATACCCAGGTAGTGGGTTCAATCCCCGGTTTGGGCTCATATGGGAGGCAACCCATTGATGTTTCTCATTGATGTGTTTTTTTCTCTTTCTCTCTCCATATAATCAATGAAAAACATATCATCGGTGAGAATTTTAAAAAGGAATAATAAAAATAAAATTTAAAACAGATGGGAAAGTGCCTAAAGCCAAAAAGAAGATAACAATTTACAAGTTCCAAAATGAAGAAAGACTAAGACTTGCAACTCTCTGAAAACTGGGAAACTACAACTAATTGACAATCCTGAACTTTGGGACCAACATAGGCAGAGTGATTATATCTTCTACAGCCTCCACAAATTAGGTTTATTGAAAATTAACAAAACTTTTTTAGACCCACAAAAACAGTATAAAACTTTCTATCTGTTCATGAGACGGAATTTTGTGTTTTCTTGCTAGCGGGAAAATTAGTCCTAAGGCATATACAAACACCAAAGCCAGAATTAATAAATAGATGACTCATTAAATAGGAGCTCATAGACTTAACTGAGAGACTGGCTGAAGATTAACAGGAGAAGTAGGTAACTGGTACAACACTGCATAATAATTTCTCAGATAATTTTACTTCCCCAGGCTGCCTTGGCTTCGAAACCTTAACCTAACCTTGCCAAGCCGAAGTATTTAAATCCTACTTGGCAAAGTACTTGCCAAGCCAAAGTACTTAAATCCTACTTTTCTTCTAAGTTAATAATCAATTCAGAAAGAAGAATAACTGAGAAACCAAAGTGGACTGCCCTGTTTGGCACAACTAAATCTGTAATTAGTTGGAAAAAAAAGTATTACACTTACTCATACCACTGTTTATTGTGTTTTCGGTAAAGCAACGTATCCAAGGCAACAGCATTGACATCCAGAGCTCCTGGGGAAGGCCACTGGTTGGTGAGGTGGGCAGTTAACTCTTGTCTTGATCTTAAATCATTATTCTTTAGCACAGTCCTGTGAATATTAAGATGGTGAGTGCTTTTGTCTTCATTGTTCTGCAAGGGCAGAGGAACCTGCCATTAATGGTATCAATTTAGGCCCCCAAAATTCATCTTTCTAAAATGGTATGTTAATAGACTGTGACCAAAACTACGGGAAGGCTAGATGGGGCTAGGACTGTTTTGTTTCCTACAATATGTGTTTTTATTCTTTCTTGGCTAGCTACAACAAATCACTTGTGACACTGAGACTTCCTACTATTTCCACAGAGATATTACTAGAAGACTGATGGATGCAAGCTGCATTCTACATCTTAACTAAAAAACAATGGTGATGTCTTAAAGCTACAGGTTATCAGATGCCAGTTAAAATATGAAGTAAAATAAAGATCCCATGTGTAAGAGTTTATAGCTTCAAAATTCACAAGCTATGTAAGTAATTTAACTTGATAAGCAAAAGGAATTTAATTGATTAAAAATAAAATTAATGCAGAAAAATAAAAAAATTCATGAGGTTCCCGTAATTGTTTTTGATAGAAGTGACTATTAATGAATTTTTATGAAAATAATTAAATCAATGACAACTGCATTGAACAGTATAATCCATTGGAAATATTTCAGCTACAGAATAAAAGCCATTATTATAACCCATGGTTTCCTTTCATATTTGTAGAACTGTTACTTGTTCATAAGAACTTGAAAAAGACTAGCTTTTGCCAAAAATTTCAACTTCACAAACCAACTGGTCATTGTCACAAGACTAATTCGACATCTGAATTTGTGGTTAAAGACCATTTAAAGGCATAATTATGTTTGCAAAGTTCTTATTCTACCTCTAAAAGACCTTAAAATACCTCCTAAGGCCACCTGCGTTCTCCGACAGTAGTCCACAACTCTGGCATACCAAGATTCTGAGCCATCAGTTCAGATACGGAAGTAGTTCGTGCTTGCCACTAATTTTCAGTGACAATGACAGTCCTGTGTGGGTGGCAGTCAGTGGTGTGCTGGCAAGACAATCCTTCACACGAGAAAACGAACCTGCACCGCACCTCTGGCTGTCAACATGCTTCCAATGGAATAACCCCACTTTATATGTCTCCAACAAGCTGCACACAAACATTTCTGACTTTACAGGATACCTGTGTGCATTTGAACATATTTGCTCTACTATGTCCACAAAGAAATATTATCTGACGTAAACACTAGCTTCTCTCTCAGAATGGAATACTACAAGTTAAACAAGCAGAAGTCAGAATTGCTTTGGCTACTCAGGATCATTTTGATTCCGTATAAATTTTAGGATTGTTTTTTCTGTTTCTGTGAAAAATGCCACTAGGATTTTGATATAGATTTCACTGAATTTGCACATCACTTTGCATAGTATGGAGATTTTAATAATATTAATTCTTCTAATCCATGAACACAGCATGCCTTTCCATTTATGTTCTTAATCTCCTCCATCAATGTTTTCAGTTAAGGATCAAAGAGTTGTTTTATTTTTCAAAGAAAAAAATAATAGCTCTGTATTAAGCCCTCCTTAGCATGACAGAAATGTTCAATGAATGTAATTTATTTTATGAACCCAGCCAAACCCTGAAAAGTTCCTGTATATTCTAAATATATAACTTGTACTATATAAGACAGTAATTCATCATCACACTTTATTTTTCCCAGATTTGCCATTATTCTTCACATGATTATTGTTAGCTTATCTTAGCCAAGCATGATGCAGTGCAACACAACACAATAAGACTCTGGGTTGTTCATAAACACCAAAGACTGCCCTGTGAATCCTTTCTACCTTCTCAGGAAGAAATCTGTTTATCAATGTTTTTAAAGGAAAAACAAAATTAGTAAAAATGGAGTTCGTTACTGTCTCTTTTTAAAACAGCATTCTACATCCAAGTTGTCAAATAATTCGCTAAGTTTCAGTGTGAGATTTTTGTCACATGAATTGAGCCATCAGGAAGGGTATATTTACACCATCCTCTAACAATGTGGAGTACTTTATAGGCATCTGCATTTTCAATAGAGGCTTATCTCAAGTAAAAATGTACAGTCCTAATAAAACTCTTTCAGGGTTCCCAGATAAACTATTTGCTTCTAATAAAACTTTAGTTAATATTTTATTATACTCATCTCCCTCATATGATATTTTGCACCAATGTTTCTGTATTTGTTCCTCCCTTTACCTAGAATAACATTCTTTCTCTCCCTAGGTTATCAAAGCTCTATTCAAAATAACTTCTAGTGATGCTTTTCCTGGACCACTACTCCTGTGCTACTGCTACAATGTGTATATATCTTTATTACCATACACATATGCGTGTCCCAATACACTCATCACATCACTTAGAGGTCAGTTGTTTAGCTGACTCTGATATTCTCAAGGTTATCTTATTCATGTTTAAATTCTCAGTATCTAGCCCAGTTCCTGGAACAAGTAGTTACTTAATAAGTATTTATTATAAAATATTATTTTAAACGTTTACCTTTCTAAAATGGAAATCTGATCTGAAATTGGTAACTTCACAGACCTCCTTAGCATGGTATGTAAATCCCTTTCTCACCTGGTCACACACATACACATTTTCCCTCTATGTTAAGTAACCAGGAGCCATCCTGCAGTTTCCTATTTGCTGGACTCTAATCTCTTTCTGTTTTAGCTTTTGTTATTTTCAATGCCTGGAAAACCCATCTCTTACCTTTCTGCTCTATCAAATATCTAAACCACTTTAAGGAATTAGTATAACTGTCACCACCTCATTAAATCCTTCCTAGTTCATTTTCCTTTGTCTCACACTGTATCCAATACAAGCATCTATCATAGCTTTGAGGACACCTTATCGCTCTTAGTGTTTACATGTCTGTGTTCCCTAAGAGCACTCTGAGGGCAGGAACTAGAACAAATTTATTTCTGTACTAGAGGCCCAGTGCATGATATCCATGCATGGGGGGGTGGGGGAGGGAGGGGGCTTAGCCCGGCCTGCACCCTCTCCAAACTGGGACCCTTCAGACATCCCTCTCGCAATCCGGGACCCCTGGCTCCTAACCACTCACCTGCCTGCCTGCCTGATTGCCCCTAACCGCTCTCCCCTGCTGGCCTCATCACCCCTAACTACTCTCCTCTGCTCATCTGATCACCCCTAACTGCTCTGCCTTGGCCCCTACCACCGTGGCTTTGTCCGGAAGACGTCCAGTCTAATTAGCATATTATCCTTTTATTAGTATAGATTCTTAGTATCAAGCCCAGCATCTAGGACAGAAGAAGGGCTCAATAAATGTCAGTAGAATGAATCTAAAGGACAGCATAGAATTTTAAAAAGCACCTTGAAATAATCTAATATGCAAGGGAAGATAGCAAATACAGAATATACTCTATTTCAATACTACTGAAAATTAAATTACAATGCAACTTTCTTACTTAAACTAACAAAACATCTAAGTAGCTTTAATGTTTAGGGAAGTGATTAAATTGCTGTTAAGAGGGTAATAAGTATCACTTTGGTTTGCTAAACATCACAGCAAACTTTTAGTCTAGTGGTTCTCTACCCTAGTCACATAACTGGGAAAGCATTTAAAAATACTGATGCCCAAGCATCATCTCAGATCAATGAAATGAGTTTCTATGATGGTGGGGCCCAAACAATGGTATTTTTTTTAATACTAAGTGAATCTCATATACATTTTTTCTCTTGTGAAATAACAACACTACATATCTCTATGGCTATTCTTTCTTGATCTCTTTCAGCAAAGATCCCTCTCTCCATTTAGTCCTTAAATGTTGGTGGTCCCTCCACTTATATTCTCAAATCGCTCAAACAGATTCCCTGTAAATACACAGAACCCTGGCTTCAGAATTGAGATCCTACATTCTTTTGAGCCCTAGATATTTCATTCATTACTTTATAGGAGAGATAAAAAGGCCGTCCTTCAGAGATTAGGCTCTCACCTACTGTTTCCTTACAAGCTCTTTGAAAAGGTCTAGAATCCTGTACTCTATATTTTGATAGCAATACTTAACCAATTCAAAATTTTATTTTGTTTTCATTATCTTGTGTCTCCAAATTTGAGGGTTATCCTCTCTCCTTTACTTTGCTTCTTTCTCATTTACCTCAGAAGCTGTGCTGATGCTCACAATAAAGTTATATTTTCAACTGCTGCACATATGTATATAGGACATACAACCCTTGGCATTTAGAATTTACTATCTGTGATCCCAGATATTCCCAAGCAACCCCAAAGTTCCATAACATTAAAGTATTTTTATATTTTGATAAGGCAGTACATTTGAAGATCATGGCTATAACGTAAGTTTTGAGAGTGGGTCTTGCAAAATGCCTAACACCATTGCAGCAAACCTTGGTTATTTTCCACTTATCATTTATTGCCTCATATGCTGTCATTCTTAGGATGTATTCCAATGCCATTTATGACAAGGATCACTGAGAAAATCTTAGGCTATTGTGTTCATGAAAATAAAGAATTTATTATGTCATGACTATACTAATGCAGGTGTTTATGCTTATGGACAGAATGGCTGGGTACTGAAGTCAAAGAAAGGGAAAACCACCAAATATAAGGTGTTGAATACATTCCACCCCTAACTCTCTTAGAAACACAGAAAAACAGAATTACCTACCTCTATCTTCTCTTACTACTTGGGAAGAGAAACAAACACTATTTGTTTAATGTCGGTCTCAGCCCTCCACCCAAAGTAAGCTCTGTAAGGACAGGACTATGTTTTATTTATTCTTGAGTCACCTGGAATAGCGCTTGGCTCTTCATTCTCAATAAGTATTTACCAAGTGAATGGGTAAATGTCAGAGAAGTTACAAAAGCAATCTAGTACCAAGAGAAGTGATGAGAATGTACCTTTTTTTTAAAATATATTTTTTATTGATTTTTCTTACAGAGAGGAAGGGTGAGGGATAGAGAGTTAGAAACATCTATGAGAGAGAAACATCGATCAGCTGCCTCCTGCACACCCCCTACTGGGGATGTGCCTGCAACCAAGGTACATGCCCTTGACTGGAATTGAACCTGGGACCCTTCAGTCCACAGGCCAACACTCTATCCACTAAGCCAAACCGGTCAGGGCAAGAGAATGTACCTTCTTTGTTCATTTAAAGTTGTCCAGAATTGGAAAATGCTTATATAGCTTGTGAATACCCTAACTCAGGGGTTCTCAACCTGTGGGTCGCGACCCCTTTGGCGGTTGAAAGACACTTTCCCAGGGGTCGCCTAAGACCATCCTGCATATCAGATATTTACATTACAATTCCTAACAGTAGCAAAATTACAGTTATGAAGTAGCAACGAAAATAATTTTATGGTTGGGGGTCACAACATGAGGAACTGTATTTAAAGGGCCAGAAGGTTGAGAACCACTGCCCTAACTTCTTCATAATCTATACAAATAAAAGGGTAATATGCTAATTAGACGGGTCGACTGGCCATCTTCCAGACATCTGACTTCCTTCTGAACAAAGCCATGGTGGTGGGGGTGGAGAAAGAGACAGTTAGGGGCAATCAGGCCGGCAGGGGAGAGCAGTTAGGGGTGTTCAGGCAGGCAGGGGAGGGTGGTTGGGGGTGAACTGGCCTGCAGGGGAGGGCAGCTGGGGGTGAACTGGCCTGCAGGGGAGGGCAGTTGTGGGTGACCAGACCTGCAGGGGCGGGCTGTTTGGGGTGACCAGGCCAGCAGGGGAGGGCAGTTGGGGCAAGATCAGGCTGGCAGGGGAGGGCCTAAACCGACAGTCGGACATCCCCCAAGGGGTCCCAGATTGGAGAGGGTGCAGGCAGGGCTGAGGGACACCACCCCATGCACAAATTTTGTGCACCAGGCCTCTAGTGTTAATATAAAAATGTTCCTTATTTGTGTGCTTTTGTTTCTGTTAATTTTAGACAAAGCCATGGAGTAAACATTAACTTTATATTATTTTATACTTATTTCCCTTCAAATAAAACATTTTGAGAAAAGCTTAAAAAGGAGCCAGGTAGCCAAAATCTAAAAATTATTTACCTATGAAATATTCCTGTCTCAAAAGTTAAACGCAAATCTAACTCTTTTAGAACAGCAGTGGTTTTCAACCCTAGTTGCACTTTAGAACTTAACTTTACACCATCATTTGAAAAGAAACATTGATGAGGCTCCAGCCAGTTTGGCTCAGTGGATTGAGCATTGGCCTGTGGACTGAAGGGTCCTGGGTTCGATTCTGGTCAAGGGCACATGCCCGGGTTACAGGCTCGATCCCCAACAGGGACATGCAGGAGGTAGCCAGTCAATGATTCTCTCTCATCATTGATGTTTCTATCTCTCTCTCTCTCTCCCTTCCTCTCTGAAATCAATAATATACACACACACACACACACACACACACACACACACACACATATATATAAAACGTTAATGAGAATGTAGAACTTAAAATACAAATGGGTCATGTCAGCAGGATACAAGAATTAATATAACGAATTAGACAAATGTGGGACAATTTGAGTATGAAAAAGAAAAATAAATTTAAGTGATAGAAACACATTGAATATAGGCATTTCTTTATAATACAGAAACAAAACACTACAGTGTTCTGCAATAACACACTGACAATAACTAGCTTATGGGGAGAATAGGGTTGGGAGCTGACAACTCAAAACCTATTTGACTTTTTGCTAGAACACTAAGAACATTAATAATCCTAATAAAAGTTCAACCCAAATAAAATATTAAATTCCTATTAAATATTGCAAAAACTTTAACAAAAACAATAACAAAGGAAAGGCCGTTTGATAAAAGAGGGTATAAGGAAGGGTTGAGGCTTGACATGAAGGCAAGATCAAAATGCATAGGCACCTCCAAGCGGTAGTTCAAATTAACCAGAGGAATGCAAGGTGAAAGATTATGTACAGGGAGAGAGCGCCATCTTTTGGTTACTTGCAGTAATTGCCTGAATTAGTATATTTTGCATTGGTTGTTGCTACTTATTGAGAAACATTAACTTCTGGATAACTATGAATCAGGTGATTTATTTGTTATGCTGAAATCATCACCTTATTTATGAATCTTGAATGAGCTCATTTACATTATAGAATATATCATATATAAAAAGTTCATAAAATTCTCAAAAATAAAAGAGAGAAAGCGAAACAAAATCTTCATCTCTTTGGTAACTAGTAGAGTGTTGGAATCTTATTCAGAAAATTAATAATATCCTATCAGAACTGTAATGGTAACCACCAAAAAACCCTAACTAATGAGGAAAACCCCCTTTTTTGTAGATGATTCTGGCCAATAATCATGGGAGAAGTAACAATTAGGAAATTGCCATTTTATAAATCTTAATTAATCAACTGCTCCAGCAGCTTCTTGAGTTTAGAAGTTGAAGATATACTTTCCCATAGTACAGCTACAATCTCAGGATGGGTATAAATTGATGTCTTAAAGATTCCTTTGCACAAAAACTGTTACAAGAATACTGAACAGATGAGTAAGATCCATTTCCTTTAGAATGTTCACAATTCACTTATCAGAATCATCTTTAAGTAAAAAATACTTAAAGATGGAATCATCTTTAAGTACAGAATACTTAAAGATGGGTATTTTTTCAGTGTGATCATGGCCAGAGGGAAAGGTGGGTGGGGGTTGGGTGGAGGTGGGCAAAGGGGGGAGGGAACATCTTTAATAGTGACAACATTAAAAATAAAGTAAAAAAAAGAATTTATGAAACTCCCAAAAAAACAACAATCCAATTAAAAAACAGGCAAAGGACCTGAATACACACTTCTCCAAAGATGACATATAGATGGCCAAGAGACATATGAAAAGATGCTCAATGTCACTAATCATCAGAGAAATGCAAATTAAAAACACAACGATATATCACCTTACACCTTCAAAATGGCTGACTATAATCAATAAATCAAAAAATAAGTGTTAGTGAGGATGTGGAGAAAAGGGAACCCTTGTGTACAGTTGGTGGGAATATAGATTGGTGCAACCACTGTGGAAAGCAGTATGGAGTTTCCTCAAAAAATTAAAAATGAGCCCTAACCAGTTTGGGTCAGTAGATAGAGCATCAGCCTGTGGACTGAAAGGTACCAGGATTGATTCCAGTCAAGGGCTTGTACCTTGGTTGCTGGCACATCCCCAGTACAAGGTGTGCAGGAGACAGTTGATGGATATTTCTCTCCCATTGATGTTTCTAACTCTCTATCCCTCTCCCTTCCTCTCTGTAAAAAATCAATAAAATATTTTTAAAAAATGGAACTGCTTTATGACCCAGTGATTCCACTTCTCAGAATTTATATGAAGAAACCTGAAACACTAATGCAAAAGAAAATGTGCAGCCCTACGTTCATTGCAGCATCCTATATAATAAAAGCCTAATATGCAAATTGACCAAATGGCAGAACGACCAGTCACTATGACGTGCACTGACCACCAGGGACAGACGCTCAATGCAGAAGCTGCCCCCTGGTGGTCAGTGCGCTCCCACAGGGGGAGTGCCACTCAGCCAGAAGCCAGGCTCATGGCTAGCAAGCACAGTGATGGTAAGGAGTGAGGGGTCCTGGACTGAGAGAGCCCGACTATGAGAAGGGTGTCTGCCTGCTGGCTTAGGCCCAACCCCCAGAGGATCAGGCCTAAGCCGGCAGGCAGACATTCCGAGGGGTCCTGGACTGCGAGAGGGCATAGGCTGGGCTGAGGAACACCCCTCCCCCCCCCCACACACACACACACAGTGTATGAATCTCATGCACCAGGCCTCTAGTTATTTATAACAGCCAAGATCTGGAAACAGCCCAAATGCCCGCCAGTAAATGAGTGGATAAAAAAAGCTGTGGTACATTTACAAAGTAGAATACTCCTTGCTGTAAAAAAGAAGGAAATCTTACCCTTTGTGACAGCATGGATGGACCTGGAGAGTATTATGCTAGATGAAATAAGCCATTCAGAGAAAGACAAGCACCAAGTGATTTCACTCATGTGTGGAATCTAATGAACAAAATGAACTAACAAGCAAAATAGAGATAGAGTCATAGACAGAGAGCAGGTTGACAGCTGTTGAAAGAGCAGGGGGGAGGGGGTTGGGCATTAGGTGGGGGTCCGAGAGGTATTGAGGAAAAAAAGAGAAAAAATACTGATGGACATGGATGGGTGATTGCTGGGGTGGGTGGAAGGGGAGAGAGAAGATGGAGGAAGAAACAGGGAGATAAATGGTGATGTACAGATGATGTACTATGGAATTGTGTACCTGAAATCTGTGGAATTTTGTTAACCAGTGTCACCCCAATAAATTCAACAAACATGGAAAAAACCTTGCTGGTTAAATAAAAACTGATTTCATAATTATTCTTATATTAAAACAATTTAGACAAACTACCAAGATTATTTGTAAAAGGAAGATTAAATCACCTTAATCTTTCCATTGCAAAGAAATAACCAGAAATCTCTATTGTTTGGCTCTTGATATTTTCCCCCTGCTTACAGAAGCAAGGGGCTACAGAAGGTGTTACTTTGCCCCTAAATGAGTCATACTCCACCGGACAATTAGAAAAAATATAAGAAACTTTCAAATATTAGAAAAATATAAGAAACAATATATGAACATAATTCTTTTCATCAACATACAAATTCCTAGATAATACTAAATTTTTATGTTCCTTAATAAAACATTTTTACTTAAAAATCATCTATTATATTTACTTAGTTTCCTTGCAAATTACAAGTTAATTACAAAAGGAACAACAGTAACTATACAGAAGAGAAAAACATCTTAACCTAATGATTAAAATTAATAGCACTACTAAAAGGCCAATAACAGACCTCATGTATCTCTGGATGTGATGTTCTGAGGACACACCACTTAGATTGTAATCCTGCCACAAATGGATAAGCTCATTCTAATCATAGGGAAGAACAAACAAACTAAAATCGAGGGACATTCTATAAAATCACTAGCCTGTATTCTTCAGAAATACCAATCTCTTGTAAGACAGAACATTGAAAAACTATTCTAACTTAAAGTGATTGAAGAGACTAACACCCAAATTAAAAACATGATCCAAGATTGGATCCTTACCAGAAAAACAAAAGTTGCAATAAGGGACATTATTTGGATAATTGATGAAAGTGAAGTATGAGTTATAGGTAAGATTAAAGCATTGTATCAATTTAAATGTCTTAAAAAGCCAAACTATGGTGATGTAAGAGAATATCTTTGTTATTAGGAAAGACACATTGAAATATTAAGAAGTAAAGAGACATGTATGCAACCTCTCAGGTGGTTTAAAAAATAATATATCTGTCTGTATATATAGGGAGAAGGAGAGAAGGAGCACAAATGTGGCAAAATATTGAAAACTGGTAAATCTAACCCTAGTTGGTTTGGCTCAGTGGATACCATCAGCCTGGGAACTGAAGGGTCCCGGGTTTGATTCCGGTCCGGCACACGCCTCGGTTGCAGGCTCGATCCCCAGTAGGAGGCGTGCAGGAGGCAGCCAATCAATGATTCTCTCTCATCATTGATGTTTCTATCTCTCTCTACCTCTCGCTTCCTCTCTGAAATAAATAAAGATATATTTTTAAAAAAGAAAAGAAAACTGGTGAATCTAGGAAAAGCCATATGGAAATTGTACTATCCTTGCAACTTTTCCAAAAGCTTAAAATTATTTCAAGAAAATTTTAAAAAATCATCCTTTAAGATTAAGTAAATATTAATATGAGAAGATTTTCACTATAAGCAATTAATTGACAAAATCAAGTTTGACAAAACCGTATTATTAGTACAAGTGCTTTGAATAGTGACAAGTTAAGGAGCTTGTACCAGAATGTAGATCAATACACAGCTTCCTCCATTGAAGGAAGTCTGGCTAAAGAAAAAAGTTAGCTATACTGAACTGTGCTTAGTAATGTTCTGGAAACAAGAAGTTTATGCAGTGGCACTGCTCCTTTAGCAGCACTGGTCTTATAGTCCATATTTCTACAACCACTCAATCAATCAATAACTAAATAAATGCTTTTAAAATTAAACATAAGCTTTTGAAAGAATCCAACCAAATTATATTAGTTAAGTCTGGGTAGCACAACTAAAGGTAATTTTTGTTTTCTTCCTATATTTTGTAATGTTTCTACAATGAGCATGGATTACTTTTATAATAAGAAAAACAAAAGTAAACTTTCAAAAAAAATAAGTGAAAGGGAACATAATAGCAGGCGATCTGATTTCTTGGAATTTGAATCTTATGCTAAAACATGTTAAAACACTTAGTTATGTTCATATATTGCCAAAATTTTTCCCAAAAGGATCTCACTTACAACTGATCTTGCAGCTCCACAATTATATATTCTAATTGTTCCTTTTCCAATTTATGGGCCAGATCAGAATCTTCGATCCTTTGTAGTAGTATTTTATTCTGGGAGACAGATTCAGACAGCTGGTTCTCTCGAAGTCGTAAGAGTTCTTCAAGATAAGCCTGGAAATACAGATCAGCAAGATATAGCCAACTATAAAATTCTAATATATTTTGAAGACAAATGCTCAATAGCTTAAATGTTAGTCATATCTATATTGTAGTGAAACTTTTTTATAGTATCACTGATGAAACGGTAAAAATAATTTTTTAATTTAGTACAAAAATTTAACATATGTTCGTTATTTAAAGCTCTTCTCTAAGGTTCATTAAAATGCATTTGTAATTTAAGGTAAAACTTAGTTAAAACATTTTCAATTCTAAGCTCTGCAACAATAAATAAAATACTCAGTATGCCTCCTAGTTTCAGAATACAGACCTAATCACAGATTGACCAATTAAGAAACTGCCTCTCTGTGATTATTCTTTCAAAACAGATATTACCATTTTAGCTTTAACAAATTAGTAGGAAGCAGTACAATGTTTTGATGAGGCCTGCAGGTGCCTATATAGTCCAGGTCTACTAGCTAACAGCTATGTATCCTGGTCAAGTTATTTAATCTCTCTGAGTCACAGTTTCATCATCTGAAAAAGTGAGAGCTTTAATCTTCCTAGTTGGGAATATTAAACAAAACAGTCTAGGTAGAGTATTACCTGCTACACTGAATGTAATGCATAATTCCTAGTTATTATTAGGAAACACCAAATAGATATAAGCCTTCTTGGGCTGATCTTCTGTCAGTTATTTTTTACCCATTTACAATTTCTTTGTCCTTTTGCTCTGTTTTCTGAAAGACTTCATTGAATTTATCCTTCAAACCCTTATACTGGATTTTTTAATTCAGGAAATCTTAATTTTAATTTCCAACAGCTCTATCATGTTGTCTGATTATGCCCTTCTCATGACATCCTACTTTTTAGCTACAATGTGCTTATAAATTCCTCTCAGGATATTAATTAGAATCTTTTTTTCTTAAAGTATTCTTCTATCCTACTATGTTATCCCATTCATTTGTCATTAACAAAGTCTTTTAACTAGTTTAGTTTTATGATACACTAGAGGCCTGGTGCAAGAAATCGTGCGGGGGGGGGGGGGGGGACCTTAGCCCAGCCTGCACCCTCTCACAATCTGGGACCCCTCAGGGATGTCCGACTTCTAGTTTAGGCCTGCAGGATTGGGCCTAACTAGGCAGTTGGACATCCCTCTTGTAATCCAGGACCGCTGGCTCCTAACCACTCGCCTGCCTGCCTGATCGCCCCTAACCACTCGCCTGCCTCCCTGATCGCCCCTAACTGCTCACCTGCCTGCCTCATTGCCCCTAACCACTCTGCCTGCCTGCCTCATCGCCCCTCACTGCTTGCCTGCCTGCCTGCTTCATTGCTCCTAACCACCTCTGCCTCAGCCCCCATCACTGTGGCTTCGTCCAGAAGTATATCTGGAAGGTTGTTCAGCTGTCCGGTCTAATTAGCATATTATGCTTTTATTATTATAGATGTTAATAGAAGTTAACACTATTCTCCCCTCATTAAGCTTCCTTTTCAGATTTTCCCATGACAATTCTCAAATAGTTTTTCCACAATAAAATTTCAAACATTAAAATTAATTTTTACAAAGGAAGTATTGTATATGTCACACCGCTTAATATATAAATTATATAAATATTTATAAACATTAGTAATTAAATGCAACTTATGTACCACAATCAAGATTATCAAAACTTTTAAGCCCCTATAATGCCTTTCCCTAATGATAACCCCTGCTTCCGCTACACAGATAACAACATCCTGAGATCTATGTTTATTATCTCCTTACTATTCTTTCTAGCTTTACCACAAACGTATGTTGTCTTAAAATAGTTTTGTTGAGATTTGTCTATATCCTTTTGACACTGGCTTTTTCATCTACAATGATGTCTTGCTTTCAATAGTGAATAGTATTCCATTGTATGAATACTACAGTTTATTTACTTACTCTCCTATCAATGACCTTTTGGATTGTTTTTAGCTTTTTCTTAATATAAATAATATACAGTGAACACTCAGTTATATGTTACCTGGTACAAACATCTAAGAATTTATAGGAAATATGACTAGGAATAGAATTGCTGGGAGTAGGCCATGCATTACCTTTACATTTACTAGATAATGACAAATTGTCATATTATTGTTTTTATACTAATCACATTTTCACCTGATATTCATTCTTTGTGTGTGTGTGTGTGTGTGTGTGTGTGTGTGTGTGTGTGTGTGTGTGTTAATCCTCACCCAAGGATATTTTTTTCATTGATTTTCAGAGAATGGAAGGGAGGAGGGAGAGAGGGAGGAGTTGGAGAGAGAGGGAGGTTTTGTTAATTCTGTTTCTCTAATTAAAATCTGTGCTTATTTTTTTTTTATTTGGAACTGATTTTTTTGGTCTACTTATTAAATAATTATCTCTTTAATTTTCCTACTTTCTTTTCTAAGTTAAGTACTTCTACAAGTACTGCAAAAAGTTGTAACTTAAAATTGTCAGTATGCATTGTTTTCATTCTTATTTACTCATTTCTTTTGACACATAATTTAGAAGTTTTATTTTTTAAATTCCCATTGGTGGTCTACAGGTGGTGGTAAACATATTGTATTGAATCTAACTTTACTGCACTGTGATCACTATTATATCATTTCTTTGGTATTTGTGGGCATTTGCCTTGTGACATAATATGCTCCATACAAACTGAATAGCTGGCCCATATATGCTTGAAAAGAATGTGTATTGTTAGCGTTTAACAAAGTTTAGATCAAGCTTTACTAATTGTGCTATTCAAACTCACTACATCCTTACTAATATTTTGTCCATTGAATCTGTAAATTATTTTGATAGATGTTAAAATTTCCTACTCTAATTATGGATTTATCAATTTCTCCTGGACAATCTATTAATTTATGCTTAACATTTTTCATGGCTACACTGTTACATTATGTAAGTTCAGTGCTGTTATACATTCCTGGTGAATTCTTTTTTTACAAAGACAATGTTTTTTTTTAGTCTTAATGCTTTTTGCCTTAATGTCCACGTTGGATAACATTAATACAGAATTCCTGTGGTTAAGTTTGCCTACTATATCTTTATCCTCTTAGTCTCAACATTTTTGTGTCTTATTTTATGTATATCTCTTACAGACAACATATAACTAAAATTTATTATTAAAAAATAAAGAGTTTGTCTTAAATGACAAGTTTATGCCATTTACTTTTATGGTGATGTTGAGTCAGGTGATTAGATTGAGATATATTTCTACACTTTATCTGGTGGTACCACCTTTTTTTCTTCTGGTGATACCATCCTTTATAACATCCTTATTTTTTCTCACTTGCTACTTTCAATTGTAATAATAAAACTTCCCTTATTTGTCTTATCACTATTAGTTTGAAAATTAAATATTCTACTTTTAATCACAACTTTGGAAACAGGCAGGCACATTAAAATTTGTGTCTACCCTTTTCACTGTAACACAAAGACCTCAAATGGCTTTAGCTTCAATCAGCCTCTCTTACGTTTTCTAATATTGTTAGAGTTTTAGTCCCACTTTGCTTCCCAGTGGTGGGCTGCAGTTAGCTCTCGAGGGCTGATTATTGAATTTCAGAAATTTTAAAAACACGGCAATTATTAAACATTAAATTACATAGACATAACTAAGTAAATTATATTAAAAACAAGGAAATAACCACTCAAAACACATCACGTCCTAAGTATTTTTGAATATTTTATCATATCTTCTATTGTCTGTGCTCCTAAGGTCATTTCTGTCTGTTGAATCTGTCTGATAGAATGCTATTCAGTGGCGTGCTATGGTGCATCTTTTCCCAGTTCTGCCTTTAGGGATATCACATTGGTAGCTTTAACTTGGCCATGATGGGATAATTTGCCCCAAAGAATCAGCAAATGGTACATACCAGGGCTTCTCTATTTCCTCTGTGAAAGTCAGTTGTTAAACATATTTCAACCCTCCAATGCCACCCCATATTGGCCATTAATATAGTTTTTGTTTCATGTAGTCCAGATCTATTTGCCAATTTCTATGGTTAATCTGTCATTTTGCATCTCACTCCTGCCTACCAGGTTCAGTTTCCATCTTCAATGATAGTGGGCCTAGGTCCACTGTTCCCCTGTGTTAAAACACATGCACCTAGGCCAGCCAGCACGGCTCAGTGGTTGAGCGTCGACCCATGAACCAAGAGGTCATCAGTTCGATTCCCAGTCAGGGCACATGCCCAGGTTGTGGACTTGATCCCCAGTAGGGGTGTATGTTTCTCTCTCATCGATGTTTCTTTCTCTATCCTTTCCTCCCTCTCTAAAATCACTAAAAATATATTAAAAACAAACAAAACAACAACAACAACACATGTACCTAAGTTAAGGGAATGGTCTTTGTGTGCTTTGGGTCATTAGTGAACTCCTATTCTTTTATGAGAGAGCAGCTCTGCATGAAGCTATTTTAAAATTGTATTCTGCTCAGCATTTTCATATTTTTACAATGATCTTATAGGTGATCTTAGTCTGAAATCTTGCTGGTACGAGATGTCTTCTTTAATAGGGTATGAAAGTTTTTCCCATATACATTAGGTACAGTTTTATAGCTATTATAAGTGGAATCTTTTTCTTTGTGTTTTCTAACCAGTAGCTGTTGGTCTATGTAAAATCTATTCATATTTGTATTTACTTTGTAAGCATTTTCCTCAGTGTATTTTTTATTGTTCCAATACTTCTATTGTTAATTCCATCAGGCTTTTCCTATATAGACTATTTATGAATAATGATAATTTGAAAGGAAAAAATAGATAATACAATAAAAAAAATTGCAACTCCTCAAGATAATGGAGTTTCTTTTCCTTTCTGCTATATACTCTACTTTGCCAAGTGCAGTGTCTGATATACAAGAGCTTCTAAAATAACTGATTTAAAAAGGACAAATGAGACATATATGGACTTAGGCAATTACTGCTTTTTCACAAACTCAGTAATATTTTATGAAATTAGTCATAGGAACTAAAACCTCAAATATATACATGAAACTGCATAAAGAAAAATAAATGGCTGATTTTTATATTACAACATAAAATTAGAAAATGTTTAACAAAAAAAAGCCTTTCCTACAACATTCCTGGATTTTTAATTAACAGGAGGATAATTCAAGAACAGAAAGGAAGGAGCGAGGGGCAAACCCTTTCATTCAGCTGAGAGAGCTTTTGGCAGAGACAGTCCAAAGGCAATACAGAGAACAGGATTAAATGGCTGTTGACACTGACTGATACCTTCTGTTCCAGGGTGAGCTGATACTTCTGTTTGACTCTCTTACACTTGTTGAACCACGTATTCTCGTCCATGATGAAAGGAGGCCCCACGTTCTCAGGAGAGCTGCTCTCACTGCCACTGCTTCCCAGCGTCCTCAGCTCCTCCTCATCACTGCTGATACTGTCAGAGCTGGGAAGATTGAACGTTTAAAAAGAAAGTTAATACTGTGTTCCACTTGGATTTTTAAGAAATACTTCTGTATTTTCAAGCTACTGGTGAGCAAACTCTAAAATATTTAGCACTAAATATACCATTATAATTAATTATAATATGAAGATTTTAGTTTCTTGAAATGCCTTTTTAATATTTTTTAATTTTTCCATAATGAATATGTATTACTTTTTTAAGTTTTTTAAAGTATTACAAAGAGTATTACATATGTCTCCTTTCCCCCGTCCCTTGACCTTCCCCCCGCCTCCCCTGCCCCCAGTGTCTTGTGTCCATTGGTTATGCTTATATGCATGCATACAAATCCTTCGGTTGATCTCTTACCACCCCTGCCCCCCAACTCTCCCCAGCCTTCCCGCTGTAGTTTGACAGACTGTTCGATGCTGCTCTGCCTCTGTATCTATTTTTGTTCATCACTTTATAATGGTCTTTATTATCCTTAAATGAGTGAGATCATGTGGTATTTTTATTTCATTGACTGGCTTATTTCACTTAGCATAATGCTCTCCAGTTCCATCCATGCTGTTGCAAATGGTAAGAATTCCTTCTTTTTTACAGCAGCATAGTATTCCATTGTGTAGATGTACCAGTTTTCTAATCCACTCATCTGCTGATGGGTACTTAGGCTGTTTCCAGATCTTAGCTATGGTGACTTGTGCTGCTATGAACATATGGGTGCATATATCCTTTCTGATTGGTGTTTCTGGTTTCTTGGGATATATTCCTAGAAGTGGGATTACTGGGTCAAATGGGAGTTCCATTTTTAACTTTTTGAGGAAACTCCATACTGTCTTCCATAGTGGCTGCACCAGTCTGTATTCCCGCCAGCAGTGCACGAGGGTTCCTTTTTCTCTGCATCCTCTCCAGCACTTGTCCTTTGTTGATTTGTTGATGATAGCCATTCTGACAGGTGTGAGATGGTACCTCATTGTTGTTTTGATTTGAATATGTATTATTTTATTCAGTAATTTGAGGAGGGACAGATTCGGAAGGTTTCTTAAAATTAGGAACCTAATAGAGTTTTTTTAAAATGTGTTGAATACATGTATATTTGGTTGGAAGCAACTAAAATTTTAAAATATTGGGTCAGTTAGGATAGTTTAAATATTTTTAAAGTGAAAAACTAAGGTCAGAAATAAGTGACTAGGTTGAAGTGGCATTTCCCTTTTCATTTCAGTGTCTGTTATATAACAAGTTGGTAGGAAGCCTTTAGTACATAAAGGAGAGAAGCTATATGTACATTTTTGGATTTGTGCATCAAAGAAAGAAAGTTGCATGAAAATTCAGGAAAAAAAGTGGTTAGACAGTTGAGGACACAGAGTAAAATCATTAAATCCATTCTGAGGGCACTAATTGAGAAGGTTCCATAATTATATCTTTTAAAAAGCCTTGTAATAATTACTACAACTTTTATGTAAGAGAGGCAGATTAGTATTTATATTTAACTTTATATCTTAATTTAAGTCACTTCCTAAATCACAAAAATAGCCTTTCCATCTTCATGCTGATGGCCAACCTCCTATCTCTAGCTGTGATCTTGCTCTTTAATTTCAGACTTGTGGCCCCCGTTGCACAAACTCGCTGTGTGACTATGGACAAGTTATGTAACCTTTCTATGTTTCAGTTTTCTTATTTCTCACTCCCTTTTAGGGATTAATGAGTTAACAGAAGTAAAGTTCTTAGAATAATGCCTTCCATATAATAAACATTCAATAAATATTACTACTATCACTTTACTAGTATTATTTTGAACTATTCATTATCTTCACAAAAGGTACTATAACTCAACATATCCCAAAACAGTATAATATTATGCCTATTCAAAACATCTTATTGCTGTACTTTTCAGGCTCTCATGTACTAGAATTATCCCTTTTCCTAAGGAATCCACTAACTTAAGTCAGAAAGCGTGGCACCATGATACTCTATGTATCCTTCTCCCTCAGCATCCAAAATATCTTCCCACTCCTAGCTCCGAAATAACAGTGACTTCTCTCACTAGATGATTATCTTGGGGACAAGAAATGTATTATTTTTCAGAAGTTCATGAAGTTTCTATACTCTCAACATCTATGTCTCTTTCCTACATTAGGTACTCCATAAATAACACATCGTGATTGTGTGTGTATACACTATATTACTTTCACTTTCTTTCTCTTTCCCTTACAGCTCTGGCCTAATTATAACCTTTTAGAAGTATGTAAAGATCATCATTCTATTCAGGAAATCAATAAGTGAAGGCAGACCGTCAGAAAAATCTATGGATTTCATTTGATTAATTTTCAATGCTGATGAGATTATGGGAAATCCATAACTCTCACACAAGACTGGAAATTGGTACAACTCTTTTATAAAAGTAGACTTTAAGAGCCATAAATTTTTTGTTGTATTTACCTGAATAACTCTGTAAATTCAAAATAGAAATAAAAAGAAAATTGATTTGCACAAACATGTTCATTACTCTTTTCTTTATAATGAAGATAAAATGAAAAAGTCTAAATAATTAATTACAGTTTTAAAATCTCAATGGATGATTACAGAGCAATTAGATTTATTTTAATAACTACAGCAAAAAATACATGTACTTTTTAAAAACTACATATATGCTGGGATTACAATTATATAACAAGTGCGTACTTATATAAGTACTAAAAATGCAACTGGAGTTTATATTTATGAATGATTTCTGATATGAAATAAATGTTTTATAAAAAGCAATTTTAATCAGATGAATATATTGTGCAACAAGACATTTAACAATAAATTTGGATTTCAAGAACATATTTCTAAATGTCAAATACCTTTGGGTAAACTTCAAATATGGTGTGTAGTCTATTACAGCAGGAAAGCAGCCATCCAGTCCCTCTCCCTTTAGGCAGAAGCTAAGACAACAGACAATAAATATTCCATATTCATATATAAAATTTTAAATCAAAGTTAAGTGTTATAAACAATCTGTTAGAGACATTTATTTCATCAAATTGTAGGTAACATTTTTTGTTTGTAATTTAAATGTTACTTGTTACAAATAAATATCTCAATAAAGATGTTTTACCTTCAATCTAAATGACAAAGAACTGTACAAGTTAATACTGTTACATAAACATATCACACAAAAGTAAAATACAGGGCGTCCCAAAAACTGGATATACATTTTGTCAGCTGATTCTATTACATTTTGGAAATGAAATGTATTTTAATAAATACTGCCTTTATAAGTATTCAAAGTGTGTGTACATTTTGGGGGGATACCCTGTATACTGAGAAATCTTTTCAAACATCATTTCATAAACCTTTTATGATATAACTAGAGAATTTTCAAATGAAGATTTGTTCATACAAGTTCTCAGGTGACACTAAGTATTCCTAAAAAGATCCGGATAATTAGAAAACGAGGGTTTTTGCCTTTGAACATAATGCCCCAAGCAGCAGGGAATGTGTGGCCCAGGCCTGCAGCCTGCCCACCGTTTGCCTGGAGCCTGAGAACGGGGCTGTCCAGGTACACACTGGCCTCATCTGCTTTCAGTGAGTAAATTCACAGAGAAACATGAATGGATAACAACAGAAGATTATATTGAAACAGTGGAAATAAGCAGTTTCATAGAGGAAGCTTTGGGAGATGTTGTTTATTATAGTCTGCCTGAAATTGGGACAAAACTGAACAAACAAGATGACTTTGGTGCTTTGGAAAGTGTGAAAGCTGATAGCAAACTCTATTCTCCTCTATCAGAAGTAACTGAAATTAATGAAGCTCTTGCAGAAAGTCCAGGATTTGTTAGCAAATCTTGTCATGAAGATGGTTGGCTGACCAAGATGACACTGAGTAACCCTGCAGAACCTGATAAGCCAATGAGTGAAGAAGCATGTGAGAAATACATAAAATCTATCGAGGAGTGAAAATGGAAACCCCCTCCACTAAATGAAGTAGTATAAATCAACTGTAATGAAAGAAGAAGAAGAAAGAAAGAAAGAAAGGAAGGAAGGAAGGAAGGAAGGAGGAAGGAAGGAAGGAAGGAAGGAAGGAAGGAAGGAAGGAAGGAAGGAAGGAAGGAAGGAAGGAAGGAAGAAAGAAAGAAAGAAAGAAAGAAGAAAGAAAGAAAGAAAGAAAGAAAGAAAGAAAGAAGAGGGAGGGAGGGAGGGAGGGGAGGAAGAAGGAAGGAAGGAAGGAAAGGAAGGAAAGGAGGAAGGAAGGAAAGGAAGGAAAGGAAGGAAAGGAAGGAAAGGAAGGAAGGAAGGAAGGAAGGAAGGAAAGGAAGGAAGGGAAGGAAGGAAGGAAGGAAGGAAGAGAGAGAGAGAGAGAGAGAAGAGAGAGAGAGAGAGAGAGAGAGAGAGGAGAGAGAAAGAAGAAAGAAAGAAAGAAAGAAAGAAAGAAGAAAGAAAGAAAGAAAGAAAGAAAGAAAGAAAAGAAAGAAAGAAAGAAAGAAAGAAAGGAGGAAGGGAGGGAGGGAGGGAGGGAGGAAGAAAGGTGTCCAGCCAGTGTGGCTCAGTGGCTGAACGTTGACCCATGAACAAAGAAGTCACCAGATTAATTCCTGGTCAGGGCACATGCCCAGGTTGTAGGCTCCATCCCCAGTAGGGGGCGTGCAGGAGGCAGCTGACTGATGTTTCTCTCTCATTGATGTTTCTATTTCTCTATTCCTATCCCTTCCTATCTCTCTGAAATAGTGGTTCTCAACCTTGGCTACACATTAGAATCACCTGGGAATCTTTTTAAAATCCTGATTTCTGGGCCTCATCCTCCGGAAATTCTGTTTCTTTGTTACTAATGTTGTGGCCCCACCCCATAACAAAGAAACAGAATTTCTGGAGGATGAGGCCCAGAAATCAGGATTTTAAAAAGATTCCCAGGTGATTCTAATGTGCAGCCAAGGTTGAGAACCACTGCTCTAAAATCAATAAAGACATTTTTTAAAATGAGGGTTTTCTAAACTATTTAAATAGGTGAAACAACTTGTATCTTAGATCTAAAAAAAAAAAATCTTCTAATGTCCAGTCAATGTTTTTTGAGGCCATGGCAACAGGGAAAAGGTTAAGTAAAGCCAGTAAAAAACTCTAGATCTCCTGGTTTCCCAATCCAGTAATCTTTGTTTTGTATAATGGTATATACAGCTAGTTTCCGGAAGCCAATTCCAGCATGACAGCAGGGCTGAATCTGGGAATGGCTGATGGCATTTCCCCAAACCTGAATAGGATACATTAAATGACTGTTTGCTGCCAGACAGCTCAGGGCATCCTAATCTACATGTTATTGCCTCCTACTGGCCAAACACCTTAAGAGCCATAGGCTAATTCTCCCCAATCTGACAATGGACTCTGTATAGGAAACCCTGACCCTTTGAAGTATGTATCTCTGCCTGGCCTCATGATAAATTGTGTTAATAAAAAGCATGGGGTCCTGAGAGGAGATCATCCTAGTTTCCTTTAAACTAGGCTCCTCTGACCCCCATACGCCTTTCAAAATTATACTTCATCTCTGGACTCCTATTTAATCTACAAACAGCCTTCTCCAGATTACAGAACCCTTCTAGATGCCGGAACAAGAACCCCGGCATTAATGGCTTCACGAACTAGGGATTCCTGAACCCTGGCAGCACCAACAGCTGGTTTTTTGTTTTATTTTTTTTTAAAAAAGGTGTTTAATTTTAAGATTACTATTGTTAAATTGAGAACTATACAGATTGGCAGTTAAAAAATAGTCATGGGGATACAAAGTACAGCATAGGAAATTTAGTCAGTAATCTATACTAATAAAAGGGTAATATGCTAATTAGAGTGGATGTCTTCCAGACGACCTTACAGACGTCCTTCCGGACAAAGCCACAGTGGCTGTGAAGGGCCCAGGCTCAGGCCAGCAGTGGCAGCAGCAGCAGCGGGGTAATGGGGGCGGTGCCTTCCCCTGATCCACCAGGTCGCTTCCCGCAGAGGGAGGCCAGACTGTGGCTTAGGCCAGGGCTGAGGCAGAGGCGATTAGGGGCGATCAGGCCAGCAGGGGAATAAGTTAGGGGCAATCAGGCCGGCAGGGGGGCAAGTTAAGGGCAATCAGGTCAGCAGGGGGGCAAGGTAGGGGCGATCAGGCCAGTAGGCAGAGGCAGTTAGGGACGATCATGCAGGCAGAGGGATTAGGGGGCAATCAGGCAGGCAGATAGGTGAGCGGTTAGGAGTCAGTGGTCCTGGATTGCAAGAGGGATCTTCCCCAAGGGGTTCCAGATTGGAGAGGGTGCAGGCCAGGCTGAGGGATGCTCCCCCCTCCCCCACCCCCCAGCACGTGCACGAATTTCATGCACAGGGCCTCTAGTCTATATACATAAGCGACCGTTACCACTGGTCGACCAAATGATGGTGGCTATGATGTGCACTGGCCACCAGGGGGCAGATGCTTAATGCAGGAGCTGCCCCCTGGTGGTCGGTGTGCTGCCACAAGCCAACCTCCTGTGGCAGGCCAACCTCTTGTGGTCCCCCCCAACCCCCGGGGGCCGGCCCCGAATGGCCCCGATCGGGACTGGGTGAAAAAACCCAGATCAGCCCCAATCACCAGTCAGGTCAAAGGACCGTACTCGTGCATGAATATGTGCACCAGACCTCTAGTATTGTAATAACTGTGCATGGTGCCAGTTGGGTAATGGAAATATCAGAGGCAACACTTTGTAAAGTATATGATTATCTAATCACTATGCTATACACTTGAAATGAATACAAAATAATATTGAATACAAACTATAATGAAAAAAATTTTAATTAAAAAATTTACATAAAAATAAAATAAAACATTTAAATTTTTAAAAGAAAACAAAGATTACTATTATCAAAAAGAAAAAGTATATCTTCTAGCAAGATAAAGAAATATTTAAAAGATGTAGATTAATTTTTCAAAAGAAAAAATTCCCCTATGAACTCCTACCTCCTGGTTTCTTTGGGAAATTTGTAGAAATACTTGTTCCAATATATTAATATCAAGGGCATGCATTTTTTCCAGATTTAAATACAGAGAATTAATTTAGCAACATTTTATATGGGTTTCCCTTCATTTACAGAAACATTACTAATGTATCTTTAAGATATTTGTTTTCAGCTGATTATATAGCATCAATGGGTTCCAATAAATCATTCTTCTCCCAGGTTGTTGTTTTTTAAATGAAAAAATAACATTGTACAGGATTTAGACAGAGCCAGCAGCTTGCCCTATAAAAAGCTGACACCCTTAGAGGGATCATAAGACAACCTCCATATTCCACCCATCATGTTTATCCTAAACAATTAAGCTAATTAACCCAATACTACTTTATTAAAGAAAATTTTAAAATGACAAATATTTTGAAAAGGAAGTGATTTACTAGAAAAAGGTAACCTCAGTGAAAATGGGAAGCATTACTTTTAAATTAAAGACCTAAAAGTAGATTTTAATTTAAACTTATTTTAATAATATTCTTGGATTTTAAGTGATATATTTAAATAAAAATATAATATTTCCTTCATTCTTATGTTTGAGTTCTTGTTATAGATGAACCTTTTACTTTCAGTATAATGTAAAATCTTAGATGAGTTAAAGAAATGCAAAAGGATGCTTTCATAAATCTAAAAAGAAATTACAATGTCCCTTTTTAGTGCTTGTAATCTTAGTCTGAAATCAATTCATCTTGTTGATAATCAAAGTAAATATTACCAGTATGTTTTATATTCTAGATGCATAACACAAGAAACATAAGACATCCAAGATATCCTGTCTGGATTTTCTTTATCTCAATACATGAAATAATAAAAATCTTTCTAGCTTTGAATCTACTTTTAGTGTCTTTCTTTTCATTTTAAAGCAGTAGTTGAAAAATAATAAGAGATAAAATCCAAAATCTTCCTTCAGTTGTACCGGAGTCCATGATTTTTCTGCTTGGGGAATGTAGTCTAAGCTTTCTTTTTACCCAAACTGGACAGCAAGCCTGTAAGTTAATTCCTAGAACTTGAGACAATCTTTTCCCTGAGAGCAAACCGATTTGGAAAAAGGTTGTCATTTAAAAGGGAACAACATGAATCACATATCAATATCCAACTATGTGCTTTTCTTAGAAAATTGAAAGGAAAAAAAATCATAAGTAGAAACCATATAAGGTAGCATCATTTAAAACTGAATACATTTAGGGAGGATTAAGTACCTGAAATCAATAGCATTGAGCCCAAGCAGCATGCCAGCAAGCATATTTGCTTCCTCACCCAAGACAATTGCTCCATCTTCATAAAATCTTCTGAAAAATGAAATGGGTGAATACATAAATATTAAAAACAGGCAAGTTTCATCTAGAGAAATCAGAGCCCATGGTAAACTAGAAAGAACTAAATTGTATTTAGTTTGTCAAAATAAAAACATAATTGGGTCACCCAACTCTTACAGATATTTAGGGGGGGGGAACCCTTCTCCATAACAACAACAAAAATCATTCTAAGTGTTTCCACTTCTCTTAAAAAGAAACCCCAAAGTGACCCTTTAAATATGCCTAGACTGCCTAGCATTTTTCCCAGTAGCGAAGCAATATAAAGGTACTAGTAATCTGAAAAGTGGCACATTCACAATCATCTATCCTAGTTTCTTTTTCAAAACTAGGTAGACTATTGTTCTAAACATGGGACAAACACAAACATACATTATGTTTTTCTGTAATTCCCAAGGTTATTACCTAAATTAAGAAATAGGAAGGTGTGATCATTAGTAATTTATGCTAACCTTTAACACTGGAATACTAATGGGGCAGATGGGCTACCAAAGTGACTGTATATGAAAAACAAAATTTGACAAAATGTGAATACTAATATTCTTGCTAATTCTTATAAATCCTTCTGTTTTGACTAATGTTAGTTTTTAAAGTATAATTTTATTGTAAAATAAATATTTTTTTAAAAATTGTAATATGGGCCTTATAGGTATTTTTCCACAAAATAATGTAAGATAACTGAGAATATACTATGCAAAAACTAATTTATGCTTGGTAACCAGGGATCCTTAAATTCCTATACCTACTTATATTACACATAGACAATGAACACTAAGATATAACACCCCACCCATTTAGTAAAAGATATGTGTCCTGCTTTTTTCCTGTATTTGAGTTTTTAAAGGCTGAAAACGATTTTAGTATGTTCATAATTTCACCATCAATTTTTAATAGTTCATGTTTTAACAAATACTTTTACAAACACATCATTTGATACTTGCAAAAAAAGCCCATGAAGTAAATGCAAAAGGAATTGTCATTAGTTTCAAATTCACCATCAAGAAAAGAGGTTAAAACAACTTCCCAAGCTCATGTTGATAAACTGCTCAAGGAAAGAAAAAAAAAAAAAACCCAAACAATTCTTTTTACTCTAAGTTCTATATATTTTCTATTAAATATATTCTATTTATTGTAAAACAAAAATAATTATAGAGAATTTAACTTCTGTCATGGTTTGTAAGGAATTTTAAATGAATAAGAAGTAATAGAAAAATAAGAGACAACTATTCACCCTCTAACAGATGTAAGTCTGCAAACAAATATGGTAGGAAGACTAGCTTGGAATAGATGTTTGGTGTTTCCTTGAAAATATGGGAATTGCTATTATTGACTTATATAAAAGAAGGAAAACCAAAACTTTTAGCCTACCAAAGATTAGTAAAGTAAATGGAAGGAATTTCTACATATTCAATTGAGGTGTTCCACAAAAAGGTAAAGATATTTAGATAAATCTACATAAATGAGATTTTATCCCACCACAATGGCTAAATTGGCTGTTGACAGAATATTTTATTGACTCTTGGAAGAACTGTGATTCCAAAGGTTCTAGATCAACAATTTCTATAGGACATATGCTTTAGAAAATAATTCTGGTTTTTGATACTGGGAATAACCCTTTATTTCTAGTATTTCCCTATATAAGGTAAGGTCTACCATTTCTCCATCTTGAGCCCACCATGTTTAAAAGTACATTTTAAGAATTAGATCACAACTATTCTTGCTTGCTTCCTAATGTCAGCATTGTATTAGAGACTGTTTAAGAATACCAAAAACAATCACAAACTATCTGGTTTTAGAGATTTTTTTTTTAAGTCTAAAGGTCTTTTATATGTGTATATAATACTGTTATAATGAGGGGGGTTTTTGCCTCTAGTTTTACTAATGATTTTTTAAGCTAACCAGTGAAATGCTTGCTATATGGGAAGTCAATAATTCCACTAAAATAAAACCTTACGTGAAGCATAATACTGTGCAGACTTGATTTAGATCAACAGTCTTACTGCAATAGAGGGGAGGGAATAACAAATGGAAGAGGAAGGGTTAGTTAAGAGAACTGTCCATTGTATGCTGAACTTTTTCATTATTAGTTCTGGTTAAGAAAAAAAAAACACAAAACTTGTGATGTCCAAAGGGAAGGGGGATTAGGTTGGGTGGAGGCATGCAAAGGGATGGGGCGGGGGAGGGGAGATAGGGACATCTGTAATAGTGTCAACAATAAAAATAAAGAAGAAAAGCTTGCTCAGAAAATACACCTTGAAGTTTGAGTTAACATTTTATAAATAACTTAATTCAGTATTTAAAAGAATACCAAACTATATAAAAATATCATATTGTTATCATTTAACCAAAGACAAGCCATCCATGTGTATTACGGAGGCAGAAGCTGTTAGGAAAAGCTAATTTTTTATTCCCTTAATCAAACCAACTCATCAATAATTTCGACTGAAAATATGATTCTTGCTATCAGCACTTTTAAAGAATTCAAAAGATTGTAAACTTTCAACCTCTTCATTTTATCTCATAGAAAAATTGGAGCATTAATAAAGTTGCCCTTATATAACCAAGGTTATGTAACGAATGAACCAAAATAAAGTCTAAGGTGACTAATACAATGATAAGGCATACACTAAAAAAGTTCCCTTTCTTTTGTTGAAAATATTTTTCGTTCTAAAGAAAACATTTTTATATGAAGGATCTAACCAAAACAGTGTACTGAATTGCAAAAACATAAATATTGAAAGTACCAAGGTGAAAAATATATATGACTTCCATTTAAAGTTTTATATATAAGGGGGGGCAGACTAGAAAGGAGTCAATGGGGGAAAAAGGGAACATCTATAATACTTTCAATAAAGATTTTTAAAAAAAGAAGTTCTGTATTTTAGAAGCAAATGAAAATTGTAAAGTACTATTTGATATGACTGTAAGCTGGAAGAAAAGCCTCTATTTTTTTTATTAGGTATACTTTTCCCAATTACTTTTAAGTTGACTAGAAAAACATTAAAGTAGAAAAAGTTAAAATAATACACTAATAAAAATAATGCTTTTCTCTTGTCACATATAATTTAACTTTAATTAAAATATGTCTCTATAGTGCTATCCTTAGTGTTCATTCTATTAAACTATTTTAAGGCCTTTCAGGTATTTCAATAGAAAATATTCTTTGGGCGGGATCCAAAGTGAACAACGAGTATAAACTACGTTGATACTGCACAGTATCATGCTTTCAAAATTTCCTTTTATGAGTCAGAAATATTCTACAGACTGAAAGTTCAATATTAAAATGAGAAAGATTATCGTATAAGAAATTTCATTATCAACCTTCTTACTCTCTTCCCCAATTTAGTCTTTATATAAGAAACTTTGAGGAAATACGATTCTCCATCATGATATGCAGAACAGATTACAGTATTATAAATAAATGTTTTATTCTATTCAAATTGAATCAGAATGAAAAAGTAACCAAAAAGTAAATGTCCAAAAGTCTTGCTAAGAACGTGAGATCCGTTATTCATTTTATCAACAAATACAGGGGTGAGCAAAAGTAGGTTTACAGTTGTAATAGAATTAAATAATACAATAATTAAGAAATAATAATTCAAGAATACATTCTGTTTCGTGTACTCACGGCTGTAAACCTACCTTTGCCCATCCCTGTATTAGAAACTCCTGCTAGGTGGCAAGAACTGTCTGAGGTACTAGAGTTAAAACGGTGAACAAGCTAAATATGGAGCTTGTTCCCTCTCTATGGAGCTTAGTCTAGGGGAGAGGACAAGCAACAAATGAAAGAAAAAGATAATTAGAGATAATAAATAGTATAAAGGTTGTTGAGATAGAGAAAAAGTAAAGGAGAACCCAGCTTTGAAGAAAGTCATTCAGAAAGGCATTCTGAAGTGTTTAGCCTGAGACCGTAAGCACACAGAAGTCCAACTGCATGCACAGTGAACATTTACTAAGTGCCAGGCATGGTTGTAAGTGCTTTACAGGAATTATTTTCTTTAACTTGACCACCTACTAGTACATATTATGCCACAGAGGACTAAGCAAGTTGCCCAATGTTCCACAGCTAGTAAGAGGTGATACCAGGATTTGACTCCAGGAAATGTGCTTGCAGAGCCTGGTGGCTAATGTAATGAGAAACCATTCTAATGTTTTAAATGGGAATTAACATGATCCCTTTTTCCTTCAGGAAAACTGGCTGGAAGCAGGATGACTACTGCTAGAGATTTAAATGTGCTGTCATGTTCATACATTTAAAGACATAGGGAGATGAATAAATTTTAGGAGGAGAGAAAGGAAAATGAAGAGAGAAAGAAGAGTAGACAGTGGCGGACAGAGCCCAGATGATACTGACACGATGAAGTTGTGAAGACTCCAGCCAGTGTGGTTCAGTAGTTGAATGTCGACCCATAAACCAGGAGGTCAGGGTTTAATTCCCAGTCAGGGCACATGCCCAGGTTGTGGGCTCCATCCCCGGGAGGGGGCATGCAGGAGGCAGCCAATCAATGATTCTCACTCATACATGTTCAATTTTCCCAGCATCATTTATTGAATAGACTGTCTTTAGTCCCTTGTATGTTCTTTCCTCCTTTGTCAAATAGTAATTGGCCATATAGATGTGGGTTTATTTCTTGGCTCTCTCTTCTGTTCCATTTGTGTGTCTGTTTTTATGTTAGTACCATGCTGTTTTGATTACTATAGCCTTGAAGTACAATTAGCATAGTTTGATAGCAGGAAGCATGATACCTCCAACTCTGGTTGGTTGGTTTGTTTTTAAGAATGCTGTGACAATTCAGGGTCTTTTGTGGATCCATATAAATTTCTAAATTATTTGCTCTAGTTCTGTGAAAAACATCATTGGTGTTTTTATAGGAATTGCATTGAATCTATAGATTGGGTATGGACATTTTATTGATTTTAATTCTTCCTATCCATGAGCAAAATATATGCTTCCATCTATTTGTATCTCCTTCGAT